TATTAAAACGTTTCCATACACACAAATCTATTTTTTTTCGAATTTTAAACTACACCATTTAAAAATCAGTTATAGTCAATATAAAAATAAATTTCAACTTTCTTAAGGTCAGTTGACAGTAAGCGCAATAATAAAATAATGAAGGGTACGGGCCAAGTAAATGATGTCTAGGGCTTGACCTCGCCAAAATTATCATTGATTTTAAAATATGGCCATTTTTAAATACTTAGCTCTACCAAAAAAATTTAAATGATGCTTTAAAAACAAGATCCTAGAGAGGCTCTAGATCTATATTCTTACACAACAACGGTTCACATTGAGAGAGCATCATTTTTTTTAGACAGGGTTACTAAGCCACTGTTTTTACAGCCTTTTGGAGTCAAACTAAACTCATTCTGCCATTTCACCGACATTTTTATTTTTTTATTTATTTAGCGTATGGCTTACATCACAGTATCTGATAGGACACAGAATGGTATAAACAACAACAAAAAATGTATATAAAAAAACTGCATAAACAACACAAAAAATATGTAGATAAAAAAACTGCATAAACAAAGAAAAAAAAACATACACAACAAAAAAATAGGCTAATTCGTCTCATAAACAGATATCCAGTCGTTGTATATTATAATCAATTGCCTCCTGAGTTGCCATAAGGAAATCTTCTGAGTTGCCCATATATGCTCTTATTGGGCAGTCTTGCACTATATGTTTGACAGTCTGCCTGTCAGCTCCACAGTCGCATGCGGCTAAAGGGACTTTTCCCCACCTATTTAGAGAGTCGGCACATCTTCCGCAGTTCACCAAAATAAAACACTAAATAACCACAATACACAAAAACATTTTACTTTTACACTGGACGCGCGTTTCGCTAACCATATTAGCATCATCAGCAGATGATCAAGACTAAGTCTTTTTAACTTTTCATCTGCTGATGATGCTAACATGGTGTGCAAAACGCGCGTCCAGTGTAAAAGTAAAAGTGTGTTGGTGTATTGTGGTGATTATATATTAGATACCCAACTGTAATCTGCTATTTTACTTGTATATTTTTTTATTCTCTCCAATAATAAACAGAATTTAAGAGAATTTTTTTATATGTTTTTCACTATGCATGATAATTTGGACTAAAATACCTACATACAAAACATATAATATTTCTAACATCTTCCAATTTTTTTATTTTATTTTCACGCCGGCTTTTTTTGGCTTTTCTTTGACAGATTTTAACTCAAATTTGAATTTTCGCAATTTTGGTGCGCATTTTTATCTTCAAATTATATCATTTCTTGATTATTTTATAATTGTATAAAAGTGTAATAATCTGAAAAGACACGAGATTTTTGTGAATCTTAATAAAATTGTGCAAATTTGGCATGTGTATCAAAATTAATAGGGGAGCCAATATTTGGACAGTTCAAAATCTGTATGGGATTTCCCATATTTCCAACGACGATGCACCACTCGGTATATATTTTTACTTGCTAAGCGGTTCACATCAGTCGCTAAGCTACACCACTGGTTTTGCAGCTTTTCAACGTATCTTAAACCCATTTTGCTATTTTATTTCAGCATTTTTTTATTCTGTCCAATAATAAATATCACAAATTAACGAAAAAAATTAATCTATTCATAATACACTATATACAAGTGCTTTCAATTGTATACAGGGTGACACAGTAATCTGACAAAGCTCAATATAGGTATCAGGTTTTCTTTTTAAATTTCGTTACATTTTTTTACAAAAATTGAGACAATTACAATGTGTTAGTATACAGAGTGGTCTGAACTGTATTCCGAAAACTCCGGCATCATATTCTGCAGATAAAAATAAGTAAAAAAGTTCGTATAAATGTATGTCCTAAAATGATTAGTTCCGAAGATACAGGGTGTTGAAATTTCATTTTTATTTCGATTTTTTCCAAATAATTTCTGAAGTAACGTCAATATTTGGATGAAAATTGGTGTCTGGAAGATTTTTAACCATGAAAAATTTTATTTTGATGTCAATATGATTCCTACTTGTAGAAGGCGCCACCTATTTTTTACTGGATTGAAAAGCAATAACTTTTCGTCCGTACCTGTATAAAACTACTGAGTAAAAAAATATATATTTACGACTTTTTTTACCTAAAAAAAAGGTTCTTGGTAAAAATCGCTATGAGTAATGGTTCTCGAGATATTTGAAATCGAAATTATCAATACCTGTCATCATTGACATAAATTAAACATGTCTTATTAAGGTGCGTATTCATTATCCGAACGAACGAATGAAAGTGCGGTATATTTAGACGGGGACCGAACGCATGCGGCCGTTCGTTCGTTCGTTCACTCGACCATCCATTTCGAGTCGGTCAATCAACGGCGTTCGCCAACAAATGCCTCCGGTCTTCTCGTGCGGTCCCCGTCCATACCACTAGCGAACATTCGTTCGTTCGTTCGGATAATGAATACGCACCTTTAGACTGAAGTCATAAATTTGAAACTGTCTTGAGAAACACGTATAGAGATTAAAAATTTAAAAAAAACATTTAGGTGAAAAAAAACATAGAACACAAGGCAATAACTTAACGTTTTAACAAATTTATAAAAATAAATCTGAAAATACCTAAATTTCGAGAATACCTAAATTTCAAGAATATTATATTTCTTCTTCTTTCAAACTTTCAATATCTACAGGGTGGCGCACCTCATTCGCCTCGGTTGATTATTCGAAAACGGAAAGATGTAGCAACAAAATATTTTATGGGTATATGTAGAGAGGCAATGTGCACAATTTAAAATTATTTTGAAATATACAGGGTGTTTCAGAACTAAGATCCATACCAAAGTTATATTTTTTCTTATGGAACACCCGATATTTTATTTCATTTTTGGAATCTTGGGCCCAAAAAAAAGCAGTTATTATAAGGGTTAAACATGTTTAAAATCTTTGGTTTTTGAGATATTTAAAGACGTTTAAATTTGCATGCTACTATAGAATAGATTATTAACACCCTGTACATTACTTTGCAGAATTAATTCTTGTGCTGTTTAAAGGTAAAGAAATAAACTTTACTGGGAAATGTTATTACTTCCTTAAATTTATACAGGGATATCAAAAATTGCTGATCTATTTTAAGGATTTTTTTTATATAAAAACTCCGAAGCAGATTCAAATGCTCTTTCAAACTATATTAAGGTTTCCTATACCTATCTAGCTCAGATTTCGAATAAAAAGCGATTTTTAAATAAAATTGCAATCAAGATGGCTGCTGTCGCCATGGTAATTTTCTAGTGACAGTTAGTAACTATTTTCAAAGTAGACATTAGTTTATGGACATTATTATTTAGAATTTATAACAGTTTACTTAGATTTACCTACAATAGTTTAATAAGTAAGTATTCATTATTTTATCAAGAAAAATAAAGCAATATCTGCAGGAAGAACGAATGGATATGTTTGTAGTGATTTTATTTTGTGAGGAAAATTGCTTCTTGGCCTCAAGAGCTTATGCTCAAATGTATCAAAAAATAGGAATCTTCCTGATAAGCGTTCCTTTGAAAAACTACTTGCCCTATTTCGCAGATGTAGATTATAAAAAAACCTGTTATAGACTGAAACCTGTCGTTGGAAGTGAAGAAAATGAATTTCCCGTAATTGTCTCTTTCATAGAAAATCCATATATCTACAAGTCATCGTAAAATAAATCAAAGAACTACTTCTTCGTTTTTCTTGATAGAATAATAAATACATATTTAATAAATATTATTTATTAAACTATTGTAGGTAAATTAAATAAAAGTAAACTGGTATAAATTTAAATAAGTCTATAAACTAATTTCGATTTTGAAATTAGCTACTAACTGTCAATAAAAAAACTGCCATGACGACACTAGCCCTCTTGGTTGCCATTTTATTGAAAAAATGCTCTTTATTCAAAATCTGAGCTAGATAGGTATAGGAAACCCTAACATAGTGTGAAAGAGCATTTGAATCAGCTTCGATTTATTATAAAAAATACAGGGTGTTGTATTTGAAATAACGAAGTTTTTATGTAAAATAAATCCTTAAATTAAATCAGCAATTTTTGATACCCCTGTATAAATTTAAGAAAGTAGTAACATTTTCCAGTAAAGTTTATTTCTTTACCTTTAAACTCAGCACAAAAATTAATTCTGAAAAGTAATGTACAGGGTGTTAATAATCTATTCTATAGTAGCATGCAAATTTAAATATCTTTAAATATCTCAAAAACCAAAAGATTTTAAACATATTTACCCTTATAATAAATGTCTTTTTTTTGCTCACATGAATCAAAAATGAAATAAAATACTGGGTGTTCCATAAGAAAAATATAACTTTGGTATGGATCTTAGTTCTAAAATATATATCAAAATAATTTTAAAATGTGCACATTGCCTCCCCATATATACCCATAAAATATTTTGTTTCTACATCTTTCCGTTTTCGTATAATCAACGGAGGCGAATGAGGTGCGCCACCCTGTATAATCAACAGACATTACAATAAACGAAATTACAAATATCAAAAGACAATAAATACCTTAATATTCTCTTCCTTTTTCACGGTGACTTTGGTGATGGATACCTCTTCATTCAGCGCTTGTTTTTCCATGAAATAAACCGTTAGATTCAAATAAACGCGCACTTGATGAGGGTGATATTTTTTTCTCGTTCACATTTCACTGTAATGCCTCGTTCGAGCTAAATAGTTGCGTTACTGCGTAAAAAGCCCCGCGGCTGGTTGATTGGTGTAGAGTGACTAGTGACTATGCAGGAGCAATGGATATTTTTGTCTAAACGGTGGCAGTATTCCCGCCAGTCGCTATTTTCAAAACGGAATAGAGCGCACAAGCGATGATCGCGGGAATCGGTTTGTTGGGGCTTGATAGAGCTGAGCGCACCACTTTTCTTTCGCGCCGTACAAGTTAATTTCTATGAATTCTTAAGAGTCCATTTCACTAGTCCGAAAAAGTAGCAAAATAAGCGTTCGGCATCTAACATTTTAGCTAAAACATTAAAACTGGTTAAGTATTTTTTTATAAACATTGTAGAACATCAACAAAATATTCCTTATGTTTAGACTAAATTTTCACGAAAATAAAGACATAATTTAAAGTTCCGTTACTATACGGAAAGAGATTGAAGTTTTGTGATTATAGTGATATACAAGGTGGTCCAACTGTATTCCGGAAACTTCGGCAGCACATTCTGCAGATAAAAATAAGTAAAACAGTTCGTATAAATGTATGTCTAAATAATTTCTGAACGAACGTCAATATTTGGATGAAAATTGGCCACTGGGAGTTTTTGACATGAGAAATTTGATTTTGGTAGTCAATATGACTCCCTATTTGTAGGGGCGCCACTTACATGTTTTTAACTGTTTTGTAAATTAATAACTTTTCGTCCGTTACCTGTATAAAACTACAGAGTGAAAAAATATATGTACATGTCCGTGATTTTTTATGTAAAACATTTCCAAAGCACCTTTTACGTAGAATTTGAATAGGTTTAAGTATACTTTTTGTAAATTAATAATTTAAGAATTATCAACAGAAATTTTGATTTTTTATATAGGACACCTATATTTTTAATTGGTTGAAAGAATTTTAAAATTACCTTTCCAAAAAATATAACACACTTGATATTTTGCTCGATTCCTCTTCGAGATATAGAGTATATGTACTTGCCCCCTTTAAATAAGTAGGCTTTAAACGGCACCAGCTATACGCAAAATATTCAAGCTATGAGTATCAATTAAAACGAAAATAATATTTGTTATGAGCGATGCAGAATTTTATAACAATTCTAAAATATATTTAACCAACATCAATATTTAAACTATATCTAATAACATCAAATAAAAATAAATAGCAAACTACATTACAAATTTGCTACAGGTGTTCGACATATCGACCGTCTTCAGTTAGGGGACAGACGGAGCAGTTTTTGAACATTTCTCGCGGAATTCATTTAACCTAGTAGGTGAAAGATACTTCATAATCCGCTAAGTATTTAATTTTGTCTAGATTATACGGAATAAGGAACCTTTATTCTTCCGCAAGTATATCCATAGGATTAGATCCATGGCATTCAAGTCAGGCGGCTCCCGACGTACAACGGCTGGAATCTTGGTTGGCTATTCAATTATTGTTGAAATTGATGCAAAAATTTGCTGGATAACTTCAGCGTCGAGTAAGCGGTGCGTCGTCTTGCTGGAAAAATATGCTTTCGAATTCCATTAAGGGCATATCAGGAATAAGGGGTCCAAAGCCTGCTAGTTAAAACTTTAAAAATTCTGGTATTTCGAAATTAAAATATCAAGTGTGCTACATTTTTGGAAAGGTAATTTAAATCTTTTACAGTTAATTAAAATATAGAGGGTGTCCCAAATAAAATCAATTTTTTCTGTTGATAACTCTTAAATTATTAATTTTAAAAATTATACTTAAATCATTAAATTTACGTAAAAGGTGTGCTTTGGAAATGTTTCTAGAAATAAAATTTCATAGCAAAAAAGTTACAGCGATTTGTTAAAAATGCACATTTTTGAAAAACACCCCGTAACTCCGAAACGGTAATAGATATTGATGTGTGGTTTTCACCATCATGTTTTTGATTAAAATTGAGCTCCAGACACCGATATTAGTTTTCGTCTATCTCCTATAGAAAAGGGTGTTTCCATTTAAAAGCGTCGAATTTGACCCACCCTGTACAGGTGGTCCGAACTGTATTCCGGAAACTTCGGCAGCATATTCTCCAGATAAAAATAAGTAAAAAAGTTCGTATAAATGTATGTCCGAAAATGCTTAGTTTCGGAGATACAGGGTGTAAAAGTTCCATTTTTATTTCGATTTTTTTCCAAATAATTTCTGAACGAACGTCAATATTTGGATGAAAATTGGCCACTGGGAGTTTTTTGACATGAGAAATTTGATTTTGATATCAATATGACTCCTATTTGTAGGGGGCGCCACTTAAATGTGTTTTAACTGTTTTGAAAATTAATAACTAACAATTAATAACTAACAAATTAATAACTTTTCGTCCGTACCTGTATAAAACTACAGAGTGAAAAAATATACATGTCCGTGATTTTTTATGTAAAAAATGTCTCTTTGTAAAAAGCGTTACGAGTAACCATTCTCAAGATACACTCACCGGCAAAAAAACCGGCCACTAAAAACTAGTCCCAATTTCAAAGTTGGATTTCTCGCGAACCACTCATTAGATTTTGATGATTTTTTTTTAAATTGTAAATTAAAGGCTGATTCATGGTACACCGTGACGGGCCGGGGCCGTGCGACGGTGAAGGCACGGCCAAACATTGTCAAATGTTATTTATACTTTATGCATTCATGCTAAGCCGAGCACGGGCCGAGTTTCGCCGGAACGCGTCTGTGCCCCGTCCGAGAAATGTCGGTGTACATTTTTCCTCGGATCGGCTATTGTACGGCCCCCGTTGCGGCAAACATAAATGAGTCGCCCGGAAGCAAATGGCTTCGTTCGTCTACGGCCTATAGCGACTGTTTTCTAGCAGTGTTGCCGCACCCAACTTTAGCGCGTAATTACATGAACTAAAATGTACCACTTTGGTACAATTTTTAAAGCACAACAAAATACATCTGCAAATGACTTTAACCGGTTTGTCGCTGTGAATTTTCATAAATTTCTACATAAAAACTTCCTGGAGAAAGACACAAATCGAGACGAAAAACATGAAATAGAAATTCAGAAACCCAATTATAAGTATGTATAGGTTGAAGAAATCTATAATTCTAATAATACACACAATACTTGGAAAACTTAAATTTTATTTAAAAAAAGGCAAATTATAGGAAGTACGTTAGAAACAGTAAATTTTCAAGTTTTTTCTGGGTTATTTAATATAGGCAACGCTATAGACATTACAACGTTTATAATACGTCGTTAATAATGTGGATTGTTCCTGAATGGTAATGGTAAGCGCGTTTAACGATGCCATCAACGACAATAATTATTAAATATCTATTCATTTTCGGTGCGTGGAAATAATTATTGTACCAAATCATCCTGATTTGAAAAATGTAGTACCACTGTACCAAATACCAGCATCAATATTGGTACAAATGTACCCACTGCAACACTGTTTTCTAGAATATAATCGGCACGGACATGATCCCCGTTGTCCACTCGGTGTAGCATATATTGAAGGCCCGGACGTGGCTCGGTGTCTACTTTACGGAACGTGCCCGGCTCGGGTACGGCCCGGTGTACTATGAATCAGCCTTAATTCCTTCTTAACGGATGCTACGTCAGCAATTTTTATTCCGAATTTATTTTGAGCATATATAGACGCCTTGAAGCTTTAAAAACAAATCAAACATCAGAACGTAGGTAAGTTTAACCTGAAAACTAACTAAAACATGAAAATTAAAAAAAAGTAAAGAAATTTTAAGGGACTAATATCTAGTGTCCACTCGCCTAATGAAATTTCCCGTTTCATTACATTTCCCGTTCGTTAATACATGTCATTATTGACAAAAACTATATAAACATGTTGACTAGATAGTTATTTGACTGAAATGATTAATTTGGGGACTTTTTATTTTTTTAAAATTAATCATAAATTTTTCTTCGAAAAAATCATGGTAAAACAGTCTGTGTCGAACTTTTGGCACAAAAACATTTCAAATTTATTTTTCAGTCTCATAACTATTTAGTCAACATGTTTAATTTATGTCAATGATGACAGGTATTGATAATTTCGATTCCAAATATCTCGAGAACTATTACTCGTAGCGATTTTTACCAAGATACCTTTTTTACGTAAAAAACGTCGTAAATGTATATTTTTGTACTCAGTAGTTTTATACAGGTAGGGACGAAAAGTTATTATTATTCAAACCAGTTAAAAAATATGTAGGTGGCGCCCTCTACAGACAGGAGTTATATTGACATCAAAATCAAATTTCTCATATCGAGAAACTCCTAGATACCAAATTTCATCCAAATATTGACATCACTTCAGAAAGTATTTGAAAAAAAACGAAATATGTAATAATGAAATTTCTACACCCTGTATCTCCGAAACTAAGCATTTTCGGCCTATATCTAAATACATTTACACGAACTTTTTTACTTATTTTTATCTGCAGAATATGCTGCCGAAGTTTCCGGAATACAGTTAAGACCACCCTGTATACGCACTCCTATAATAAAAAACTTAGGAATAACCAACCCAATCTAAAGTTATGTAATAGATTCAGAAAAATATTTTAGGCTGTACTTAAACTGCCGTTAAACGGTAGCTTACTAAAATGCCGTTAATAGGTATGACGCCGTTGATGTGACGCACTTGACGGCTTTATGAAATATTGGAATTTTATAAGGACTAACCAACGCTATCCCCCCCACCAAATAACCAACTTAACCAACGCAACTAACCTCGACACTGATAAAAAAAAATAAAAAACAACTATAAATTAGTAAAAACCAACCAACCCCACCAAATAACTAACTCAATGAATTAACACCCTCCAAATAACCACGCTAACCAACCCGCCAAATAACTAAACCAATCCAACCAAAAAGAGTGAAACCAATGCAATAAGATCACGCTATAAGCAAAAAAAAATATAAAAAAGTCTTGGTCGGCGTGAGATTTGAACCTCGGACCATTCGCTCACGAAGCGATAGCCTCAGCTACGGAGCCACAGGTGCTCTTACAAAATGCTTATGGCTAGGCATTACTTTCCGCCGACATGAACGACGTCACAATATCTATTAACGGCATTTTAGTAGGCTTCCGTTTAACGGCTGTTTAAGTACATCGAATATTTTAACTTCATAAGGTAGCTCAAAAAAGTGTGAGTGGATCGCGATGTTTTTATTAAATGGAACACCGGCACCGTACCTATTAATTTTGGCTTCCTTTCTGATCACTTGGCATAATCCTAAAATATCATTAAATGTTTTGAGAGTTTCAGAAATAAGTAAATAAAAAATATAATTTTTTCAGCTGTTTATTAAAAAATTATGAAGAATACAAGAAATGTCCTAAAATCAAAACTGCACTAGGTATTTACTATAGTTGGTCTGCACTTACTTTGCTATAAATATATATCGTAATCTTAAACCATACAAGGTGTTCAAAATTCTATGCTAAACTTTCTAAAATATAAAATATTTTTTTTTTGTTTTTTTTAATTGAACACCCTGTATATTATAACTTTGTTAGATGAAGAATTAAAAAAATAACATTTTTTGTATTTAAAGTACATATTTTAAAATTTTTGGCGGTTTGGCAAATATTCGCGTTTTTATTACATATGGCTCTTTCAAAGAGCTCAGACAAAAATCATTAGACGGATTTGATAAAAAAAAACGTTAAAAATTCTGAAATAGTTTAATACAATAAATGTTAATTTTTTATTCTGCATCTAACAAAGAAATAATATACCTACCTACAGGGTTTTTCATTTAAAAAAAAAACAAGAAAAACTATTTTAAATTTTTGAAAGTTTAGCAAAGGATTTTGAACACCCTGTATAGCTTAAGATTGCAATATTTATAGGAAAGTAAATACAGACCAACTATAGTAAATACCATTGTTTGGTTTTCAAAACATTTCTTGTATTTTTAATATTTTTTTTAAAGGATTAAAAAATATATTTCTTATTTATTAACTATCTAAACATATGAAGAACGCACGGGAAAAACCTGTACCCAAACCCAAATCTCCACTGCTGGTAACTGACTTTCCAGTCGACAACTAAGCTAGACAACTAGAATCTGACGAAACATGAATTCTGGACATTTCAAAGTTGTTTAAAAATACATTCTCTCTTTAAAACAAATATCAATATTATTTAGGAAATGTAGATTATTTTTTTTTTATTATTAAATAGCTTACCTGAAATAAATCCACTTAGGGAGAAGAAACACTGTATTTCAATTAAAAGCTACAACTTTAGTAACAAATGTATTTGAACTTAACTATTTCATTAGTTCATCTCATCATTGGCATCCATATTATAATACATTAAGTCATTTTCTTAAACAATAATATAATTATATTATTGTTTCAATTTTTTCAACATCAATCTATTTTGCAAATGCTATACTGTTTTCTAACTGCTTCAAACACCTCTGTCCATACTGCAACGACATTTTAATAGCAACTTCATCAGTATAATGAGCGTTCTGTCTAAAATCTCTTCGAGCCCAATCTTTCAACTCCTCTTGATAATTCTTGTCTGGAACTTCTCGAATTGCACGAAATATCTGCCTATATAAGTTCTTAACTTCTTGTTTTAATATAAACTACAAAAATACTTTAATTACTACATAAAATTTAAAAGTTTTAGTTGGTAGTTACCTGTTTTAAAGTTAAAATTGAGTTCCGGTTTTTGGGTATCCCATAGGACTGAGAAGGGATCATAGTAATAATTATACAGTCTCCTGCCTTTAAATTAAATCGTCGTAATAACTAAACATGTAGCTTAAACCAGCCAATAATTAAGGCCCTTAAAAAAGACTAAATAAATGAAATTTGAACAAAATTTGAAGATCCTTTCTAACCTCACTTATTATATAAACAAATCACAGCTGACTGGAAATGAAATTCTTCGATATGCAGCCAGATATTCAGGTTAATATTTAAATATTTTAAATTAGTACAGGAAAAAATTATAATTTAAATCTGTATTATGATGTACTACGAAAAAGGTATTTAGAATGTAGGAAAGAAATAAAAATACTATTTTTGTGTATCACTCTTTAATTTATAACATTCGAAATGCTGCGTGTACAAGCACCAATATTAAAAATATTGTAAACAACCAGGTGATAACTGTAGCTACTAATACACTTTTTCTTTTACCTATGATATCTTTTAGTAAAATAAGTCCCAGTACTTTAGTGACGTACTCCCCATCCATATACATGAACGGTAAAACATTCACAAACGCTAAACCTAGAGATATAACAACAATATATTTCAGTAATTTCGTCGATATATCAGGTATATTTAGCCCAAGCAAATTAGTTCTTTTAATATAGGAAGAGACATCTATCGTCCTATAAAAATCACTGGGATGACCAATATAGATTACTGGTCTAGCCCTTTTCAAAGTTACTTTAAATAGATAAGTGTTATTGGGTAACACTGGCTTAAAACAGTAAAAGTTACCAGTGCATACATGAGGTCCTATCGTACAAAAATTCGCTGACTTTTCTATTATAGTTCTGCCTGGGAGGCATACATGCCCGGGCAGTTCTAGTTCATTATTCTCCAAGTCTGTGTACTCAAAACACAGATTCTTTTTGTTAGAAGGATCACAACACTCCACAATACCATTACCTATATGTTTTAAAGGCACACTTTCATCTAATGTATTGACTAGTTCAGATTCAATGCATATACCTGGTAATAACAATTCTCTATTACTTAAACAATTAAACCAGTCATCTTCGTTAGTTACCTTACAGTCGTTTATACTTAAAATAATATCATTAATATGCAACCCTTCAGGAGACTTTAGTGGTGAATGCCTACTTATATCAGAAATTTGAACACCCTTACCTGTATAATAGAAAGGTGAAAAAATAGTTGGTAAAGAACAGTATAATAAATATCCAAAAAATGATAGCAATAGGTTATGCCATATACCAGCACAAAATATGCTTAATTTACTCTTTAAGTTGAGTGCAGTCAATTTTTCAGTGGGTAATCTAACGCAAGCAACTGGGAGAATAAAATATAGATTTAAACCCACTTCAATTACACCTAAATCATATAAAACTGCAGCTAAAGCATGTCCTGCTTCGTGAACAACGCTACATATTACCAAAGTAAGTGAGTAGTAACCTAATTCGGCGACAGGTAGATTTACACCAGGTATAACTGGAGTTATAACTGGAGAACTTGTAGCGATTTCATGTCTAAAAAAAGATACAAACGCACTGTAAAATAACAAACAAATTGAAATGGGCAGAAATATTAAACTAGCATATATTCCTACTGAAAACCAGGCCCGCCAAAACTGTGGTCTAATATTGCCCCATTTCAGGAAGAGACGATTCAATGCTTTCGTACTCCACTTTAGGTTAAAATATCCTATTTCGAGACCTAGACCATCTAGTAAACGAAGATAGGGATAGTGAGCACAAGACTAAAAGAGATAAATTATAAAAATTATCAATAAAAACTGTTAAAAACTTACTTTAAAGAAAAGATCGAAAAATAGTAATGCGCCATAAAATATGATTATAAGGAAGAAGAAAACTGTGGTGTCCATTTAGAGAGGTAGTGTGTTAGTAATTGTATGTCTAAACATTGCTTCTTTCTTACTTATTTAATACAAAAATATTAAAATATTATTTTTATTCCATGTTGAAATTTATAGGTTACGACTGTTTTGGGCGAAGTGTCAAAAATATACACCACAGATATACACGTCAAGATTAAAAAACAATCAATAATAAACAAAACCTGGGATTGGTGTTTGGTGGATTCTGATATACAGAGCGGGAAATTCAAAAAACACAAAAATATGTTTTTTATTTCAGTTTGAAATTAAAATGCAATATTTCACGGTTCCTCGACTCGAGTTCTGTTTGGATGGTAGAGTTGGGTGTATCCGTTGGATTTGACCATCATGACGGACTTTTTCAATGAATAGTTTCCCAACCAATGCTCCCAAATGATTCCTCGGAAATAGTCATTTACGTATGGTTTTCTGTAGTAGAGGCCGTTCAAATTTGACTCAAAGCAACTAAAACAAAATAAAAAGATAATTTTCCCTTGCCTAAGTATATTGTACAGGGTGAGTCTTAAATAAGTACAAATATTCCAGGAACATGTCTATAAGGTTTTTTGCAAAATAAAGATGTTGAAAATCGTGCATTTTTGAAATTATTAATAATGCCTCTTTTAAATTTTCCTGTATATTTTAGAAATTTTTCCACAGTCATCTCTGATATTGCTCTTTGATGCAAATCAGAAAAAATCCGGTAGCTTTCAAAATTGTTTAAAAATAAATCATATATACAAAAATATGATTTTTTACCGAGATCTACCAGCATTGAAAACATTTGCACTTATTTAAGACTCACCCTGTAGATATAGGGTGAGCTTATTCAGGTTTCAGTGTTGTATAGGAGTTTAATATTTTTATAGTTATTTAAGGTATTAAAAGGGAATTATAACAAGGGTGTTAATCACTGAGGGCAAAGTTTCTACAGACAATAATTGCCCGAGATTATAATTTATATATATACAGAGTGTCCCAGAAATAAGTGCAAGTATTTTAAGGGGTGGTAGATCTCAATAAAAGAAACATATTTTCTCTTTATCGTTTTTCAAATAAGTCCAAATTAACGGAGTTATTTTACTTTGAAAATTTCCAGAAAAAATGATTTTTTGCTAAAATTTTGAGAACCACCGGATCTTTTCTGGATTTTCTTTCTTGTAAATTTTAATACCTATGTTGCTATATTATCAAGAAATTATGTGTTTTTAACTAAAAACTAACAAAAATTCCAAAAAGTTTTTCAAAAAATTTCAAATTTTCAAAATTTTTTTTCGCGAAAAAAAACTCATAGGCGTGTTTCTGGGGTTATACTATACTACCAGTTAAAATACTTGCACGTATTTCTGGGACACCCTGTATACAGTGCGCCCTTGGCATATATTCTAGAATTTATTACAACAAACTCATAATTTTTAATTTATATTATATAACACTTTATAATTTCCGTGGTACAGTTGTACAAATATAGGAAGAGACTTGGGGATAGCACCGGTCGCGTGTTATTTTATATTTCTCACGTCTCTATAGCTATAGTCTGTCCAACGAGAAGATCCTTGACATTGATAGATGTGTCTGTCATTTTAATTTCAAAGTAGTTTATTTTTTTTTATAAAGAAATAAGTTGGTACAAGTGCGTGCAAGGCGGAAAATTTATTTAAAATTTTAATGTCAAAAAGTCAAAAGATACTTCAAAACTTTATGAAAAAAAAATGTTTAAAACTGAAAAATCTAATCGAGTCAGTATATTTAAGGTGTGTATTAATACAAAATAAACTAAGGTGTGCTAAAAAAACTACAAAGATTAGGTTTGTCGTGGGCGGCATTTGGTAAACTAGGCATAATATACTGAGATCTGATTTTTCCATGTTTAAGAAGAAAGATCTTTAACCAGTGTGTCCTGCTTGTCCTCACGTATGGAGCTAAAACACTTACTTTGACAAAAAAAGAACATACATAGAATACAGGTCATGCAACGGAAAATGGAAAGGTCCATGTTGGGAGTTACACTTGGAGATAAGATACCCAATCATACAATACGAAATCGAACAGGAGTAAGAGATGCTGTGATATCTGTCTTACATCTTAAATGGAATTCGGCAGGACATGTGGCTAGGATGAAAGATGGACGGTGGACAAAGAGACTTGTGGAATGGAAACCAAGATACGAGGCCTATAAGCAGGGGACAACCTCCTAGTCAATGGACAGATGATATTAAGAGGATGGCTGAAAACTGGATTCAAGTGGCACAAAATAGAAAGAAATGGCTAGAGTTAAGGGAGACTTTTGTCCAGCAGTGGACGGTATAAGCGAAATAATGATGATGTGCTAAACAAATTGCCAGATACAAAAAAATTGTCAAAAAGAACTATTTGTTACATTCAATTTCAAGAAATTACCTGCTTTTATTATTAAATATATTTATCAATATAATTTATGTACAATTAGTTTAATATTGCACAAAAATAAATAAAACACAATATAAATAAAACAAAATATTTTATTAATAATAATTTCAACAATTCACAAACACCGAATGTTATACCTTAAATGTTGGTTTAAAACTTATCTTTTTTTTTTGTTTCAAAACCAGTACGTTTTGACTTTTTAGTATCTCTACATTACTAAAAGCTAATATTATTTACCTATCATATGATGTCTTCATTTTACAGCTACTCCAGTTTTTTGTACAACAGATGAGATGGTATACAAACTTTATTCATGGTTATTGAACACTTATTGGTTAATACAACCATCTGGGTTGCACTTATTTTTCCCTCGATGTATATCTTTTTAGAATAATGTTTTGCCACTAATACCTAATTATGTATAATAATTCCTAATTGTCTACAAATCTTTATTATAATGGATATGTTCAGTACCAATAAAGAGGGATCAAGCAATATATTGGTTGTTAAAAAATCATAATTGTTATTGTAGACATATTACCTTATCATCGTTACGTACTACAGAAAAATATAAAAATTAAAAAAAAATAACAATAATAATGCAAATAAGATCTATTGAACCTATAAAAACGCTTCTTCAAGAATAATTAGGATACGTTATAAAAAGCTCAACATAATTTAGCAATTTTTTAGAATAGCTTCTATTATTTTTGTCAGACAAAAGAAACTTTTTCAGTTCCAGCAGAAACCAGTATAGTGGTAAAATAAGATGATAAATATGCTAAATAGTGGCTATTAATATAATTAAATTGATCTAAATTTTTCTAGTATAAGTTTTCCCGTGTAAACGATGATTGTTTGTAAGTATAAACTATGATGTTGAATCCAGTATTTAATTTTACTTCAGATGTACCCTTTGGTATACATATACAGAAACTAATCTGATCGAAAATATGCCTAAACCTTTTTTCAAGTTGTTTACTTATTCCTAATTCTAGAATTTCCATACCCAGATTAAACTAAATTTATTCTGATTCGCCAGAAAAAGTATTTTATTCCTTACCCGTTTCCTAAGTTACAATCAGTGTAGTTTGCATTACCTCGTTCCATGACAAACAAGATACATAAGAGACAGACCTGATCATCTTAGTATGCAAATCAACATATTACTTTGCCATAAAAAAATTGATTGTTACTCATATAAGTAATATTATGCTGTCTCATTTATACAATAATAACCTTGGTAGATAAGAGCTATACCTCTAAGCCACCGGGCATATTTTCTAATAGCAATGGATGTAAATTGAAATAAATAATTGTAAACAAAAACTGCTATAGACTTCCGGAATCATAAAATATGTTTGAGTAGATTTTCTGAGTAGGTCAGGTTAGGTTAGGTTGCTGGGGTTTGGGATCCTGTTTGATCCCTCACTCGTAGGCCTTGGGCCCATTGCAATACCTCTGTATTATTCCTCTAATTCTCTCTTTGCAATACATCTGTATTATTCCTCTCATTCTCTCTTTGCAATACCTCTGTATATCTTACTCTCATTCTTTCTTTGCGCGAAAGCACTTCTAACTCACTTCAAAGTTCCCGATGTCGCTGATGTTGGCTTCTGCTGCTTCATCTAGTCCCTCCAAAAAACCGTATCCCAACGTTTTAAAGCGTCGGTATTCCAGTGCCGGACAGTGGCACAGCAGGTGCTCTGTGGTTTCTTCTTCCTCTCCGCATTATATGCAGTAGTTGTCGTTGGAAATCTTCGATCTCACGAGGTTTACCCCCAGGGCAGTTTCCAGTAATGACACCTACAATTATGCGTACTAGGTTATTTTTGTGCTCTAGTAGTATGTTCTTTTTGTAGTTCTAAGACTTCTGAGTATCTATTAAAACTTTCCAACAGGGCAGGAATATTCAGTGTCCCGCTTCTCCCCATTTCTTTAAATATTTCATTAGTACACTATGTTATTGTAATCCTATTGAGTCTAATTTGATTGTTGTCCTTCCTCATGGACCTATTACAAATATTTTATTTTAAATTCTACAATGAAAGCAAAATTATTCAAATTTCTTACCCACTATCACTCACTATCAGATATATTCTCAGAATCGCTATTGCCTAAATTAATTATAAGGGGTTGTTGTGTAATCTCAATTTCTTTCTCCCATGCCTCCTTAATTATTCTATCAGTATGTCTGATATAATTGGCCCACTGATCAACTGTTACACTATCTAATGCTTCCTTCCAACATTGTTCGGGATTTTTGATATGTAAAATATGCTGGTCATAATACCGTTTTGTCTGACTCCACACCATTTCAATTGCATTAAATTGACAATGATATGGAGGCAGACGTAGTACTTCATGACCAGCCTCATGGATAATTTTATCTGCAACAAAAGATTTATTGTGTTTGGGTACTTGTGAAATAATACCCCACAATAAATCTGTTGTTGCAGATTCAGGAAATGGTATGCTTTTTTCAATTAACCAGTTTATTAAATCAGGTTTCTTCCAACTTTTAGTGGGCCATTTTAATGACTGCCTGCTGTGATAGGCAGCATTATCTAATATAATTAAGGAAGGCTCTTGGAGAGATGGAAGTAATTGTTCCTTTAACCATTTCTCAAAATTTTCTCCATTCATGGAGCCATGGTAATCCCCCTTCTTAGTATTTGACTTGAAAATCAATTCGGCATTGTTTATAAAGCCATTCTGGTTACCAGCATGTAATACAATATATCTGAAATTAAAATATGGTTAAAAATAAAGTAGGTGGTTAAAAATAATAATAGTAATATGTATTGCCAACAAAATTTTAAATAATAGAATAAATGTAATATTTCAGTTAAAAACAAAGTTTGATCACTTATTTACTGATATGTTAATATAAATACTTTTAGCATTGCTAGTTAATATAAAGCAGTATTAATATGCATTACTGCAGAAGAACTAGTGTATAAAGTATTATACCGGGTAGTGCATCGTCGTTGGAAACCTTTGGAAACAAGAAGAAAACACATGCCAAATTTGAATAATTTTGGACTAGCCGATTTTGAGTAATTTATGAAAAACTGCATCTATAAAAACTGAATAGGCAACAACCAGTCAAAAACCGACACCCCTTAAGGTTTATAAACTATGATTTTTTCATTGTCAAAAGTAATTAATTTTATTTTAATAAAATTTTAATATTCAGTAGTAGTAATAATTTATTGGTATACACATAAAGAAAAAGTGAGCATGATATAATGGTAGGTACTAAGCCAGGCAATAGCTTAGACCGTGTATCTGACATGTTTTGCTTAATTTCCCCTAAATATTAAAATTTTATTAAAATTAAATTACTTTTGACAATGAAAAAATCAGGGTTTGTGTGTCGGTTTTTCACTGGTATTTTATTGTTACCTGTTCAGTTTTAAAATAAAAAAAGATACAGTTTTGCTTAAATTACTCAACATCAGCTGGTCCAAAATTGTTCAAATTGGGCATGTGTATTTACCATACATAAAACCTTTAAAAATTTTATTTACGACTTCGCTGTAAAATCCATAAGGGCAGCAATATTTGGACAGTTCAAAATTTGAATGGGATTTCCTATGTTTCCAATGTCGATACACCACCCAATATACAAAAAGCTACCTCACAGAAATATAGTTCAGAACCAGCAATATAACTAACACTTTTAAAACTTTACCTATGACCTTCTGCTGTTTGCTTTCTCACGGAACGAATGTTGTTGTCCTGCCAAGATTTTCTAAAAGAGCCATTAGAAAAAATCCATGTCTCGTCTAGAAACACACACTGTCTCTTGTTATCACCCAACATATCATTTTCCATGTATCTAAAAAAATATATTGTAGGCACACATAATTATTGGAAATAAAATTGACCACTACCTCTTAAGAAACTGTCCTCTCAAAAAAGAAATGTGTTTTTTTTCCATCAAGGCCCTTCTGTTATCCTCCTGTTTATATTGAAAACCTGCATTCTTTAATATTTTGTGCAAACTTGATTTGCTGCCATAATATTTTTCTTTGGTTTTCAACGATTGCAGTAAAGAGTCAAGTGTTACTGGTACACCTACATAAATATAATTCGATTAAGAATATATTTTTATAATTTAAATATACATCTAAACCGTTAACACAAAAAACAATACCCACTACCCACTCTCATAACATATTCAGCAAAAGAAAACAAAATTATTTATACATATGATGCAAATTAATATGTTTTTGTAAATTATTAGATAAATGGAGTTGATAATTTTAAAGGAACATGCAAAGAAAATGTGCCTAAAAATTACAACTTACATTAAAACAGCACTCAAAACCTACACCTTACAATTACCTTTTCTAACATCTTTACCTTTATTTATTTACTAGTTGAAGCCTGGCGCATCCGCCACATCAGGAAAAAAAAAATACTTTTTATTTTTTTTTAATTAAATGAAAAACAAAAAATCCAGCGACGACAGTTTTTAGAACAGCCAATTAGCAATCTTTTAGTAAAAAAAGCAACTTTTTAGAGCAAGTCGTTACTTCAGTAGAGACGACATAGATAAACATTAGCATTTTATATATGTAGATAAGACATAATTAATTTATTTTTCCCTTGTTGTATGCATATACAACAAAGAAAAACAAGAAAAGTATATATTTAATTGTTACCACAAAAATATAAGAAAAACTATATTATTAAGTGTATGTGAAAATTTAAATTGAATTTGAATGTAAAATTGAAATGTAAAAATACGTTTTTCACTTTTATGTTGTAACCTGAAAACAAAATAAATCAAATGTAACTTCAATAATTACATTTTATGAATAGCTTATCAAAAATATACTTACAATTTTTGTACATGTCATAAATTTCATTACGGATTTCGAATACTGTGGACTCCTTAACATCATCAGTTTTTGGCTTACGTTTCTTCTTGGAAAGTACCAAGGTCGTTGATGTTGGGCCACTCTCAAATTTCCGTACAGACTTTTCACTTATTTTTAGTGCTCTTGATGTTTCCTAGATTTATGTAGACTGTTTGTAATATTGATTATAAAATACAAATATTTCCATGGGTAATATTTTATGCAATATTAATCTGTATACTTTGATAATAAAGATCATTATTAATAATTGGTACAGATTATTATCACTGTAATAATAGGTACCTATGTTAGGGCTAAACATACATACTATATATCTTTTTTTTCTCAAAAATATTTAAATTTATTTAAAAGAAACTGTCTTACTCCAATAGCATTCAAATTAGGAAAATTTTGTCGGAAATACAAACACAAATTCTGTATGAACTTCTGGGCAAGTTCATTGCCATGAATTTGTTTGCACTGCAAATCCTAAAATTCATAGCATGGATTAAATTGTAATAGGTACCATTCTTTGGCAAAAATCTACTGGTAATTTTCATACTGATAATGTCATATACATAATAATAAATACATACTAATGCTTCAAAACTATAAGATGCGGATGTAGTTGGTAAATTATTTGAATCCATCATCTAAAAAATATAATTTAATGTTAGTTAAGTCTTTTAACATTAATAAAATAGAATACTTACGTAATTAGCACAAATTTGGGAACGAGGAACGAGGAACTAAGCACAGCAACAGTATATAAAAAACAGAAACACCTAAACTATATAAAAACCTAAACTATCATTAAACACTTAACTTTAAAAAACACAAAAAACACAAGTAGTAACACAAACCAAAATACAGAAGGAATATCACCAGAGACAAATATCGGAAATGTATCGGAAAATCGGGAAAATGATCGCAAATATGCAATTCAAGGGATATTTGGATGATGCTAATTGAAAAGGAACCAAGCGCCAAATTGTCAATTTGCATAATCAGGGGTTATATGTGTATCATGTTTTTTTTAAGTTTGTTATGTTTTTAGTACATTTTCTCACAATAAAATGTTGTTGGTTTAGAACCTAATGATGGACGTTATTGAATTGTATATTTCCTACATGCAAAAATATAATTTTAAGATTTTTTTGGTTGATGGATCCTTTTCAATTATCAGATAATTTTTAATTATTATTTGATAGAGATCCAAGCGCCCTGGTTCTGTTTAAAGAAAAAGGAAGGAATACATGGATCATTTTAAAAATAACAAATTTATTTTAATAGGGAATAATAATTATTATAAAATAACTGAAGCAGATCTAAATGCTCTTTCAAACCATAATAGGGTTTCCTATACATATCTAGCCTGTGATTTCTGGAATAAAAAGCGATTTTTAAATAAAATTGCAATCAAGATGGCTGCTGTCGCCATGGTAATTTTCTAGTGACAGTTAGTAACTATTTTCAAAGTAGACATTAGTTTATGGACATTATTATTTAGAATTTATAACAGTTTACTTAGATTTACCTACAATAGTTTAATAAATAAGTATTCATTATTTTATCAAGAAAAATAAAGCAATATTTGCTATAGGAACGAATGGATATTTTTCTAGTGATTTTATTTTGTTAGGAAAATTGCTTCTTGGCCTCAAGAGCTTATGCTCAAAGGTATCCAAAAATAGAAATCTTCCTGATAAGCGTTCCTTTGAAAAACTACTTGCCCTATTTTGCAGAGCTGGTAATGTGGTTTATAAAAAACCTGTTAGAGGCAGAAACCTGTCATTGGAAGTGAAGAAAACGAATTTGCCGTAATTGTCTCTTTTATAGAAAATCCATATATCTACAAGTCATGGTAAAATAAATCAAAGAACTACTTCTTCGTTTTTCTTGATAGAATAATAAATACATATTTCATAAATATTATTTATTAAACTATTGTAGGTAAATTAAGTAAAAGTAAACTGGTATAAGTTTAAATAAATCCATAAACTAATTTCCATTTTGAAAATAGCTACTAACTGTCAATAAAAAAAACCTGCCATGATGACACTAGCTCTCTTGGTTGCCATTTTATTGAAAAATTGCTCTTTATTCAAAATCTCAGCTAGATAGGTATAGGAAACGCTAATATAATTTGAAAGAGCATTTGGATCTGCTTCGATTTATTATAAAAAATACAGGGTGTTGTATTTGAAATAACAAAGTTTTTATGTAAAATAAATCCTTAAATTAAATCAGCAATTTTTGATACCCGTGTATAAATTTAGGAAAGTAATAACACTTTCCAGTAAAGTTTATTTCTTTACCTTTAAACTCAGCACAAGAATTAATTCTGAAAAGTAATGTACAGGGTGTTAATAATCTATTCTATAGTAGCATGCAAATTTAAATATCTTTAAATATCTCAAAAACCAAAGATTTTAAACATATTTTACCCTTATAATAAATGTCTTTTTTTTGGCTCACGAATCCAAAAATGAAATAAAATACTGGGTGTTCCATAAGAAAAAATATAACTTTGGTATGGATCTTAGTTCTAAAACACCCTGTATATTTCAAAATAATTTTAAAGTGTGCACATTGCCTCCCCATATATACCCATAAAATATTTTGTTTCTACATCTTTCCGTTTTCGTATAATCAACGGAGGCGAATGAGGTGCGCCACCCTGTATAATCAACAGACATTACAATAAACCAAATTACAAATATCAAAAGACAATAAATACCTTAATATTCTCTTCCTTTTTCACGGTGACTTTGGTGATGGATACCTCCTCATTCAGCGCTTGTTTTTCCATGAAAAAAACCGTTAGATTCAAATAAACGCGCACTTGATGAGGGTGATATTTTTTTTTCTCGTTCACATTTCACTGTAATGCCTCGTTCGAGCTAAATAGTTGCGTTACTGCGTAAAAAAGCCCCGCGGCTGGTTGATTGGTGTAGAGTGACTAGTGACTATGCAGGAGCAATGGATATTTTTGTCTAAACGGTGGCAGTATTCCCGCCAGTCGCTATTTTCAAAACGGAATAGAGCGCACAAGCGATGATCGCGGGAATCGGTTTGTTGGGGCTTGATAGAACTGAGCGCGCCACTTTTCTTTCGCGCCGTACAAGTTTCTTTCTATGAATTCTTAAGAGTCCATTTCACTAGTCTGAAAAAGTAGCAAAATAAACGTTCGGCATCTAACATTTTAGCTAAAACACTAAAACTGGTTAAGTATTTTTTTATAAACATTGTAGAACATCAAGAAAATATTCCTTATGTTTAGACTAAATTTTCACGAAAATAAAGACATAATTTAAAGTTCCGTTACTATACGGTAAGAGATTGAAGTTTTGTGATTATAGTGATATACAAGGTGGTCCGAACTGTATTCCGGAAACTTCGGCAGCATATTCTGCAGATAAAAATAAGTAAAAAAGTTCGTATAAATGTATGTCTAAATAATTTCTGAACGAACGTCAATATTTGGATGAAAATTGGCCACTGGGAGTTTTTTGACATGAGAAATTTGATTTTGGTGTCAATATGACTCCTATTTGTAGGGGGCGCCACTTACATGTGTTTTAACTGTTTTGTAAATTAATAACTTTTCGTCCGTACCTGTATAAAACTACAGAGTGAAAAAATATATGTACATGTCCGTGATTTTTTATGTAAAAAATGTCTCTTGGTAAAAAGCGTTACGAGTAACCATTCTCAAGATATTTAGAATGGAAATAGTCAATACATGTCATTATTGACAAAAACTAAACATGTTGAGTAGATAGTTATTTGACTGAAATGATTAATTTGGGGACTTTTTATTTTTTTAAATTAATCATAAATTTTTCTTCAAAAAAATCATGGTAAAACAGTCTGTGTCGAACTTTTGGCACAAAAACATTTCAAATTTATTTTTCAGTCTCATAACTATTTAGTCAACATGTTTAATTTATGTCAATGATGACAGGTATTGATAATTTCGATTCCAAATATCTCGAGAACTATTACTCGTAGCGATTTTTACCAAGATACCTTTTTACGTAAAAAAACGCGTAAATGTATATTTTTGTACTCAGTAGTTTTATACAGGTAGGGACGAAAAGTTATTATTATTCAAACCAGTTAAAAAATATGTAGGTGGCGCCCTCTACAGACAGGAGTTATATTGACATCAAAATCAAATTTCTCATATCGAGAAACTCCTAGATACCAAATTTCATCCAAATATTGACATCACTTCAGAAAGTATTTGAAAAAAAACGAAATATGTAATAATGAAATTTCTACACCCTGTATCTCCGAAACTAAGCATTTTCGGCCTATATCTAAATACATTTACACGAACTTTTTTACTTATTTTTATCTGCAGAATATGCTGCCGAAGTTTCCGGAATACAGTTAAGACCACCCTGTATACGCACTCCTATAATAAAAAACTTAGGAATAACCAACCCAATCTAAAGTTATGTAATAGATTCAGAAAAATATTTTAGGCTGTACTTAAACTGCCGTTAAACGGTAGCTTACTAAAATGCCGTTAATAGGTATGACGCCGTTGATGTGACGCACTTGACGGCTTTATGAAATATTGGAATTTTATAAGGACTAACCAACGCTATCCCCCCCACCAAATAACCAACTTAACCAACGCAACTAACCTCGACACTGATAAAAAAAAATAAAAAACAACTATAAATTAGTAAAAACCAACCAACCCCACCAAATAACCAACTAACCAATGAATTAACACCCTCCAAATAACCACGCTAACCAACCCGCCAAATAACTAAACCAATCCAACCAAAAAGAGTGAAACCAATGCAATAAGATCACGCTATAAGCAAAAAAAAATATAAAAAAGTCTTGGTCGGCTTGAGATTTGAACCCCGGACCATTCGCTCACGAAGCGATAGCCTCAGCCACCGAGCCACAGGTGCTCTTGCAAAATACTTATGGCTAGGCATTACTTTCCGCCGACATGAACGACGTCACAATATCTATTAACGGCATTTTAGTAGGCTACCGTTTAACGGCTGTTTAAGAATTAGTTTAGATCTTTTACTCATTTTTAATTAAAATTTATATAAAAAAAATATGAAAACCAGCACTCGCCACTCTCACAAACAAAATGTAAAAGGAACCAAGTGACACTTGTCATTTTCTATAAATAGTATTGAGCTTTGGATCTCTTTCTATTATAGAAAACTGCGTATTCGATCGATGTCGCTTGGATCTTTAGTTAATAGATGTCTCTAGGATCGCAATGGGTGCTTGATACTTTTTACACATTATAAATACATGGTAAAGTGTCGTATGGAACCTAAAACCTGATTTTTGCAATTTGGCGCTTGGTTCCTTTTCAATTAGCATCATCCATTTGACATTGACAATAATTTGACGTTTCAAAAATCTAAAGTTGAGTTCACACGCGTCTGCGTCCGTGTGTCCGTCACTCCAATCATATTAAAATATGATCTGTCATTTTTTTAAATCAACCAATAAGATTGGTTAAAAACAATAAGAGACGACGCATGACTGATTTATATAAAAACCCATCCATAGTTAACTTAAAAAGTTTTAGGAACTTTTTTTAGCGAAAGAATTGGATTGGTATGGAAGTCATCTGCTTTTTTTCTGTCATCGTCTGTCGAAATCTTACCTGAGAAAAAAAACAGAGTATATACTTGTTAAGTTGTATATTGAAAATTTTATTTCTTACTAGTATATTTTTTCCCATTTTTATTAGTTTAATGTCATATAGGTTTAATGTCAACCTCTTTTATGTCAGTTTAATAATATAGTTTCCTACTTTTGTGCTTAGACGTCAAAGTCTCGCCACAAAAAGTGTATATTTTACTTCTGATAAAACAATATAGTTACTGTCCTCCATTCACGCAGTTGTGCAGCTCTGAACTGTTCCAGAACGCGATACTCTCACTCCATTCAATTGAGTCATAAAGTTAAGAACTGTTCCGCGCAATATGGAGGCATCAGGCTATCGCGCACAGCTCCTTGCAGAACCGTTCTGAGTAGCCCAGTGCGTAAAGTTCTGGAACTTGAAATTCGCGAATGGAGGACAGCAATTGTTGTATAAGCAAATTTGTTTTCAAGCCAGTAGATTTTACAGTACATCAAATATATCATTCTTTTATCATTTTTATCTTTTTTATTCTTTTATTATTTTTATCTTAAAATATGTTTTTCTATGATATTAAAATTTGTCTACGAAAAACTCGACTAACCTGTATATTATATTTACCTTGTAAACCACCAACCCCCGCCATATGATACTGAACAAGGACAGCAATCGGGTGCCTGGTCATTTTTTCTGTCAAAAGTACTGAACAAAGCACCATCGTGGCTTAGCAATGCATCAGATGAATTTCCAGAGTAACCACCAATAACTAACTTATATTCTTCCTCCTCGTCCAAAACCTGGAACCTGGTATACTCAGCCCATGCATAGTTACCATCGAAATCTTCCAGTTCAATTCTCAGCGTCAAATCGTTATTTTTCGACCATCTAGCCAGAAAATTATTACCTATCCAGAAATCCCTCTCGAGATCCCCAAAGCCTAACTTATAATCATTCCAGGATACATTAAAATCTTGTTGAAGCGTGTAGTTATTTCTGCGTTGTATTACAGTCCACAAACCATCATCTCTAACCAGACAGAATTTTTTGTTAAAAAATCTTTCGTTTCGAAAATCAGCAAAATTGTTCTTAAAAACATAGATACCGCTGGTGTTGTTATCTATATCAAGATGATCACAAGATGTTTTGTTTTGATTTGTTACGTAATTCAAATCATTTTTGACGTTTAATTTGATAGTAGGGGGTTTTAGTACTGTTTCTGTTGTAACTGGTACAATTTGTTCCCTGATTCTTTCAGTTGAGCTAGGATATAGGGGTACAATCTCTTTGTTTTTAACATTACACACACTCTGATTCAACCTGGCAAACATAGACTTCTCATAAGTTCTTTGTTCTCGAAAATAACTGTTCAGCAACGAGTTTATATACTGATTCTGATCGTCTCGATAGTTCTCGAAAACTGTTCTAAAAGTTTGTTCTAAAACTGTCTTGTTGCATACATTCTGGAGATTGTAATTAATATTGGAAATGTCTTTTTGTAAACTGTAAGTATTTCTGTCAATTTCTAAAATTTTACTGAATATTTCTTCTAAAGGCTTTCGATGAGTGACAAAAGAAGGCTTTTTAGAAGTGATATTTTGCTCTAAACTCGTTGAACTATCTGGATTACCACTTCCTTCATGATATTTTCCATCAGTATAGTCATCTGTGTAATCTGGATCAAATTTTTTATTGATTCCATCAAAAATAACATCAACTTTTGATGAAATATCGTTTAACAGTTCTTCAGTTTGTTTAGGCAAGTTGCATTTTGTGTTGCTATCCTCTAGAGTTTTCAAACGCATCAAATCATTTTGTTTTCCGATCAAGAGCCTATCCAGTTTTCTTTCAACTAGTTTTAGGGAACTTAAAATACCACGGGCTGCGAATTCTTCAAAGAGCGAGTCTTTGGAGGGTTTATATTTGTTTTTAACTGAAGATCCGAGATCTAGAAGAGATTCTTCCAGGGTGTTGACTATTTTGGTCAGTCTGTCGAGTTTGTATTCGGATTGAAGCATGGTGCTGAGTTTGCTGTCTATAACTATTAGTTTCTCCATGCCTCTACAAAAGAAAATACAGTTAATTTATACAGGATAGCAGGGGTGGATGGGCCATATGGGAAAACGGAAAAATTCCCGGTGGGCCGGTGGAAATATGGGCCGGTCCCGATCAGAGCTCAAAAAAGATTAGATAGCAAAAATTGAATGGTTAATCTTCTAACTAAAGTGACGTAAGATTCTTAGTGACTCCATAACTAACTAATCAATTTGCATCAGTATAATCGTCAGTTGCTTTTAAACATAAACACCAATTTGTAAAATAACTATTGTAAAATGTCTTTCTCTGGGACACTTATAATTTTAATAATCATCTGTTGTTTATTCAGTTTGAAAATTTTTATTATACAAGGTGAGTCTATAAGTGCAAATATTTTTAGTGCTGGTAGATCTCAATAAAATAAACATAATATGATATGATCTTTATCGAATTTCAAATAAGTCCAATCGAGTCATTAAAGTTTGGAAATTAAAAAAAATAGATTTATTTTTAAAAAAAATTGAGCCACCTCAATTTTTCGGTATTTACATCTCTTTTAGTGCCGTAATATCAGAGATTAAGAAACTATACCGTGGAAAAATTTGCGGTGAACAAGAAGTTCTAAAAAGTTTTCTAAAATATAGGTACAGGAAAATTTAAAAGAAAATGCTCGATTTTCAACATCTTTTTTTGCAAAAAAAAGACCGGTTCCTGGGGTCGAAATATACCACCCCTGAAAATATTTGCACTTATTTAAGACTCACTCTGTATAGTTTTACCCAGCACTATTCTTTTATTAATAACTAATAAATATGACTGGCAGCAAAAAAAAAGGATGAATAGCATTAGGTAAATTTAAATAATCTCGATCTAAATGTATACTAAGAATACGATAGAGTAGATTGACAACTGGGGGCCTCGGTGCAATATTTTTCGAGCTCCCCTTTGTAAAAATGTAGACGAATTTGATGCGAACTCTGCGGTTGACGGAGAAAACATATCTATGCTTGGCTTGAATTGGGGACGGACTAAAAGCCAGGTCTAAATTGTTGTTTAAAATGTTGCTAAAATGAATTTGCTAAAAATTACTGAGACAGCAGAGAAAAGTTAAATAAGGTTTAAACTAGATTAGATAATAAAATATTAATATGTCTCGAAAATCCAAATATTCTTATTAGGGACTGTACATAGCATTACGTCAGAACACATTTATATCCATTGCCTAGGTATCGCCTAGATTTGTTTCGTTTGAGTCATGGCATTATCATACAAGATGCCAAATGTTGAAAAGTATAGAGAAAAGTTTCGTGATAAGAACTATACAGGGTTGTTCACCACATACGACACGGAGTATTGTAGCTAAACGATTAGATTTTTACAAATTGTAAGTTTTGGGTTCGTTGAAGGTCTATTAGAGCTACAATTTAAAAATATTTTTACAAGATACAGAGTGTCCCAAATAAGTAAAAAATATTATAGTTGTATTTTTTTAAATGGAACACCCTATATATTATTCTATTTTTGGATTCTACGATTGAAATAAAGGTAAATTTGATTAAGGTTTATCACACTTATACCTTACGGTTTTTGAAATATTTTCAATTTTATAAAATTGCAGTAAAAAATTTAAGGCTTTATTTCTCCAAGGGTATCAAAGTTTTTAATACTAAATATTTACTGAAAATTATTTATTTATCAGATATTGTGTTGCAATAATAAAAATTTTACTACCTTATACAGAGTGTCCAAAAATTTATATTAAGTAATTACTAGCTTTAAACGGCAATAATTTGTTTAATTTAAACGGAACACCCTATATATTTTACGTGAATCAGATGCACAATGTAATTGTCTATCAAATTGTATTGTTCCATTTTTTACCCATCTCTTCAAGTTTTCATAGAAAATGCAATTTCTTATAATTTAGACCTCATTTATCACTATACCCATGGAACATTGACACTTTAGCTTATTTTTAAAAATGTAACAAATTTTCAAAGGGTACAGATACTAACATTGTTGATATAGTTCGCTTATTTAATTAAAAAATAAAAAAAAATTGTTTAAATATTTTTTGTTAAAGAGGACCAATTAATATGATGCCAGTATTCAAACTACATTAATTGACTGTTTACTTTGTAGTAATAATTGCTCCAAATACTAAAAAAATAAATTTTGTGTGTGTATTAGACAGTGTGGTAAAAGTAACACCTTATAAATTTTATTTCATTTATTGACGAATGCTTATTTATAAAAACAGAGACATTCATTTTTATATCTTATTATTATATTGATTTCTGAACCAAATCCACATTTATTTAGAATATTTTATCAATTAAAACAATTTAAAAGTATGTAATTAACTAATTTTTGGTATTTTTGGTAGGAAATAATGGTGGTATATTTAATTGGTACACACTTTTACAAAGATTTAAATAGTTTTTTTTGTATGCTAATGGGCTTGCAATATTTACCACCTGTACAATTTGTACATATTATGGTGCTATAAAAAAATCTGAAATGTCAATATTCCATGGGTATAGTGATAAATGAGGTCTAAATTATAAGAAAATGCATTTTCTACGAAAACTTGAGAAAAGTCGATGGGTATAAAATGGTATAATACAATTTGATAGACAATTACATTGTGCATCTGATTCACGTAAAATATATAGGGTGTTCCATTTAAATTAAACAAGTTATTGCCGTTTAAAGCTAGTTATTGCCGTGTAAAGCTATTTAAAGCTAAATAAAATATGTTTCTGCGTTATGGTCATTCTGTTTTTATGGATTTGGGCCGGTTTCCTATTTTTCCCGGGCCGGTTTCCACTTCCCCATCCACCCCTGTAGGATAGGATCTAATTTCTCTCATTTCAAGACATTCTATCAAACACATTGTAACCCAAAACTGTTAGTTAGATAGTATTTTATAGGCTTACTTGCTTAAAATGTCGATTTTGCTATCCAGGGAAGCTAGCTGATCGTTCCAGGCTGCAACATGAAGCTGAAATGTGTCCCAAACGTGAGTTCTTTCCTGTAAATTGTGGATATTGCTATCTATGGTAGATAAAGTAGATGCTGTTGATGTTATCCTTGGTTCTAGCGAAGTGATGAACAGTGTATTCCATTTTTCCCATTGTTCTTAAATAAGAAAAGAAAAACAACAACAATTACAAATATATACAGAGTGAATATTTCATTTTATGACATAATACTAACGGTTGGTCGAAAAAAATATTATAAGAACTAATTTTTGTCTGTACCATTAAAATTCTATTAGAAAAGGTCATAGTAGTACCATAATAAGATAATCTACGTCTCTATACATAGATATACCAAGTGTTTTTTTTAAATATGCCATTTATTATATTAATTTTATTGAATTTGTAAAAATTATAAAGGCACAAATAAAAAAAAATATTTTTTACTTCTCAAATGATATGAATATCGAAAACGACCCAATATATTAATTTTTGTTTATATATAAAGTTTTATAAAAATCGTGTTGTGAAATAAAAAAATTGGCGCCGGGAGGCACGTATAGCCGCCCATACTAAAATATGTTAATAAAAAGTTGATAGGCAGTTCTTTTAGTTTCAAAGTAAAAGAATTTTTCCAATTTTTAGTCTACCATACCGACAGGTATGGTAGGCTATTAAGATCGGCAAAAAAAAGTTTTTAAATTTACTCAAAATGTGTTATTTGGGTCATAAATGACCTGAATACAAAATATTTTCTCATGGTGTCTCTCTGTCCGACTGTCTGTCCGTCTGTCTGTCCGTCCGTCTGTCCGTCTGTCCGTCTGTCCGTCTGTCTGTCTGTCCGTCTGTCCGTCTCTCTGTCCGTCTGTAACACGATAACTCAAAAACCGCTAAACCGATTTTAACCAAATTTGGCAAAAAAATTCTGTGGCACCCGAGAATCTGGCCATTAGTTTTTGGTTGGGGTGGGAGGTTGGTAAGGGGGTATGGGAGCGGGTTAAAAATTTTAAAAAATCGCAACTCCAAAATTTCAGTAGCAAGCGAAACGCGGTTTTCAAATTAAGATTAGGAATAATATTTGCAACAAAATTTGTAATAACATCTACATACCTGTTGGTATGGTCGGCTAAAAAAAACTATATTAAGTTTTGATTTACCTAAATTGAAAATGACGTAATGACAAAACACATCCAAGAGAGTCTAATATAAATCACTGATCAAAATTGTAAGAAATACCTACCTGACAAGACTTTCATAGTGTTTCTAATGGTTGCAACTTCAGACACTACATCTTCGTGACTACTGGACGGTAGTACACGGCCTGTAGTACTCGGTGGTACACAATAAACCTGGTTCAGAACTATGAAACTAACAACGTAAAACAATACCAGCATCGCTGGAGACGTTTTTAACATAAACCTGGGCGAAATATGAATAAGTCTGGCTGGCAAAAAAAACTTCTAAGACGCTTCTTCAATCCATATGGCTAAATCGTAAAATTATATTGGCGCGTAGTAATAAGCGTTCTATTAAATCATTTTAATGATCTTTTAGATTTACAGCCGCCTGCTATGACGGTTTGTTTAGGTGAAGCTTTAATTGCCTTCGCAATTTCGGTATATTATACCGTATGATCGAAAAAAAAAAACGGCGTCAGCGATGACGATAAAATGAAGGTCGCTGTCATTTTATATGTAAATTTATATTAGAAATGTCATCGATTTTCTTCAAAGTTACTTCTTAACTTAAATTCGATTTGTTTTAAAATAAAAATTAAATTTAAAAATGTATATATTCTTTTTTGAATGCTATAGATATACAGGGTGGCCCAGGCTGAGCGTGCATTAGAAGTTTCTAGAGAACCACAATATTTAGATCGGAGATTTTTTGCACATCATTGTTTTACGAGATCTATCGATTAATAATATTTTCAATATGGCAGAACTTCCGGAAATACCGGAAGTTGACAGCGACTTTTTTATTTTAAATGGGTACCCCCATTTTTTATTACATATTTAAATTCTCTGTAAAATTTTATGAATTTTGATATTAAACGCTAACCTAACATTAACCGTTTTTGAGGAAAAAAATATTTAAAATTTTTGTACGAAAAAAACTACCTGTTAAAAAAAATTCTATAGCATAAAAGTCAAATTTAGTGATTACCACAGCCACTGTGACATAAAGAAAAGACATGCGGCTATCTATTTCAAAAATTAAATTGTTCAAATGCCATATAATAATGGCGGTAGCTGTCATGGAGTTGAGCGATTAAAAAATTGTCAAAAATCATTTTTTTCAAATGGAACCCCACTTTTTTTATTTCACTAGTGTAAAGGTTTTCCAATTCGTTACTTTTTGAGTATACATACTCCTATACCTAAAATAAATCGTTTTTAAGTTATTCAAGATTTAGTTTGAAAACATATATTTTTCTAGATTTTATCTAGCTTCCTTTGACATTAAGTGTCAAACAGTCAGACAATTTATTTCCATCTGTCAGAAAACGAATTATTTGAATTTCCTATATTATAAATACTGCCTGCTTAAAAGTTTAAAAAGTGTATTTATAAAAATATATCTCGTATTTTCGCTCTTTAGTGATATCTAATAGTTGATATTATTAATAATTTACCGTATGATCGAGAGTTGGCTTGGAAATGATGATCGATAACATAGTGCTTTTTGAACAAAGTGTCACAATATGACATGGCCAGATTTATTGTTTTACATCACTTGACGTTTAAAGTCATAGGCTACTGGTTAAAATCAAGAAAAATATACGCTTTAAAACTAAATGTTAAATAACTTAAAAAAAATTATTTTAGCTATAGGAACATGTATAGTCAAAAAGTAACAAATTGAAAAGCCTTTTCACTAGCGAAATAAAAAAGTGGGTTTCCATTTTAAAAAAAATGATTTATGATAATTTTTTAATCGCTCAATTCCATGACAGCTGCGGTCATTATTATATGACATTCGAACAATTTCATTTTTGAAATAGATAGCTACATGTCATCTTTTTATGTCACAGTGACTGTGGTAATCAATAAATTTGACGTTTAGGCTATACACATATTTTTGACAGGCAGTTTTTTTCGTTGAAAAATTTTAAATATTTTTTTTTCTCAAAAACGGTTAATGTTAGGTATAGAGTGTGCAATATCAAAATTCATAAAATTTGAGAGAAAATTTAAATATGTAATAAAAAATGGGAGTACCCATTTAAAATAAGAAAGTTGCTGTCAACTTCCGGTATTTCCGGAAGTGCCGCCATATTGAAAACATTTTTAATCGATAGATGTGAGACAATGATGTGCAAAAATTCTCCGATCTAGATATTGTATTTCTCTAGAAACTTCTAATGCACGCTCAGCCTGGGACACCCTGTATATTCTAGGTCTCACGGCAATAAAAGATATTCTTATAAATATATCTCTTTATGAAGTTTTATATATTATGTTTCGCAATGATCGAAAAAAAAAATGGGCGTCCAGCTGACTTGGAAATGACGATCGATGACATTTGCCATATAATTTTACATATAAAATGTCAGCGATCTTCAATGCCATCGCTAGATTGCTAGATTGTATGGGATGGTAGAAGTTAATCACCGCGACCTTATAGATCTATTGTCCTCCAGCCAGTATCTTAGACGGTTTTACAGAGGTTAGTTCTCCATGGTTGTCGTCTCGGCGCACTCATTGATGAGGTGTTCTAGTGTTTCCCCATTTTCCCCAAAGAATCTGCACTCGCCGTAATTTCTTAGTTTCAATCTACTGACACAAATTAACTACAACAGATGCGAAAGAACACCGAATTACGCGTTCAGATTTCTGTGACCTTCAGAAAGAGTTCATAGACAATCCGTATCAATGTATAATTTGGGTTATTATTTGTTTGAGTGAAAATAATCTGCACCAATATGTTATCGAGGCATATAATCTCACAGTAATTTAATAGATTGCTCGTCATATTATATCAGTTCGTAGGAGATTAGGAAAAAAAAGATATTTATAGTATAAAAAATTAATTTATTTAACAAAATTTAATTAAAGATGTGACAAAATAGTTACTTTTCTATTGGTTCTATCGGACTTTTTTCGACTATATAAATCTTTATTTTTTGTAAACTTTAATGCATAAAATATTTTCAATCTAATAAATAATTTAATGATGTAAATAAGAGGAAATTTCTCACATGGGTGGTCAACAGCCTCTGAATGTTTTCTTCAGTGCAAAACTCATCAAAATTTAATATAAATAATTTTTCCATTTCCAGTAAATAAAATGAACAAATTTTTCCACTTTCATGATCAAAGGCTTTTAAATGGGTAAATAATTTCGAGTTATCCAGAAATTCGGATTCTTTTGCAAATTTTAGACAAATATCTCATTGATGTATTTGAAGACCCTTTTAATTGATGTAGTCAAACATAATTAAAGGCATTTTGAGTTGAAAACATTTCTCAGAGGCTGTTTGATATAATGAAAACTATAGAATTTGCCAACCATGTGAGAAATTTCCTCTTATTTACATCATTAAATGATTTATTAGATTGAAAATATTTGATGTATTAAAGTTTACAAATAAAGATTTATATAGTGGAAAAAATCCGATAGAACTAATAGAAAGGTACTATTTTGTCACATTTTTAATTAAATTTTGTTAAATAAATTATCTTTTTATACTTTAAATATCTTTTTTTCCTTATAAATAAACACATTTGTATCCCACTTTAAATAAGATATACAAATTACCAAAACTTAGAAATAACAGTTCAAAAGTTCAACAAAAATCCTACACCCATTTTTAAAAAGAAACATATAACCACGCACTATGTCATTCCAGCAAGCGAATACGACACAGCATAGGTTTCCGGACTAAACGACTGGTGTATTTACATCACTCAATAGGCGTGTGGGGTTTGCCAAGCGGTTTCCGATGCAGTCGCTTTCTTTCGCATCTGTTATAGGTAATTTGTGCTACTGAGGTGTTCATCGAGGACACTTTTCCTGTTGAAAACCCTGTGACAATCCGAAGATTGTTTTTACTTAAATCAAAGAAAATATTTGATTTCTCTCAGTCCGAAGTCCTGAGAAATTTCTTCGAGTGTATTTGACCGTTGGAGGATAAAATAAAATGAAAAGTTTAAAATTGCCTTTAAACTTTTCATTTTGTAAAAATGTAAATGAAATCTTATTTCTACGTCTTTTTTATTTGATCACACTGTAGAGTATCTAATTATTACTTAATTTAAAAAAAGAATAAATACTGTAACATAAAGCATTAATTTTATTTTAAATACATTATAATTATTTGTTCCAAACAGTCTGCTGTATCCAAGTAACGTAGTAGGAAAGTTTAGTGTACACACCAGGAACATTAGGCGAACCACACTGTATACCAAATGACGTAATTCCAACTAAATACCAGCGATTATCTTTACGGAACTGCAAAGGTCCACCTGAATCACCCTGTATAAAAAAATCTTAATTTTTAAACCATCCATCAAATCAAATTTAAAATATTGTTTACAAAGCATACCATTGAAAGAAACATAGATTTAAAGAAATTGTTTTATTCAAACAAATAATAATATTTTCAGCTTGATGCTTACCTGACAAGTGTCTTTCTTTTGTGATCTACTGCCAGCACAAATTTGAGTCGACTCCTGAATGCCTAATGGTAATTGATCTCTGGGAATCACCTTGTATACATCTTGACATTCCTGCTGAGTAAAAAACTCCAGACCTACTTTCTGCAAGCGTTGACTAGAAGCACCTGTATCTGTCTTTCCCCATCCTAAGAATACAACACTGGACTAGTATACAGTGTGTCCCAATATTCCGTGGACATAGAACGACTACTATTTTTGGAATTCAAACATCAAACTTTAAAAAAAACACATTTTTTAAGATATTTTAAGAACCGCTATTACAATCTGAATGGGATTTGGGGTTCCTATGTTTTCCTAGTCGCTTTAACATTTGACTTTCGAAAAAAAAAACGTACGGGAAGAGTAAAAACTATACCCACCCCTACATAAATCTTAGTAGAAATATTTTCAACGCCACTGGCGACTGATTTTTTTCGTAAAATGGTCTTTCTAGTATTTACTACCATATGATCGAAAAAAAAAACGGCGTCAGTGATGGCTATGAAATAAAGATCGCTATCATTTTATATGTAAATTTATATGGGAAATGTCATTGGTGTTCATTTCCAAGCCAGCTGGACCGTAACCACCGTAATAACAAGGCTGGACAGCTTATTCGTGACGTCATCAACTGGAGGCTTAAACTTTAATTGCATTTGATACACTTTATATGTATGTAATGGATATAAACTTTAATTGCACCGAATTTTTAATAAATAATAACTAAACATAAAATTTAAAAAACATCAGATTCATACCCATCTCACATTATCCATCGTCATTGTATTTATTTATGCTGTAAGTGTGTCTAAGTTTCTTTTATTTCCTTTTCCAAGTCCATCATTTTTTTTACAACAGTAGTTTTTCAGACGTGTATTTCTAATATAATTTATGACAATTTTTACAATAACTTAAGCATTTTTAATAATGGTGTTATTACCTTTAATGTAATCCAAAGATATTTTTGATAAAAATATTTTTTTAATGTGAATTTTGAGAAACTCCTCATGGCTTTGTTAAAAATTATATATTCAAGTAAAACTATATTAGTTATTTCATCTTTCGGAAACCCAAGACTGCCTTTAGTAAGGTTTTTTATAAGTGAATTTTGTTCAATATTAGTGTTGTCTGAAAATGTTAAATTATTCTTACATGTATCGCATTTAATTTCCTTTAAGACAAATTTAATTTAATAACAGCAATATCCTCCTAAATAAGCAATAACAGGCCTTTCTTCCTTCACACTTTCGATATCTTGTTCAGAAATAGTAATGTTGGTGTTAAACCAATCTGATTCGATGGTACTTGTATCGCGTGGTATTTCTTTAGACAAGGTATTGTCATCATAAAATCATAAAAGGTATAGATTTTTATAGAACCAAAACAAGTAAATTTTAAGGACATTAATGACTGAATCCTAAGTTTCTTTTCGCCTTCATATTAATGTCGAACACAAATACTGTATTGACTCTTAGCTAACTGTCTATATTTTCCAAACCTACTTTCAAGAGGATCAGTTTGCAAGTTCTCTAGTAAAACATACCTCATATTTTACTCATTAAAACAATATTTTATTACTTCAAGCTCTACCTGTTACTCAACTCAAGTTAATAACTTTAATATTGAACACAGATAAAAGTTAGAAATTTAATATTTTCATCGCATTTTAAAGAATTTAGTAAATAACAAGCATGATAGGCATTATACCTTTTAAATTGTATAATTGCACACACTTATAATCACTTTATAGGTTAAACACATCTTTTTACAGATTTATAACTTTTTTCACTCTTCTATTATCGATTATAATTAGCACGTCCGCACACCTACCGATAAATCGATGACTGTCAACTGCGGCAACACCACTCCGCTACGACAGGCGCCGGCGCCGTCGCGCGTCGCCCCTGAGTGGGGGGCGTAAAATACCGATAAAAAACATAATATATACTATAAAAAATATTTAAATTTTTATTGTTGTTTTTCTCATATTATACACTATTGTGAACTAAAATATTCCTTTATTAAATTTGATTGATAAAAAGTGAGAGATAAACATTTATTGACTGGTATGATTTTTTCCGTATTCTATTAAAACTATTTTTATATACTATAATATTTTTAAGAACTCGAAAAAAGACATTTTAAAACTTCGAAATATATCTGCTGAGTGAAAAAAGATCCACAATTTGAACTTTTATCGGGTAATTATCAACGCTGCTAAATAGAGTTACATAGGCCTCCAGTTGGTGACGTCACGACATTTTTACGTCACAGCTGTCCGGCCTTGTTATTACGGTGGTTACGGCTGGACGCCATTTTTTGTCTCTTGTAAAAGAACACCACTGTGCATACTTTTTGAGAAAAAAAGATATTTCCTTTTATATGGAGGTAAATTGTGTGCAATTAATTTTTTTTTATGCAAAAAATACGTAGTTGTTCTAGGTTCATGGAATATTGGAACTCGCAGTATATTTTTAGGTCTATTTTCAAAGGAAATTCTCAAAAATTTGTATTTTCTTAAAAACTATGCGATATGGTCTTTCTTTACTAAAGACAGAATATGTAGTAAATATTAGAAGGACTGTTTTACGAAACAAAAATTAGTCGTCGTCGTTGGAAAATATTTCTACTAAAATGTTATGTAGAGGTGGGAGTAGCTTTCACCCTTCCCGTACTTTTTTTATTGATTTTAGTGAAAGTCAAATGTTAATGTGTCCAATGATTATAGTAGTCCTATGTCCATGGAATATTAGAACACCTTAACAAGATGGCCTGTAGAAATTAGGATATATTTTTCCCATCTGAGATTTTATCTTGATATTTATACAAAATAAGCAAGCAGTCCCCCAATTTGAATACTCGAATCCTGATACAGGTTTACTCAACTAAACTTATTTTAACCGCAGACATTATTGTTTTTTAGTCACTTTTGATAATAATATTGTAGTACCTGTTGCAATCAAGTTTCTATCACCATAATCGGATGATGAGAACAAACAAATGGGTAGAACAAAGGAAGTAATCCTAGCAGAACGATCCATCTGGATAAGAGCTATATCATTGTACCGGCCTGACGTATGGTATTCTGGATGTGCTAGTCGACTAATCACATTAAACTCCTGAGTGTTTGGTGAGTTTGTGTTTAAGTCGATGTTTCCAAGTTTCACATAACGTACATCCCCGCTTAAAATACATGTTTTGTTCTCTATATTTTTAATCAAGATTTTCTTTTACTTACACTGACGAAACTGATAGGCAATGAGCTGCAGTAATGACATATCTCTCAGATACTAAACTTCCTCCACAAAGCCACTGCTTGGCATTGACATCTCCAAATCCTAGAGCTGCCTAAGGGAAATAAAACTTAAATAATACTAGCAATGTTTAAATTATCTTAGGGGAAAATTGCCTATACCGTACTGGCTGCTAAATCTTACCCGGTCCGAAAAATTTAGTATTTTTTTAACTTTTATGTACAACAGCGCAGCGGTACGGTTTAAACTACTTTCTCCTAAGAGACTTAAAGAATTTACCATATGAGGAAATTCTTTTTCTAATGTATCCACTCCGCCAATCACCATTACAACAGGTGTAGACATCTGCTTAGCCGGAATCATAGAGTTATATGCAGTACATTCTATAAAATAATATTTTGGTACCAAATAAATCATTTCAATGTAGGTATATAACAAAAACACAAAATGTTACTTACTTTTTTCCAGAAAATCTAAAGAATTATCTATAATCTCAGCCGAAATTACTATTGTATCTGATGGTGTTGTAGTGGGTGGATTAAATCTATTAGGTAAGCCAGGGGGTACCATAATATTGCCCATTAAGGGTGGTGGACTTCCTCCAGAAGGAGGTGAGCCACCACCTGGAGGTGTGCTTCCATTTGGAGGTGAGCCTCCACCAGGAGGTGAACCTCCTTGGCCTCCTGGAGGCTGGCTACCACTTGGCGGTGTGCCTCCACTTGGTGGAGAACTTCCTCCTGAAAAAGCAAGAGCACCAGTACTATATAATATCATATAATACCGTATGATCGAAAAAAAGCTGCAGAAAGACAATCGATGATAATTTTAGCGAAGCAATCTCTAAAAATTAAGATAAAACTTGTCAAATTTAACACTACACTTGACCTCGACGAAATTGTTATCGATTTTCATTCCTCAGCCGTCTTTAACGTCCTTTTTTCGATTACCTTGACCTGCTGGAGGCGTGCTTCCACTTGGTGGAGGACTACCACCAGGTGTAGAACCTCCACCAGATTGAGTACCACCTCCTGGGGCTTGTGGGGCTCCTGTAGAAGGCGGTGCCCCTCCTGGTGTTGATCCTGAAGTCGGTGGAGCGCTTGAACTAGGTGGTGAACCCCCAGATGGTGGTGCTGGACCTCCTCCAGGTGGGGCACTGCTACCGGGACTACCAGCCGATGGTGGAGCACCACCTGGTGCTTATTTTTGAACAAAATTAACCGTTTATATTAATCCAAAGCATAAAACAAGAAGTCTAAGGAAGGAGTATATCAAAACACACTTAGTAACACACTTGGCGAGACTGTAAAGGGGTTTCAATATCGCTGACTTCCGGTTGATCAGTGGTTTTCAATTTTCTTTTGACAGGTTAAAAATATAAAGTAAGATACAGTCAATTACTGGTTTGTTAGTCGTTATGTTGAGTTGGTAAATGTTACTTAAAAGTAATTTAAAAAAATGATATTTAATAATGCTTGGAATACAAATTTAATAGGGTTATGAGAGACTCTTTCTATAAGTCTTTAAATAAAATAAAAAATATACCTTGAGGTGCTGAATTTACGTTGTTGTCAGGTGTAACGATTTTTTCAGAAACTTGGCAACAGACCAATTCATTCTCGCAAGTACCTTTGTATAAAACATTTTTTTGTGGACATATAGTAGGCGAAATACATCTTCCTACTAAATCAATGCCACAAAATTTACTGTCTAGAAAAAATTAAGCAATTAATACAATGTTATCGTAAAAAAGGGCGTCAGCGATGGCTATGAAATGAAGATCGTTGTCACTTTATATGTAAAATTATATGGGAGATGTCATTGACCGTCGTTTCCAAGCCAAATGGACGCCGTTTTTTTTTTCGAACATATGAAATAAGTTTTCTGTAATAGTTATTTATGATATAAGTGCTAAAAGTGGTATTTTATTTTGTGAGAAGGAAAGCTTGGGACAAGACGCCGAAGGCGGGGTCTCCCATCCCTTCGAACAAAATAAAATCACTTTTAGCACACATATCATACACTATTTTTTCTACAAACAAGTTTATGCTCGTATATATCAAGATATTATTACTTTTTACGTTAATGAATAATTATATATCATAATACATAATATGTCATTCTGAAATCAAATTAATTAGGAAGTTTATGGTTGCTAGGGTAATTTCAGTTAAAAGTAAATCACGTGACTTACTTTTAGCACCAGTGCTAAAATGTCACATAATGTCAGATTTTAGGCACTGACAGCATGCGTTAAAAATTACATTTTTACTGACGTTTGTAGAAAAAATATTTTTTGGTCAATTCTTTATAAACCTAACTTATATTTTAATGGATGTTTATACAGGGTGAGTCTTAAATAAATGCGCAAATATTTTTAGGGGTAGTATATTTCCACCCCAGAAACACGATTATGAGTTTTTTTCGCAAGAATTTTGTCTTAAAAATTTGGAATTTTTTGAAAAAAAAATTGGAATGTTTTTTAGTTTTTAGTTAAAAAACATAATTTCTTGATAATATTGTAACATAGGTAGTAGATTAAATTTACAATAAAACCAAGAAAAGACCCATTGGTGCTCAAAATTTAAGAAAAAAACAGGGTTTTTTGGAAATTTTCAAAGTAAAATAACTCGGTTATTTTGGGCTTATTTGAAAAACGGTAAAGAGATAATATGTTTCTTTTACCGAGATCTACAAGCCCCAAAATATTTGTACTTGATTTAAGCATATATAGATATAAACTCTTTTTTAAATATATAAAAATTTATGTAGGTATTAAATAAAAAATATAATATAAATAAATACTTACTGATTGAGAACGACTTGATCTTCCCTAAAACTAACACTAGAAAAAATACATTATACATCAACATGATATGCTATAAAATAAAGTCCCAAGAATTCTATACATCGATGTGCACTCGACATACAGACAAAATTAAAATAATTTACACCATTCAATGTAACTTTGCATTGAATTTCGATGTCACCATATCACATGTATTCTCATTTTATTTATTGTTAACAGAGTAATTTTGCGCTTACTGATTTTAACATGAAAATATAATAATTATGGGGAATTTTATTACAAATAGCAAAATAGCTATAGAACAAAGAAAAATACAGCAGGTTGCAAAATGTATAATCCCTTTACCGTTACTATGTAATACATCTAACACAGCTATTTAAAATATTAAATATTAAATTCTTCGTATGAACTAAGAAGGACTAGAAGAATTGAAATAGTACTAGTCGAAAGATTAGAGGTAAGTAACCAAATATGGAATAGTATCCCTAATATGGGAATACCGCCATTTCTCGAAAACGAATACGCCTAATTGCAAAATATAGTGAGTTTTAATCTCTTTATATTGTTGCGGACCCGTGTGGACTCGACCTAACCTAACTATATGTCCCGCCCTCAGATGACCTTAACATCGCATTAAAGAATAGGCATCGTAATGATTCATTCGAACGTTCGAGAAGAAACGAGTTCCACTGGAATGGAGTAGTACATACGAGAACATTCGAAACCTTCTCTATGCACCTAATGATTTATGGATTATTCGAGAAACTCTTTAGCTGTGGGTATAAAATCCGACGGCTGGGGCCTGAGGAGGACAGAAATGAATAGACGAGTACAGTTGACGCGCTAAATTCAAAATAAATTATTTCTAGATAAATAGTTATAAATCGTTTGTAAATAGTTCTTTAAGTTTTTTATCGTTATTGTTTTTATTAATTAGTGTTAAATAAATTGTGTTTAAATAAATTGTGACTTTCTATCCACACGGAACCGACGAAAAACGTAACAATATCATTATACTCACGTGCAGGTTTTGCCTTGTCATTCAAACGAGCTTTTGGGCAAGAGTGTTTTGGGGTATTATGTATTATGGTTTGTATTATTTTGCTGTTGTAACACCATTAGTGGTTTCCATTGTAATTTTTTGTTTTTATATGTGATGCTAACTTTCGACTGTCAAAGATGTACTGTGTGGTTCAGTCTGTTATTAGACTTTTTGAAAAGGACAGGACTGGACAATATATTGCAAAAATATCGCAAAATTTATTTTTAGAAATTGATATATTTGGCACAGAATAATTACAGTTCCAAAATAATTCAAATATTAAGGCCAAACATGATCCTCAATCCATCTGACGTAATATGACACTCTGGTATATACTCCAGGTAAATCTGTTCCAAAGCCACAACCTTTTCCAAAAGATGTTATTCCTACAATGTCGTACAAGCAAGCGTTGTCCTTATCTTCACCTTTGTAGACTTGTAGAGGTCCACCAGAATCGCCCTGTTAAAATAATAATAGTATATCATTTATAGGCATAGTGCATTTCAGTTGAGTTTAAAAATTCTGACCACAGCGCTCGATACAGCAGAAATCAGAAGTTTTCGCTCTGAATTTCATGCAGTTCTGATGTTGATCGCATTGAAATAATATTAAAATCGTAGTTTTGTCCTAATCTTTAAGTATTTTAGTTTTTAATAGTGCAGTTATTGGAACTATAAAACACTCAGGTACGAGGCTTGTTTGACGTAACCAAGATGTAACGCTCCAAAACTCCAAAAGAATCAAAATAGTTATTTTTTATACAAGACAAGACAAGACTATTTTATCGTCGTGTATAAAACAATATGTTTTTCCATAGCCAGTTAAGTTTTAAAAAAATATTCACAAATTATTATTTCAAGGAATTTATTACGAGTAGAAAAAATTTTGTGCTGGGTTGGCGTTGGTTTCTATGTAATTTGACACACATAGGCGTGCCCACGCGGGGGGTGGGGCGGTGGAGGCCCCCTAATCAGCATAAATTATAAATAAAAAAAACCTCAAACGAAAACCCACAAAAAAAGATCCGTTGGAAAACCGGGAAAATCAATTTTCTGCGTGCGGAAAATGTTACTTTGCGCACGCTTGTATAAAAAAAATTTCGCTTGCGGCGCTACTTTTTTCTCCGGTTCGTAATCTTTAACTTTGGCCCCCCCCCCTTATTAAAAAGCCTGGTCACGCCGATGTTGACAAATAAATAAAGCTGTCTCTTTAGTTGTCAGTTTTGAGATGGTTTTGAGTTGGGTTTTGAGTCAATATTTTTTAATTCTCTTTCGTGTCGATTGTTGATTCAATTGGAGCCAGAAATGGCTCAAAACAAAATAAGTAAATTACCAACAGATATTCAGGCTGAGGCAACAAACGCCATATCCAAACTAGTAAATTACTTTTAAATCCCGAATAACTTATGAAAAGGAATACAAAAATTTTCAAAAATGGAATGAATTAAAAAACGTGCGAGAAGAAATAAAGTTTTTAACTTATCCTCGCTGTTAAAGTATCATTTAATCTACCCTTGCGGTTAAAGTACTATTTTATCTACTATTTTTGATAGATATAAGGCAATTTTAACAGTTGCTATAGAAAAAAGTTTCAAAATCTCCTGAACCAGGTCTCTGGGAATAATGGACGGCTTTATAAATTTCACGTAACTCTTTTTCGGATAGTAAAAATTAAGTGAAAAAGAACCCGAACTGAGCGTCGTTTTTTATGTTGTGACAATTTCAAATGTTAGTAAAACTGTCGAAAAAATGTTAACACGTAAAGGAGGGCGTAATTACGTGCTTATTGGGTGCAATCAACTGATTCCCTGATATTCAACTCTCCAGAAACAACATTTTATAGCTTCACAACCTCTCACACTGCACTATGGTTTCTAGAAGCTACTTTTTTGGCCAAAATTAAACAACTTAATTTAATGGAAAATATTGACTGTAAATTTGTGTTTTTAATAAAATAATAAAAGACTAATAAAATGAAGTTATTTTTAATCTTCTCATTCAACATGTGATTAACTTTTACCTACGAAGCATCTTCTGTATCTAGTTCCAAAAAAGAAAGTTGATCAATCATCGAATTACTGCTGTTCAAAAACAATCTTCTTTAGAAATATCTTCTTGCTCTTCTTCTTTTTGATTTCTTCTTCTTCTTGCGCTTCCTCCTCGTATTCCTCTTCTTTTCATGCTTCTCTTCAAATTGTTCTTCATTTAACTTCTTTTCGATAAAGTCAGGTACACGAAGTAGGTTAAGTACAGGGTGAGTCAAATTCGACGCTTTTAAATGGAAACACCCTTTTCTATAGGAGATAGACAAAAACCAATATCAGTGTCTGGAGCTCAATTTTCATCAAAAACATGATGGTGAAAACCGCACATCAATATCTGTTACCGTTTCGGAGTTACGGGGTGTTTTTCAAAAATATGCATTTTTAACAAATCGCTGTAACTTTTTTGCTATGGAAAATTTTGTATTTTTATGAAAACATTTCCAAAGCACCTTTTTACGTAGAATTTAGTGGTTTAAGTATCATTTTTTTAAAATTAATAATTTAAGAATCATCAACAGAAAATTTGATTTTTTATATGGGACACTCTGTATATTTTTAATTTATTGAAAAGAATTTAAAATTACCTTTCCAAAAATATAACACGCTTGATATTTTGCTCGATTCCTCTTCGAGATATAGAGTAAGTATATAAAAAATCGTCCGCTTTAAATAAGTAGGCTTTGAACGGCACCGGCTGTAATGCAAAAAAATTCTAGCTGTGAGAATCAATTAAAACGAAAATAATATTTGCTACGAGAGATGCAGAATTCTAGAACAATTTAAAATATATTTAACCAACATCACAACACATTTAAACTATATCTAATAACAATAAAAATAACATGATATTTTGCTACAGGTTTTCGACATACCGACGGTTTTCTGTTATGGATAAACGGGGTAGTTTTTGAACATTTCTCGCGGAATTCATTAACTCAGTAGGGGTGAAAGATACCCTCTCATAACTGCTAAGTATTTCTAATTCTTGTCTAGATTATGCGGAAGAATAAGGAACCTTTATTCTTCCGCAAATATATCCATAGGATTAGATCCATGGGCACTCAGGCGGCCTCGACGGCCAACGGCTGGGATCTTGGTTAGCTATTCAATTATTCTTGAAATTGGCTGCAAAAATTTGCTGATAACTTCAGCGTTCAGAGGCGGTGCATCGTCTTGCTGGAAAAATATGTATTCGAGTTCCATTAAGGGTATATTATCAATAAGGGTCCAAAGCCTACTAGTTAGAAGTGGCGAACTTTTAAAAATTCTGTATTTCGAAGGGGATTATAACAAAATATCAAATGTGCTATATTTTTGGAAAGGTAATTTTAAACTCTTTTCAGTTAATTAAAAATATAGAGGGTGTCCCAAATAAAAATTAATTTTTCTGTTGATAACTATTAAATTATTAATTTTAAAAAAATTATACTTCAACCATTAAATTCTACGTAAAAGGTGATTTGGAAATGTTTTCATAGAAATACAAAATTTTCCATAGTAAAAAGTTACAGCGATTTGTTAAAAATGCACATTTTTGAAAAACACCCCGTAACTCCGAAACGGTAACAGATATTGATGTGCGGTTTTCACCATCATGTTTTTGATGAAAATTGAGCTCCAGACACCGATATTAGTTTTCGTCTATCTCCTATAGAAAAGGGTGTTTCCATTTAAAAGCGTCGAATTTGACCCACCCTGTTCATCGGCAGGATAACTAAATTTACAAAGCAGCCTGAACAAGTAAAGTATTTTGCAGCCTGCACAAGTAAAGCCCAATCCTGCCTATGTTCCTCGGAAACTTTTGAGGCCGTTCTTCTCTGGGTTCTGGAAGATTGCTCCGAAAAAGGTAATCGTGGGCAGCCGGCAGATGATGTGGATGGAAGGGGTTCATTTAACTCAAGGATAAAATCCTCCTTTAACCAGTCTTCATTTTGTTTTAAAAATAAATCTTTAAGCCGCGAAGCCGCCTGCCATCTTCTTTCAAAATTTATACAAAGGCGATTTATCTTTTTTCCATTGTGCCTGATAGTTCTTGTTCATTATTCTGAAATTTTTGACTTACAAAATTTGAAACATAACCGTTTTTCTCAACTTTATCGGCCCCTTGTAGCCATTTTTCCAAAATATCTATTTTTTTCAATCGATACATAGGAGAAAAAAAAATTCTTTTAAAAAAAAAGTTGCAGCTAGTAGCAGCCAATTTTTTCTATGCTATGTTCACAAAGGATTGTTTCAAATTTTACAATAACATCTAGCATGGAGAAACATGGAGAATTTTTTATAAGTCAAACTAAATTTTTAACTTTTTATTTATTTTCTGTCTTAAACTCATTATTTTTAATTAATTAATAAATAATGGACGCTGATTCTTATGTGCAATTGTTAGTGATTTCTTAACAATACATACCATAAGGTGTAAAAATAACAGTAATCCGTTTTTAAATCCCACTGAAATATATCACTTAATATTCACCAAAACTCTTCCGAAAATAAACAACAACTGAATAGGCACAAATACTTCACTAAAACGTCTAAATATAAATGCTGATAAGGAATAAAAATTAAAACTAAACAAAAATATATGCATGTGGTCTTCTTCATTTGTATATCTGCTTGCATTCCACTTACAAAAAAAGTCCCTCTACAGTGGGTCTAAAATATGTATTTTGGCCAAAAAAAAATAGCTTCTAGAAACCATAGTGCACTGATAAAATGGATTTAAGCAGCTCGTCGAAACAAGTGAGCAAACACAGTGCCCATTACATAATCAAAAAATTAAATAGGCAAATACTATGAGAGGATAAATTATAATTTGCAATATTAATGGTATACTTGTTTTAATTAATTAGTGCTTAATTTTTTATAAACGTTATCTAAAATTATTATAATTATGTATCCTTCGTAAAAATGCGTTATAACCGAAATAGCTATAGTTATGTTTCCGCTAGCAAAATCGGTGCGTAAAACTATGCTATTTGAACTCATCTAAAAAGTTTTATGAGCTTAAATAGTAAATTATAATACAAGTTAAACCTTCTGAAGGTATCTAAATATTTACTTTTTTATTTTTAGAATTTTAACAAATTATACTTCCTAACACTTTTAGAATAATAATTATATAATAAATTTTTCGTATACTCGGTATTTAAATTCGTGTATTTGTATATACCAGTTGTTTACGATATTCTACGATTGTTGCAGAACCGGCGCACAGTGCTTCGTCCCATGGACAAAAATCGAAAAAAAAGTTAAAATTTACTAATATCTGAATATGTAATTTTATACTTATAGCAATGTTCAACCCTCCTGTATATTATTTTTCATAAACAGCGTTTTTTTTTCAAACTTCAAAAAGGCATTTAAAAAAGATATATCAAATCATATCGTATTTATTGAATATTTTTGTTGTCATATTCATATACTTTTAATTTTTGTATAGTTCACCTGCGTTTGCTTGCGACGAACTTTATTTTATAATACTTTTCGGTATTATGGAGTAATGGCAGATGAAGTAAAATCGATAAGCAATGCCGATCTGGTTAATACTTGGCTTGATTATAAGGACAAGAACTCAAAATTATTTGTATTTCAAAAAATGTGTTCTTTATTAGATATTGATGAACCTTCCTGTCAAATGAGACACCACTTGTGCCTGAAAAAGTCGACTATGTTGGAGCGAAACGCCGCATAAAAAAAGTTTCCATCTTTCAATTTATTATAAACCCTAAAAATTGAAATACCCAAGAAAAGGAAAAAATAATATATGGATATGGTCTATTAAAGAGGTAACTATTAACATCCCATATGCCCTCATACCAACAAAAAGAACAGTAACAACGCGAAAAAGTAACATATTAGAAAATGATGTACAGAAATATCTTATATGTGAGGATACTTCATCTACCTGTGATTTGGATACTAATATAAATTTGGAAGATTCTGTCAGCAGTGATTCTTCTGAATCAGAGTAGTTACGATTTATGCATTTTGTTGCCCTGAAGTAAATTTATAGTATCTTAAGTTTATTTTTTAATTAAATATAACATTAATGTTTCTTTTTCATTAAAGAAAAACATTTTTATCTTATATTAGGCTTATATTGTAGGAATCATGTTCTAATGTTATTTCAATTCGTTTTTATCACAGGGATTTATTTAATACTTAATAAATATTAATACCGTTTTCATACTATGAATTATTATTTCCTTAGATGGAACACAGCTCCAACATTTTTATTATTTATAAGATTTTTTTTCATAAACGTGAGACTAAGAACATCATCATTTAGTACAATGAGAGTACTCATCATTTGTGTCAAATAAACGTAGTTTGAATAAATTGCCTACAATAAAAGAGAAGTTTTGCATTTTTGTCCTCTAGAGCCATATGTTCGAAGCACTGTGCGGCGCGGCGGAGAATACACCAAGCCTATTCGTATACAGTGTGTCTTACAACAAATACGAAACATTTCTATTTTTAAGTTATTGAAAGTTAGTCTGTTACCAAGTTAAAAACAGACTGTACCTGACAAGCATCTCTAATCTCTTTAGACGATCCAGCGCACAGCATAATATCGTCGACGATCCCTGATGGTAATTTTAGGGTACCATATTGTGATCTGTACGTATGATTGCACTTTTTCTGGTTGTAATACTCCAGTACCACCTTCAGTAAGAAGCTACTTTCCTGGCCTTGAAAGGTGGTTCTGCCCCAACCGCTGGCTATAAAGTTGGAGTAAGGTATTGAGTACTGGACGTGGATACAAGCCGGTCTAACCTAGAAACATACAAAATATTGTTGCGGACCCGTGTGGACTCGGCCCCCGAATAATAATAGCTTTGTTCGGGTTCTTGTTATTACCGATTCTGAACCGTCCTAGAACACTGCAGCGCATGCGCAAATGAAATAATGTCTTCATATTTCCTTCTGCGCATACGCATCACAGTTCTAGGACGGTTCAGAATCGGTAATAAGAGAAACCCAAAGTAAGCTAATATAGCTGTAATTCGGTGTAATGAATTCGGTGACTCGGCCTAACCCGTTCTAATATGTCCAGAGAACGGTAAACTAATAGGATTGCTCATCCTCATAAGACGTACGTTCGCCTCTTCCCGCGCTTCAGCTGACAGTTGTGACGTCATTGTAGCCCTTGTCATGATAGTGTGTATTATTAGTTGCCTATGTTAAACTTATAAAAATAACAGCTGAGTAATTTTGAGTTAATTTTTTTGTCAATTTTAAATGTGAAAAAGGTGTCTTTAAGGTTTTTAGAGCTATAGAGTGTATAAATACGTTCATTTTGTGTTGTGGATTGTGGCAAAGTGCCTACGATATTGTTTATTAATTATTTTAAAGCAAAATATGGAAGTACTCTAAAAAGAATGCTTGCAAAAGGTGATGCTGGGAACTGCTGTTCTTAAAAATGCATTATCCGAGTATATAATACGATTTATACAGTTAATTTGTTATACTGCATACATATAAGGTGTTTAAATAAATAAACTAAATAATAAACGTTTTGCATTCGGCAACCAATAATGCACGTGTGTGTATTATTGGTTGCCGGATAAGGACTAATAACCATGACAAGGACTACAATGACGTCACAAAGCGAGTAGTTTTCGCATGCACCTGGCGGACACTTTTGGCTGAATCTTTGAATAAGAAGACTAAGGAAGGGGCATATCAAAAATGTTAGGTCCAACGCGATGGGCCTCAAATATGGCCGACTTAAATTCCGGTTTATCAGTGCCGTTCTAATTTTATTTAAAAAATGTAAAACTATGATGTAGGGTAGATGTGGGGTAAACTCAATATTTTTTTTATTTTACGTTGTGAATATGTGTTGGTAGTTATTAAAATTGTTATAAAAACATATTATTATAATAAAAATAGATAAGTTTTAATAATTATTTATTAACACAAACATCCGATAAGCTACTGAAGCAGGTAAGTCAAACTGACGTATCTAAATTCTTTGACATCTAATCTTTGACAAGTAGTAAATAAAAGCAAAAATGCAAGAAAAAATATATAATTAGTTAATTTAAGTGACTAGCGAAAAGTTGTTTCATTATTTCACTAGATTTTTGCCGAGATCTACGCACGCTACACAACCAACTATTTTCGAGTCTTTTTCGATAAATCGCGATAGTGTCACTGTTAATTTAAGTTCTGCCACAATTTCCATCTAGATTTACTACCTTTATACAACTATCAATAGTAGAATAAATAACAAACAACATAAAATAAGCTCCGTAAAGACTGACAAATCCACAAAATTTCAAATCAAATTCAAATGTGTCAGACGAATCGTCAAACAGAACTGTCAAGGATCCCCACCCTAGAGTCTTTTTTCCGCCCACCATGCATAAATACATGGATAGCATTATGCTCCTTCCTTAGTCTTCTTATTCAAAGGGCTGAATGAGCAGTCCTATTAGGTTAACTGTTCTTGAATATGTCCCACCTCCATATGACCTTAATATCGCATTAAAGAATAGACACCGTAGTGACTCATCGAGCATTCGAGAACAATCGAGTTCCACTGGAATGGTGGCATACATACATGGAGAACATTCTGAATCTTCTCTATGCACCTAATGATCTAATGGACTATTCGAGAAGTGTTTAGCTGTGGGTAGATAAACCGAGGCCTGTGCAAAGGAGAAAGAAAACAAACAGCTTCGGTCGACGCGTACAATTGCCGCGCTAAATTCAAAATAAATTCCTTTTAGATAAATAGTTTGATAAATAGTAAATAAGTTGTAAATAGTTCTTTAAGTAGTTTTATAGTTATTGTTTTGTTACTTAGTGTAAAATAAATTGAGTTTAAATAAATTAGACTTTCTATCCACACGGAACCGACGAAAAAAGTAACAATATTATATCGATATTACCAAAATTTCGATGTTTTACCTCAAACTAGTGAATAAATGAATGAATTAATTAATTAATAAAAAAATAATGAATGAATAAATGTAGGCGATATTTCTAATAAAGAAAGTTTTATTAGATTTATAAAATGTTAATAATAATATCTGGTCAATAACTCCAAAAGTGATTGATACATTTAATTCTGTATTTATTTTAGTCATATTTAAATCGACTTACCCAGGTATTCATATCCACTTCTTTCTCCAATTTAAGCAGACCAATATCGTGATTGTGCGTTGGTGGACTATATTCAGGATGAGTTATTCTATCTTGAACTTTATACTCTTGAACGTGATCGTCATCATCTTGGTTGGTAAAACCCATTCTGGTATAGAGAGCCAAACCTCTAAGAAAATAAAATGAATTTAAAATGTTTCTAAACGGCATATTATTAGGCACATTAATGTACAGGGTGAGTCAACGATAAAGAAAAATCCATTATCTCATTTGTTTCGAGATTTACAAGAAAATATTAAATATAAAAGTTATAGGGAAGGTTAAGATACACACTTTAAAATTATTATAAAGTATACAGGGTGCTTCAAAAAAGTGTGGCAAATATAACATATGTTTTTTAAACGCAACACCCTATTTTTTATTTATTTTTAGATTCTGCGTAAAATTCCATAACTTTTTTATATATAGATTTATATACCTAAAATTAATAGTTCTTGATTATTTAAATTTGTTTAAACAAATATTAGATTGCAGTGTGGTAAAAAATTGTCAGTGATGCCATTGATGTTTCTGAAATTGGACAATTAAAATTTGGTAGGAGAATTTTATAGAGATTTAGAAAAAGAGGTATGTAAAGATATTCATATTTCAAGAATTACAACTACTTAAAATTAAGAAGTTTCAAATTAATGGTACACCCTATATATTATTATTCTTTCTGACAGATTTTACAAAACTCTTCAACTTTCATTAAGTATGTCATACACCTATTTTTAATAGTTTGCGATTTATTCCATTTTTTTCTATTTTTACCCATGTTTTTAATACAATTAGGTAGGCTATAACATCATAGGATACAATTACGCTATAACATCACATGATAAGAGATTAAGTTCAAAAGATTTGTTACACTACATTATAATATGGTGATTTGTCTGAAATAATTACTTACAATTCACGATCTTCCACGCAATGTGCAGCTGTCAAAACAAATTGATTGCTTATTAGACTGCCTCCGCAGCGCCACAAAATACCATCATCACTGTCATATCCAACATGTGTCTAAAATAAAAAATAACACTATATATCACTAGGATTTACATAGTACCTTTGATAGTACCAGCCGATCAAAAAAAAACGGCGTCAAAGACGGCTGGGGACTAATAATCGATGATAATTTTGGCGAGGTCATGGAGAGGTTCTTTATTTTTTAATGGCGCTTACTACCTAGTTAACGTTAAAAAGGTTGTAATTTATTTTTATATCGAGTAAAAATGATTTTCTAATGGTGCAGTTAAAAATTCGACAATTTTATTTTTGAAATAGATTGGTGTGTCTAAGAACGTTCTAACCTTTTAATCCTATCCGTCCTAATCTTAACTATTTTTTATCTAATCTATTAGTACGAGAGCTAGCAACGTCGGAAAAACAAGTATTTTAAGACGTCTGGCTCTTTAATATATCGTTTACTATGCTCTCTAGAACAGCATGCGGCCCGTCTGGCTGCCAGTAAACGTTGCGTTCCCTACTGCGCATTGAAAGAAGATTCTATATTTTTATTAGTCCTTTAAATTCTACTATTGAATATACAGGGTTGTTCACCACATACGACACGGAATATTGTAGCTAAACGATTCGATTTTTACAAATTGTAAGTTTTGGGTTCGTTGAAGGACTATTAGAGCTACAATTTAAAAATATTTTTACAAGTTACAGGAGTGTCCCAAATAAATAAAAAAATATCAAAGTTGTATTTTTTTAAATGGAACACCCTGTATATTATTACATTTTTAGTTTTTATGATTAAAATAAAGGTAAATTTGATTAAGGTTTATTGCACTTAAACCTTACCGTTTTTGAAATATTTTCAATTTTGTGAAATTGTAGTATAAATTTTAAGGCTTCGTTTCTCCGAGGGTATGAAAGTTTTTAATACTAAAGTTTTACTGAAGTTTATTTATTGATCAGTTATTTTGTTGCAATAATAAAAACTTTACTACCTTATACAAAGTGTCCAAATATTTATTTCAAATAATTATTAGCTTTAAACGGCAATAACTTGTTTAATTTAAATAGAACACCCTGTATATTTTATAAGAATCAGATGCACAAGTTAATTATCTATCAAATTGTATTATACCATTTTTTACCTATCTCTTCAAGCTTCCGTAGAAAATGCATTTTATTGTAATTTAGAACTCATTTATCAATATACCCATGGAATACTGACATTTTAGATTATAAGAGCACAGATACTAATATTGTCAATATAGTTCGTTTATTTCATTAAAAAATAAAAAAAATAACTGTTTAAATATTTGTAAGAGGACCAATTAATATGATTCCAGTATTCAAACTACATTAATTGGCTGTTTGCGTTGATTAATAATAATTGCTCCAAATACTAAAAATGTGTGATAGTGTGTGTGAGACAGTGCGGTAAAAAAACCTTACCCTTAGAACACCTTAAAAATGATATTTCATTTTTTGACAAACGCTTATTTATAACAACAGAGATGTTCATTTTCATAACTTATTATTATATTGATTTCTGATTCAAATCCACATTTATTTAGAATAATTTATTAACGAACACAATTAAGTATGTAATTAATTAGTATTTGGGTGGAAATACTGGTGGTATATTTAATTACTCTTTTATAAAGATTTAAATAGTTTTCTTTTTGCAGACAATTGGGCTAGTAATATCATCGTTTTACTAAAAACGATAATATTATTAGCCTGTACATTTTACATTTGTTGTTTTAAAAACAATCTAAAATGTCAATATTCCATGGGTATATTGATAAATGAGGTCTAAATTATAAGAAAATGCATTTTCTACGAAAACTTGAAGAGATAGGTAAAAAATGGTATAATACAATTTGATAGACAATTAAATTGTGCATCTAACTGTCATAAAATATAGAGGGTATTCCATTTAAATTAAACAAGTTATAGCCGTTTAAAGCTAGTAATGATTTAAAATAAATTTTTAGACACTCTGTATAAGGTAGTATAATTTTTATTATTGCAACACAATAACTGATCAATAAATAAACTTCAGTAAATATTTAGTATTAAAAACTTTGATACCCTCGGAGAAATGAAGCCTTAAAATTTATACTGCAATTTTACAAAATTGAAAATATTTCAAAAACGGTCAGGTTTAAGTGTAATAAACCTTAATCAAATTTACCTTTATTTTATTCGTAGAAACTAAAAATGCAATGATATACAGGGTGTTCCATTTAAAAAAAAACAACTTTGATATTTTTTATTTATTTGGGACACTCTGTATCTTGTAAAAATATTTTTAAATTGTAGCTCTAATAGTCCTTCAACGAACCCAAAACTTACAATTTGTAAAAATCTAATCGTTTAGCTACAATACTCCGTGTCGTATGTGGTGAACAACCCTGTATGTCGAACATGTCCCCATATATAGCGCAGTGCGTAGAGTTTCCGATCACGAACCCGATAATACAGAGTTCGAATCCGGGTTAGGGCAACGATTTTTTTATTTTATTTTCGTTTATATTCTGATAGTAAAGTATTAAATATTTGTTTTTTTTAATTACCAGAATTATTAAATACTTTAATATCAGAATATAAACGAAAAAAAAAATAAAAAAGTCCTTGACCTGACCCGGATTCGAACTCTGAATCATCGGATCGTGGTCGGAAACTGTACGCACTGTGGAGACATTTATATTCAATACTCGCGATTTATATTCAATACTAGAATTTATAGGACTAAATTAATAAAAAATATAGGACCTCCTTTCGATGCGCAGTAGTGAACGCAACGGATATCGGCAGCCAGACGGGCCGCATGCTGTTCCAGAGAGCATAATAAAAGATATATCAAAGAGCCAGACGTCTTAAAATACTTTCTCAAAAACGTTGCTAGCTCTTAGACTATATAACTAGTGTTAATTTTTGATAAGTTTTATGTCAATTATCAGTAAATGACGTCTAGAAATTGACCTTGCCAAAAGTATCATCCCCCCGTCGCGTCGTCGGTGCCGTTTTTTTTTTCAAGCATACGGTATTTTAACCATAATGTACTGACCATGTGAGGAAATTCACGTCTTTGAGCTTTTGTACCCCCAACAATCAATTCTTGCCTGTCAAATGGACAGTCATTGCGTACGATGTCGGGAGCACCTACCATTAATGTGGGGTTGGCTTCCCTTTTCCAAATGTATTTTGAATATTCTGCACATCCTAGAATAGAAAAAATTAAATAATATACTTTTATTAAGCATAGGGTTACTAGATGAAAACTTGTCCACCCCGGGCGAGCCTTGACTAACCCAAAAATCGTGGCAAAATCCGGACGTCATAATTTTTTAGCGTTATAATAGCAAAAATAGTGTATTGTTTTATTAGAAGTAAAAATGATAATTTTTTTGTGGCTAGACTGTACGTCATATATAGCCATAGCAGCAAAATCGCAGCAAAATCGCAAATCGCAACAAAGTCGCAAATCGCAGGTATAGTAATACTGGTTGCCTAAATTGAAACTCGCAAATAGAAGAACTCGCAATCGCAGTTTCCTATGAGAGCCAATCGCAGGTTGCGATTAAGAATTTAAAATCGCTGCGATTGAATCGCAGTTCGCGATTTTTTGCTCATCTCTATAGAGCCTATTTTTGCTCAACTTTATAGAGCCTCCGGTTTTGCAGCCCCTCCACAGCGCCGCAAAGCCATCCACTTTATGGGGAGTTCCAGGGACCGAGCAGACTCCGGTTACGAAAAAACTTTTTAAAAACTGTTCCAGAAGATCCACCATCTGATTACCCTCTTAAGGAAATAGATCCCACCGGCCGACATCTTGATTGGGCCACCTGGAAGTCCTTGAACCGAATTAGAACAGGTAGTTTAGTCATTGGGGATTTTTGCTTGGAAAAAAGTCCGGAAGTTTTGCAACTTTGCTGGTTTATAGGTTTTGGGGTCCCTAACTAAAATCCATAAAATACACATTTCCAGACTTGCCGCCGGCGCCGCCATCTTGCCAAGATGGCGCCAAAATCGGTATTTTGAGAATATCTCGAAAACTATGCGTTTTTAGCGAAAATTTGAGGAGAGCAAAATTAAACAGAATAAAATTTCCTATAAAAAAGATTTTATAAAAATTTTCGATAGAGTCAACCGTTTAGGCACAAAATCTCTAGAAATTTTACAATTTTGCGTAAAATATGATATATTATGTATAGTCGATTTCCCGAAATCAAATGTCGATTAGGGTTCACTAAAACTAGTTTTAGTTTAGTTTCTTCAATTTTGTCATAAAACAGTGGCGTATCATTAATTCGTTCATTAATTTATGAATAATTAATATAATTCTAATTATTGAAAATGTGTATTTGTTTCCACACCACCCAAGAGGTAAAGTATATGGCACGTTTATTTTAACGTGGTCTCCCCGGAGGCCTACACCACTAGATAAATTAAAAACTTTAACTTATCTGCACAAGCCCGACGGATCTGGCTCATTGATGTCAAAATCGATCGTGCCTGCTGTGCTGGGCTCATCAGGGTGGTCTTTCAATACGTCCAACTCTTCATCTTCAGCCGCCAGAGCATCAGCAGGCTTTACCATAGTTGTTGGTTTTGCATTTACAGGATAAAAATGCCAACAGGGATTTTGGAGCTGGATCTTTCAACGTTGTGACTGGAGTAATGCCTGTTTTTGTTTTCTTCCAACCCCATTCTTCGGCATCTTTGGTACAACCAGACCAATGCTGAACCTGGTGGTAAGTTCGCAATGAATGCTGTCCAGCACGACAATTAATTTTTCATAAATTAATGAGCGAATTAATGATACGCCACTGTTTCATGACAAAATTGAAGAAACTAAACTAAAACTAGTTTTAGTGAACCCTAATCGACATTTGATTTCGGAAAATCGGCTATACATAATATATCATAGTTTACGCAAAATTGTAAAATTTCCAGGGATTTTGTGCCTAAACGGTTGACTTTTTTCGAAAATTTTCATAAAACCTTTTTTATAGGAAATTTTATTCTCTTTAATTTTGCTCTCCTCGCAAAATTTTCGCGAAAAACGCATAGTTTTCGAGATATTAACAAAATATCGATTTTGGGCGCCATCTTGGCAAGATGGCGGCGCCGGCGGCAAGTCTGGAAATTTGCATTTTATGGATTTTAGTTAGGGACCCCAAAACCTATAAACCTGCAAAGTTTCAAAGCTTCAGGATTTTTTTCCAAGCAGGCCCCTTTTTTGATCCCCAATGACTGAACTGAGGAGTAGCGCCGGTTAAGACCAACAAAGCCAAATGGGGGCTTATCGACGTCGAGGACACGGACTGTGAATGTGGCGAAATCCAAAATATGGAATATCTGTTGTCCTGCAGAACCTGTAGCCTAGAAGATTTATGGAACGCCCAAGAAAATGCTATAGACATTGCTCGGTATTGGGCTAAACAATTTTAAATTACACTTATATATTTTAGATATTATAGATATTTATTGTCCGGACACGAAAAAGTAAGTAAGTGCTCATCTCTAACCACCCGATAAAGTGTGTACAAAAGTCCACCAGCATAGACAAAGAAATAAATAAGTCCACCTCTAACGTACATTTAGAAAATTTGGTTTCAATTAGTAAGTAATATTTTCCAACCAATAAAACAACAATTTTTATTATACAGTATTATAGATGGCTATTCTTACTCTCAAGAGCTCGTTTTCCAACTTCTTTGCTAGTGCTACGTGTAGTAGTAGTTGTAGTTGTGGTGGTTGTAGTTGTAGTTGTAGTTGTAGTTTGAGGTACCGCACTGGCACAACATATGATTGCTTGGTATCCTTCAAATCCACAGTTGTCTGGATATATTCCTTTCCTCAAGTCAGTAATTGCTTCTGGACATTCAGTAAAGAATTTACAGATACCGTTTTGATTGTTTCTCCTAATCGTACATTGGCTACCTAAAATTATATTATAATTTATTAAAATTATTCTAGATTTTTTAAAAAATATTACTTATAGGTAATATTAAAGCGAGTCTATAAAAGTCTAATAAAGACCAGTCTAATAAAGATGCTGAAAAATATCCATATTATTCCTTATAAATTTTCTTATGTTTTTTTCAGTGTGGACAAAAAGCGCAATTTTATTGTAAATCTGAATGATCCTTTAGATTCTTTACTCAGTCGATCTTTCGACTTAATTCATTTCAGTTTTGATACATTTTGACTGGCAAGTAAAACGTTATGTGTAGGGTAGACTTAAGTACTTTAGTAATAATTATTAGTAAAATGTAGTTTATTTATCTACTTAAAATACTATTTACTAGAGATACTTGTTTAATAATTATCTGAGAATAAACACATGTGCGTCATATTTGTACTAAGAACCCGATTTGAAAAGAAACATCATTTATTTATATCTTGTATTAATATTTCCTATCTAATTTATTTATTTTCTGTTTAGTTAATCATAGAGTAAAAACAATATTTAATAATAGAAAACCACAAAGAACTATTCACGATTTATCACAACTTTAAAACAGAAACGTTTTATTAAAAATTTCAATAATAAAACAAATTTTAAACATCAAACATAAAAAAGTTATTTAACTTACCTCTATACAATTCTATTGTCCAAACAAATTCCAAAGAAAAGGAAAATATCAACAGGAAATAACATAACATCTTTATTTTTAAAACTACAACTAAGTAAAGAACTTGCACTGCATTTCCATCATCACAAACAACACACAGGAGGTTACTTGGCCGACTGGACTTTCCACTTAAGATTTTAAATTGCAAAAATTATTGTTGTCAGTAGTAGCCGCTTGACCATGAGTAAATACAAATACCGTAGTTTTTAGACGCGTGACGATAAACAAAAATAAATATATTCTTAACTTAGCTGTAACTAATTATCTCGAACATTTTTTTACTCGGTACAGATTTAAGATAATTTTTCTTAAGAAGCGGTAGTGTGTACGAATTCGTACGAAGTTGTTCGAAAAATGTATAGGGTGTCCTATTTTCGTATGATTAATGGTGTTTCTCGTTTATGAATGAAGATACAAAGTTGCGGTTTTCACATCTACTTTTCTATAAAACTAAATATGCTTCTTAGTTCCTGAAATACAGGGCGAATTTGAAAAAAAAAATTGACCCCCTTTGTATGTTGGTGATCTTATAAATTATCGAGTAAAAATTGTCTCCCGCATTATTTACATTTTAACATAAATCAACCTTAAAAGAGTATTATGGTATTTAATTTAGTTTAAGCAGATAAATTTTAAAATAAAGAACTCTGAACATCGCAGTTATAGTAAACGCCACGAATGTTTGGGAGTGATTCATCGGTCGCTACCATGTGAACTAATTTGTTCAAGGTTACATAAAACTTAATTCCAGTGCCGTGGTGTTTCAAATCATATAATAATCAATATATAATCTGTTGTAATTTGTTGTTTTAACTGTCAAATTCTTGTCAAAACATAATATAGGTTATAAATATAAACTGGAATGCCCTATCGGTCGCACTGCAAGCACACCAATGGACTGAGGCACAAAAACGAATCAATCAAAGAAACGCGATATAGTATCGTCTTTGTCAATCACGCTAACATTTTAGAATAAGTAGGAGGAGTGCAGGCAGATGATATGTAAAAATTTACGTTTTTAATGTAAAAATCAGAGCGGGCGTGTCGATTCTAACTTCGTCAAGCGATGAATCACTCCCAAACATTCGTGGCATTTACTATATTGGAATAAATTAGTAGTTTCAATTAGCGTAGAAGTGTGTTCCTTTAATTTCAATGTAAGTATTCGGAACGTCAAAATTAGTGGTAATCATTTTCAATTAGTAGAAAAAGTTATCAAACTTTTCCACAAATTATACTTCAAAATTTGCGAGGAATGTCATTTTTGCTTTTGATTATAATCTGTCAAGAGAAATTGTGGTTAAAAATCAAAAGTTGATTGTTTTATAACTTTGAATAAGAAGACTAAGGAAGGAGCATAAAGCATATCGCGCACTTATGCGAAGCGCGGCGCGGCGCAGCGCGGCGAATTTTTGATGGGTCCGCTAACTTATGCACGGTTTTGCGTACGCGGTTGGTATTTAAAGTTGTTTTGAGCTGACCGTTTTAATTTTAGTGTTATCTCTATGACGGTTTGATAAAGGTGTGTTAAAATTTCATTATGTGCTCAAGTTCTAGCAGCAGTTCAGAGGGAGATTTTCTTACTTTATGTACAATAGCTGAGGAAGAAGAAATGCGTGAGAACAAAAAAAGAAAATCTTGGATTCATAATATAAATATAAAAAGAAATACGTACGGAGAATTCCATCACCTTCACTCAAAATGAATTGTATAATTAAAATGAACGTTTCATCATCCATGATAAAACAATAATTAAATTACAAGTACTAAACAAACTCAAACGAAACAAAACGGCTCTTGATTAAACGTAACCTAAATGCCAATTAGTAATACATTAATCGTAGAATCCTTCATCCGAAGACACCCGAAATAGATTTCGAAAATGACCGAAAACAGAGATAGTTTCCGCAGACCACGCGCACTAGGGCACGCGAAGCGCGCCGAAGAGAATTTCGCTTTGGGATTCCAGGTTGCAACGAACGGCGCTTCGGCGCGCGGTGCAAGCGGGTATACTTCAAAATTTATGAGGAATGTCATTTTTGCTTTTGATTATAATCTGTCAAGAGAAATTGTGGTTAAAAATCAAAAGTTGATTGTTTTTATAACTTTGAATAAGAAGACTAAGGAAGGAGCTTAATGCTATCCATGTATTCATGCATGGTGGGCGGAAAAGCCACCATAAAAGCTCTCTAGGGTGGGGATCCTTGACAGTTCTGTTTGACGATTCATTTGACACATTTGAATTTGATTTGAAATTTTGTGGATTTGTCAGTCTTTACGGAACTTATTTTATGTTATTTATTATTTACTCTACTACTGATAGTTGTATAAAGGTAGTAAATCTAGATGGAAATTGTGGCAGAACTTAAATTAACAGTGACACTATCGCGATTTATCGAAAAAGACTCTAAAAATAGTTGGTTGTGTACGTGCGGTAGATCTCGGCAAAAATTGAGTGAAATAATGGAACAACTTTTCGCTAGTAAGTGTCTATATAATATAGATACGTGTAGTAAACCGATCATTTATGAAATTCACTTAAATTAACTAAATTATATATTTTTGTTGCATTTTAGCTTTTATTTATTACTTGTCAAAGATTAGATGTCAAAGAATTTAGATACGTTAATTTGACTTGCTTCAGTAGCGTATCGGATGTTTGTGTTAATAAATACTTATTATAACATCTATTTTTATTAGAATTATGTATTTTTATAACAATTTTAGTAACTACCAACATTTATTCACAACGTAAAATAAAACAACAAATTATTGAGTCTACCCCACGTCTACACTACATCATAGTTTTACATTTTTTAAATAAAATTAGAACGACACTGATAAACCGGAATTTAAGTCGGCCATATTTGAGGCCCATCGCGGTGTACCTAAGATTGTTGATATGCTCCTTCCTTAGTCTTCTTATTCAAAGTTTTATAAGTTAAATATTAGGCTTTCTCTATGGATACAACTGACTAACGCGAACTGTTGCTAAGATATTTTATTAATTTTAACTGCGTTTTTAAACATTGTGAATGATCGTAAATAAACAAGTGTAAAGTGTAATTAAAACCACTAATTTATTCCACTAATTGCGAGATTCTGAATGAAGCTATACACTTCATATTTTGTAGTTTACGATCATACCAAATGTCTATATGTATCGTTTATAAGCTAAATATTATGCTTTGTCTATGGATACAACTGACTAACCCAACCTCTTGCTAGGATATTCTAGTAATTTTAATTGTGTTTTTTAAACATCGTAAACTAAAAAGTATAAAGTGTAATTGAAACCACTAATGGCGAGGTTCTGAAAGAAGCTACACCAGAACAAAGAATTTTGGTGTATTTTGGTGAATTAATGTTTTATTTTGCTGTTTAGTTCAGTCATTGGGGATTTTTGCTTGGGAAAAAGTCCGGAAGTTTTGCAACTTTGCAGGTTTATAGGTTTTGGGGTCCCTAACTAAAATCCATAAAATGCACATTTCCAGACTTGCCGCCGCGCCGGCGCCGCCAAGATGGCGCCCAAAAATTTGAGGAAAGCAGAATTAAAGAGATAAAATTTCCTATAAAAAAGGTTTTATGAGAATTTTCACTAAAGTCAACCGTTTAGGCACAAAATTCCTGGAAATTTTACAATTTTGCCTAAAATATGATATATTATGTATAGTCGATTTTCCGAAATCAAATGTCGATTAGGGTTCACTAAAACTAGTTTTAGTTTAGTTTCTTCAATTTTGTCATAAAACAGTGGCGTATCATTAATTCGCATATTAATTAATGAATAATTAATTTTAATTAATCGACTATACATAATATATCATATTTTACGCAAAATTGTAAAATTTCCAGGGATTTTGTGCTTAAACGGTTGACTTTAGTTGGTTTAAGTTGACTTTGATTAGATCCATGGGCACTAAGTCAGGTGGCCTCGACGGCCAGCGCAACGGCTGAAATCTTAGTTAGCTATTCAATTATGCTTGAAATTGACTGCAAAAATTTGCTGATAACTTCAGCGTTCAGAGGCGGTGCGTCGTCTTGCTGGAAAAAATATGTTTTCGAGTTCCATTAAGGGCATATCATCAATAAGGGGTCCAAAGCCTACTAGTTAAAAGTGGCGAACTTTTAAAAATTCTGTATTCCGAAGGGGATTATAACAAAATATCAATATATAGTGCTATATTTTTGGAAAGGTAATTTTAAATTCTTTTCAGTTAATTAAAAATATAGGGGGTGTCCCAAATAAAAAATAAATTTTTCTGTTGATAACTCTTAAATTATTAATTTTAAAAAAATTATACTTAAACCATTAAACTCTACGTAAAAAGATGCTTTGGAAATGTTTTCATAGAAATTCAAAATTTTCCATATCAAAAAAGTTACAGCAATTTGTTAAAAATGCACATTTTTGAAAAACACCCCGTAACTCCGAAACGGTAACAGATATTGATGTGCGGTTTTCACCATCATGTTTTTGATGAAAATTGAGCTTCAGACACCGATATTAGTTTTCGCCTATCTCCTATAGAAAAGGGTGTTTCCATTTAAAAGCGTCGAATTTGACCCACCCTGTACAATAACCACAGCTTAAGAAAAAAATATTATTATATTATTATTATTCTGTAAGCTGTGCAATAACTTTAGACACGGAAACTAGCATGGAAATGTCTATAATAGCCAAAATGTGACGTTGAATAAATTATTCCATTAAACCAGCCACTTATGTTAAAATGTTAAAAATAGATTTTTTCGTTATTTATGAAAATAAGTATGGAGTGTATTATATTTTCAAAAAGCCCATAACAAAGTAAATAACATAAATTAATAAAATACAGGGTGTCCCATTTAAAAAAAACATAACCTTGAATCCTATATTTCAAGAATGGCAGCTTTCATCGAAACTAGTTACGCTACTGAATTCTACGTAAAAAAACTATATGGGACTTAGTTTTCATCTTTTCGATAAGTCATAATATAACCGAGGTATACGAGGGGAGTCAAGAAATGCATCAATTTCAAATTCGCCTTGTATTTCAGGAACTAAGAGGGCTAAGACAAAGCATGTTTAGGAACATAAAAAGGCAGCGCAGTAACTCAGATTAACACAGATTTATCAGTAAGACGGAGATATAATTATAATAGCTCCCGTATATAGCGTTTGACGCCTTGGGAGTAGCAAGGTACAGCTTGCCATACTAGAGCCGTTCGGTATACAAGAAGGGTAATGTGGCTAGCACTACGCTTCAACCGCCTATTATTACCTCAGGATTGTGAATCCCAAGTACTCATTTAAGGCTGAGTCTACCTAGGTACCCAAACTATTTTTATTTTAATAAAAATAGTCGGTTGATGTAATGCCGGGTGTGGGATTCGAACCCACTACCTTGAGATTTAGTTGAGAGAAAAAACAAGGATGTATTTGGTTCCTTTAAATACCCTATTTAAAGAGACCGAGTCGGAGATCCACGGCGGCTTTTAAGCCGATGATGATGAAATAAGTGCCACATCTGTAAGTTAATCTGTGACAGTAATGTGAAAACCGCATCTTTGTTCATAAACGAGATACCCTGTACAACACACGAAAATGGAACTTACTTACTTACTGTCATTACTCGCTGACGAGTATTTGACACGCATCAGAAGATGGTTAGGCAAGGCGTTTTCTTTCATGAGCTTTTGTGTGACTGAAAAGCCCGATACGTGATGTTATACCTCTTCCGCGAAATGTTATTTCTCTCTCAACGAAAATGGAACACCCTGTACAAAATGTCCTATTTTCTATATTTCTATTCCATGCAAATTAACAATTTTAAGCAGCAGGAACTGGTATTAAAGACTGTAAACATAAAAAAAGAAAAATATTTATAAGGATCATATAGAGAAATAATGAATGAAAATTAATTAAATATTCCATTATTAAAAGCGGAAGAAAAAACCTGCTTGAAAAAATAGTCGGAGAACATTTTACCACTAGATTACCACTGGATGACCAGTATTCGGTTAATTTAGTATTTTTGTATCTCTCATAACTCAAAACCAATTCGTATAAATTATTCAAATTAACAATGTGCTTCATTTAGAGTTCTTTTCAAATATTGAAATAAGTTTTTCTATAAAATTAAATAGGGAACTTTTATCACCATTTTTAAAATTTACATAGGATTTCCTATTTTCAGCCAGTTAGTAATATAAACAAATTTGAAAGTACCTATTACTTCTTATGATTTATGACAAAAAAAAAGAAACAAATTGGGAAATACCGTGCATGTAGTTCCCCAATATTATAATCACGTCATATGAAGTTCTTTACTTCTTCAGTCTTCTGAATATCTTAGTGAAGAAGAGATCTACGCGAAATACATACAATATATACGATGAAAATACGGCATATTTTTTTATTTATTTTTGTCAGTAGAGTGAGTGTCGCCCAAAAGAATACTATGAAAAGTAAGTGTTTTTGAAATAAACTCAATTTGTACCTTTATTTATATATAAGTCATTTAAGTGTTCAATTAAGCACAAAGACGTCACGTAAGATTTTTTGTAAAATAAACATAACGTTTTTTTAAATGTAATATCTCTGTTTAACTTTCTAATTAACAAGAATTATATAATATAGTTATTTCTACCAAAAAAAGTGTGGCATTTTATTGACTTTTTTAGATGGTTTAAGTTTTATTTTACGAAGTCCAAAAGTACCTCTGGTTGTTGGTGGTGTAAGAACAAAACAAGGAGAATTTCAACATATGGTAATTAAATGAATTAAATAATATACAGGGTGGCGCACCTCATTCGCCTCGGTTAATTATACGAAAACGGAAAGATGTACAAACAATTTTCGGTATATGTAAAGAGGCAATATGCATAATTTAAAATTATTTTGAAATGTACAGGGTTTGCCAGAATTAAGATCCATACCAAAGTTATATTTTTTTTATGGAACACCCGGTATTTTATTTCATTTTTGGATTCTTGGGCATAAAATAAGGCTTTTATTATAATACGTTTAAACGCTTTAGTTTTTGAGATATTTAAAAATATTTAAATATGCATGATATAATAAAAAAGTTTGTCAACACCTTGTACAGGGTGGGTCAAATTCGACGCTTTTAAATGGAAACACCCTTTTCTATAGGAGATAGACGAAAACTAATATCGGTGTCTGGAGCCCAATTTTCATCAAAAACATGATGGTGAAAACCGTACATCAATATCTTTTACCATTTCAGAGTTACGGGGTGTTTTTCAAAAATGTGCATTTTTAACAAATCGCTGTAACTTTTTTGATATGGAAAATTTTGTATTTCTATGAAAACATTTCCAAAGCATCTTTTTACGTAGAATTTAATGGTTTAAGTATAATTTTTTTAAAATTAATAATTTAAGAGTTATCAACAGAAAAATTAATTTTTTATATGGGACACCCTTTATATTTTTAATTAGCTGCAAAGAATTTAAAATTACCTTTCCAAAAATATACCACACTTGATATTTTGTTATAATCCCCTTCGAAATACAGAATTTTTAAATGTTCGCCACTTTTAACTAGTAGGCTTTGGACCCCTTATTGATGATATGCCCTTAATGGAACTCGAAAACATATTTTTTCAGCAAGACGACTCTGAAAGCTGAAGTTATCAGCAAATTTTTGCAGCCAATTTTAAGAATAATTGAATAACTAACCAAGATCCCAAACTTCGGCCGTCGAGGCCGCCTGACTTAGTGCCCATGGATCTAATCCTATGGATATATTTGCGGAAGAATAAAGGTTCCTTATTCCATATAATCTAGACAAAAATTAGAAATACTTAGCAGTTATGAGAGGATATCTTTCACCCCCACTGAGTTAATGAATTCCGCGAAAATGTTCAAAAACTGCCCCGTCTGTCCATAACAGAAGACGGTCGATATGTCGAACACCTGTAGCAAAATCTCATGTCTTGGTTTGCTATTTATTTTTATTGTTATTAGATATAGCTTAAATGTGTTGATGTTGGTTAAATATATTTTAAATTGTTATAAAATTCTGCATCTCTCATAACAAATATTATTTTCGTTTTAATTGATGCTCACAGCTTGAATTTTTTGCATTATAGCCGGTGCCGTTCAAAGCCTACTCATTTAAAGCGGGCAAATTTTTATATACTCTATATCTCGAAGAGGAATCGAGAAAAATATCAAGTGTGATATATTTTTGGAAAGGTAATTTTAAATTCTTTTCAATAAACTAAAAATATACAGGGTGTCTCGTATAAAAAATCAAATTTTCTGTTAATAATTCTTAAATTATTAATTTTAAAAAAATTATACTTAAACCATTAAATTCTACGTAAAAAGGTACTTTGGAAACGTTTTCATAGAAATACAAAATTTTCCATAACAAAAAAGTTAGAGCGATTTATTAAAAATGCATATTTTTGAAAAACACCCCGTAACTCCGTTATATTTTTTTCTTATGGAACACCCGGTATTTTATTTCATTTTTGGATTCTTGGGCATAAAATAAGGCTTTTATTATAATCCGTTTAAAAGCTTTGGTTTTTCATATATTTAAATATGCACGATATAATAAAAAAGTTTGTCAACACCCTGTACATTAATTTTCAGAGTTAATTCTTGTTCTGATTTTGAAGCCAGAGTAATAAACTTTACTAAAAAATTGTATTGCTTCCTTAAATGTATACAGGGGTATCAAAAATTGCTGGCTTATTTTAATTATTTATTTTACATAAAAACTTCGTTATTTCAAATACAACACTATGTATTTTTTAAAATAAGTCGAAGCAGATTTAAATGCCCTTTCAAACTATGTTAGGGTTTCTTATACCTATCTGGCTCAGATTTTGAATAAAAAGCGATTTTTCAATAAAATGGCAATCAAGGCCATGGCAATTTGCTAGTGACAGTTAGTAGCTATTTTCAAAATCGACATTAGTTTATGAACTTTATTTAAATATATGACAGAGTTTACTTTTATTTAATTTACCTACCATAGTTTAATAAGTAGTAGCTGTTTGATTTATATTATGATGACTTGTAGATATATTGGACTTTCTATAAAAGAACCAATTAAAGCAAATTTATTTTCTTCACTTCCAACGACACGTTTCTGCCTAATAGATTTTTCATATACCACACTATCAGCTCTGCGCAATAGAAACAGTAGTTTTTCAAAGGAACGCTTGTCAAAAAAAATCCTATTTCAATATCTTTGAGCATAAACCCTTCAGCGTCAAACTGTCCTCACAAAATAAAATCACTAGTATCATACCCATTCCTTACGCCAGCAGATACTGCTTCATTTTTCTTGATAAAATAATAAATACTTATAACCTTATTGTAGGTAAATTAAATAAAAATAACCTGTTATAAATTTAAATAAAGTCCATAAACTAATGGCGATTTTGAAAATAGCTAAGAAAATTGCCATGGCGACACACCAGCTATCTTGATTGCAATTTTATTGAAAAATCGCTTTTATTCAAAATCTAAGCCAGATAGGATAAAAACCCTAATATAGTTTGAAAGAGCATTTAAAACTGCTTCGACTTATTTAATAAAAATATACAGAGTTGTTCACCACATACTACACGGAGTATTGTAGCTAAGCGATTAGATTTCTGCAAATTGTAAGTTTTGGGTTCGTTGAAGGACTATTAGAGGTACAATTTAAAAATATTTTTACAAGATACAGAGTATCCCAAATAAATAAAAAATATCAAAGTTGTTTTTTTTAAATGGAACACCCTGTATATTGTTACATTTTTAGTTTCTACGATTAAAATAAAGGTAAATTTGATTCAGATTTGTTACACTTAAACCTTACCGTTTTCGAAATATTTTCAATTTTGTGAAATTGCAGTAAAAATTTTAATGCTTCATTTCTCCAAAAGTATCAAAGTTTTTAATATTAAATATTTACTGAAGTTTATTTATTGGTCAGTTATTGCGTTGCAATAATAAAAATATTACGACCTCATACAGAGTGTCTAAAAAATTATTTTTATTTATAATTTCTAGCTTTAAACGGCAATAACTTGTTTAATTTAAATGGAACACCTTGTATATTTTATGAGAATCCGATGCACAATTTAATGGTCTATCAAATTTTATTATACCACTTTTTACCCATCTCTTCAAGTTTTCGTATAAAATGCATTTTCTTATAATTTAGAACTCATTTATCAATATACCCATGGAATATTGACATTTTAGATTATTTTTAAAGAGTACAGATACAGTATGTCTGTCCGTTCTGGAGCTACGAGGTATCCGTGAGAGGGGAAACGATATTTCTCTCGATGTTTTTCCTAAAAAATAGACGACGCGTCCCGTCAATAAAAATTCGACAAATTTGCAAGTAGACAATAAAATGAGTGGGCGGAGCGATTTGCGGTGACGTACTCGTCAAGTCGACGTATAAAATATATTGCTGTTTATTTAAATGTTTTTTGTCCGCATTCCTTTCATAGACACAGATCCAGCAGACGTACTTTACTAATATTGTTAATATAGTTAAAAAATTGTTTAAATATTTGTTAAAGAGAACCTAATTAATATGATTCTAGTATTCAAACTACATTAATTGACTGTTTGCGTTGATTAATAAGACTACTTAATAATACTTGCTCCAAATACTAAAAAACTGAATTTTGTATGGGTATTGGCCAGACGTTGTGGTAAAAAGTAACACCTTAAAAATTTTATTTTATTTTTTCACGAATGCTTATTTATAACAACAGAGACGTTAATTTTCATAACGTTTATCATATTGATTTCTGATTCAAATCCACATTTATTTAGAATAATTTATTAACTAACACAATTAAGTATGTAATTAGTTAATATTTAGGCGGAAGTAATGGTGATATAATTAATTAATATATCAATTGTGATTTTCTTGGTTATAGGTTTCTTTATTAAAAATTAAATGATTTCTGGAAGTTTTTAAATCGTTTATTTGGCGAAGTTTCAATTTTTTATGCAAATCTTTCTCAAGGCATCTAAAATATTTTATGATATAAAATCATTTATCAATATTCCATGGGTATATTGATAATTGAGGTGTAAATTATAAGAAAATGCATTTTTTTACGAAAACTTGAAGGGATAGATAAAAATGATATAATACAATTCGATAGACAATTAAATTGTGCATATGATTCTCCTAAAATATATAGGGTGTTCCATTTAAATTAAACAAGTTATTGCCGTTTAAAATTAGAAATTATTTAAAATAAATTTTTAGACAATCTGTATGAGGTAGTATTGTTTGTATTATTACAACACAATAACTGATCAATAAATAAACTTTAGTTAATATTTAGTATTAAAAACTTTGATACCCTTGGAGAAATGAAGCCTTAAACATTTTACTGCAATTTCACAAAATTGAAAATATTTCGAAAACGGTAAAATTAAGTGTGATAAACCTTAATCAAATTTACCTTTATTTTAATCGTAGAAACTAAAAATGTAATAATATACAGGGTGTTTCATTTATAAAAGACAACTTTGATATTTTTTATTTATTTGGGACACTCTGTATATTGTAAAAATATTTTTAAATTGTACCTCTAATAGTCCTTCAACGAATTCAAAATTTACAATTTGTAAAAATCGAATCGTTTAGCTACAATACTCCGGGTCGTATGTGGTGAACAACCCTGTATAGTGTTGCATTTGAAATAACGAAGTTTAAGTTTTTTTGATGCGACAGCGTGCTGTCATTTTTTAACAAAGATATAAAGATTATAAGAAAAAAAAAGTGCTCTCTGAGATTCAAACGAGTTTTTATTAATTAGAAATTTTAATTGGTAATGGTTCTGACGTCTTTAATGACGTGCACGCCAACTTTAATTGATTTCTCTATAAAATAATGGTTAAATGTAAAATAAGTAACAAGGGTAACTTTTGTAGGTTGCTCTTGGCTATGGAGAAAGAAATGATCCTATGTTTTTATGTGGAGGTTCATTGATAAGCCCTCAATTCATTTTAACCGCTGCTCATTGTGCAGATACACTTGAGTAAGTATACTTCATAGTATAATAAATAGTTAATTTAAAAAAAAATCCCAGAAATATCTACTTTTTCAAGAATTTCAACAACAAAATAATATTGAGTATAATACGCAAATCAATTTTCAAGAAACATAAATACATTTTTTAATAGGTTTAACTATTAAATCGTGTATAACATATCATTAGAATCTACCCATGTGGGACCTTGAATTAAGATGTTTTAGAAAAATATTAATCATTCATCATCTACTAAGAAATATATATTATTTTTTTCTTTATATTACAATTATTTTTGAATTAAGTATAATATTACTATGTAGAATATACCCTGTAATCGAATGAAAACCACGTCACTGTAAGCGTCATTTTTGTGTCATATACAGGGTGAGTCTTAAATAAGTGCAAATATTTTCAGAGCTGGTAGATCTCGATAAAAGAAATATATTTTCCCTTTGCCGTTTTTCAAATAAGTCCAAAATAACCGAGTTATTTTAATTTGAAAATTTCCAAAAAAATTATTTTATGCTTAATTTTAGGAACCAACCACTGATTTTTTCTGGTTTTTATTTCTTGTAAGTACATCAAAGTACATCAAAGTCTCAAAAGAATGAAAAATGGACGGTCACCAGGTCCTGGTAATATTGTAGCCGAATTGTTAAAGTGTGGAACCCAAAGATTGCGCTGGCGTCTGGCAGAGCTATTTAACCAGTGCTGCCTGCAAAGTAAACTACCCCGAGAATGGCGAGTGGCTCACATATTGTCCATCTTTAAAAAGGGAAATCGTAACGACCCCACTTGTTATAGAGGCCTAAGCAATAACAGTTCGGTCAGCAGACTTTTTGGAAAGGTGCTACAGGGTAGGCTCAGGGACAGTATTGGTGACAAAATCTCGGAAGACCAAAGCGGATTCACACCGGGGAAATCTTACACAGATAACCTTTTTGTCCTGCAGCAGGTGATGGGAAAAAAGATAGCAGTAGATCAAGAAGTCCATCTAGCATTTATTGATTTGGAGAAAGCGTACGACTCTATTCCCCGCAGCAAGATATGGGAAGTATTGAATATCTTAGAAGTAGATAGACCTTTGCTTAAGATAATAAAAGAGCTATATAAAGAAAATGAATCGTACGTTAAGATAGGACACAGGCTATCTAATCCAATTAACACCACAAAAGGGTTGCGACAAGGATGCAGCTTATCTCCTCTGATCTTCAACGCTTACGTCGAATTAGCCCTTAGGGAATGGAAGACGAAATATCAAGGTATGGGAATACCCATTGGGGACAACACACTATTTACCCTGAGCTTTGCAGACGATCAGGTCGTGATTGCGCAGGACTCATACGATCTAGAGTTCATGACTAAGAGGCTTTATCAAGTATACAACAAATGGGGACTTCAGGTTAGTCTAAAGAAGACCGAATACTTAGCTGTCAATTCCAACACTTGTTTTGAAGTCTTCATTAATGATAACGTCCAGATTCAACAAGTAGACAAATTTAAATACCTGGGTGCTACTATCAACAACGAGGGTTTGGGCAAAGAAGAAATACAAACCCGAATTCAGAAGAGCAAACAAGTTATTGGATGTCTTAACAGCCTCTGGTGGGATCGAAACTTATCTGCAACAACTAAAATGAGACTTGGAAGAACATTGGTGGAGTCAGTTCTTTGCTATGGTTCAGAGCTGTGGACTCTGAGTGCAGACGCGAAGCGCAAAATCCAAGTTGTTGAAATGGACTACCTTAGAAGAAGTGCAGGTATATCTAGGATGGAAAAAAAGACAAACATCGAGGTCAGGCGTATCATGAATGCATCGGAGGAGACAGTACTGGATCGAATCGAATAATCCAGCTTAAAATGGTTTGGACATGTTCTGCGTATGCCGGAGAACAGGTGGCCAAAAAGAGTTTTTCAATGGGCTCCCCAGGGCAGAAGAAAGAGAGGTAGACCTAGAAAATCCTGGAACGGAACGGTTACGGAAGCAATGGAAGCTCGTAACCTAGAAGCTGATGACGCTCTAAATCGAGATGTGTGGCGTAGGTTAACGGGAAGGCAGCAAAAGGCTGTAGTTGGAAATGAGTATTAAATACTTAAACCAAATCCCGTTTATAAAAAAAAATATTTCTTGTAAATTTAATCCACTACCTATGTTGCCATATTATCAAGAAATTGTTTTTTTAACTAAAAAGTAAAAAAAAATCCAATTTTTTTTCAAAATTCCAAAATTTTTTTGCAAAAAAAAACCTTGTAATCGTGTTTCTGCACTACGCCTAAAAATATTTGCACTTATTTAAGACTCACCCTGTATATTCAAATTAATTTTCTATTGAAGAAAATCTAGAAAATAGAAATTAAGGACACTATTGCTGATATAGAAAAAATACTCAGTAGGTAATTTATTTTCTTTATTACTTGTAATTTGTAATTCATGCACTAATTGACTATAAAATATCTAATTTTTGTAGGGGTTCGGTACAAGTTGTACGTATCAACACAATCACTCTGGAAACCCCATTTCGAAAGTACATGGACATAGACGTGCAGAAAACGATAATTCATCCTAAATATAAGCCTCAGTCAAATTACAACGACATAGCTTTGTTGAAACTATCTAAAAACGTACCTTCCTTCATAAAACCCGCTTCTTTGCACAACACCAGTACGATATCTAGAAAAATTCTAACGGCTATAGGATGGGGCAGAACTGATTTTGCTGGTACGTAAATAAATAAGTCACTGTATAAAAAAATAGTGAAGGCAGTGGCGGATACAGAGGGGGGCTCATGGTGCCAAGGCTCCCCCTAATATCTATAAATTGGGTTAAATATTAGACTTTTGTGTTAAAAATGGCACTCTAAAAAGTATATTCTACATTACTTTTTATTTGTGCCCCCTCCTAAAGTAAATTCCGCTTTCCCCCCCCCCATAAAATAAATTCCGCCACTGAATGAAGCGGTGAGTGCATATTAGATGCACTCACCTGTACGGAAAACGAACGCTTTAAAATTTTGATGTATTTTTAAGTTTAATACAGGGTGGTCCGAACTGTATTCCGAAAACTTCGGCAGCATATTCTGCAGATAAAAATAAGTAAAAAAGTTCGTATAAATGTATGTCCTAAAATGCTTAGTTTCGGAGATACAGGGGCTAGAAGTTTCATTTTTGTTACGATTTTTTTCCAAATAATTTCTGAAGTAACGTAAAATTGGTGCTTGGGAGTTTTGTGACACGAGAAATTTGATTTTGATGTCAAAATGACTCCTATTTGTAGGGGGCGCCATCTACATGTGTTTTAACTGTTTTGAAGAGTAATAACTTTTCGTCCGTACCTGTATAAAACTAATGAATGAAAAAATATACATTTCCATGACTTTTTACGTAAAAAATATCTCTTGATAAAAATCGCTACGAGCAACCGTTCTCAAGATATTTTGAATGGAAATAGTCAATACATGTCATTATTGACAAAAATAAGCACACGTTGAGTATAGCTATTTGACTGAAATAATAAATTTTTATTTTTTAAATTAATAGAATTTCTATTGAACTTTTGGCACAAAAAGATTTCAAAATTATGATTTCAATTTAATAACTGTTTAGTCAACATGTTTAATTATGTCAGTGATGACAGGCATTGATAATTTCGATTCCAAATATCTCGAGAACCATTACTCTTGGCGATTTTTACCAAGAGACCTTTTTTATGTAAAAAAATCGAGAATGTATATTTTTTTACTCACTAGTTTTATACAGGTATGGACGAAAAGTTATTACTCTTCAAACCAGTTAAAAAATATATAGGTGGCGCCCTCTACAAGTAAGAGTCATATTGACAAGAAAATCGAATTTCTCATGTCAAAAAACTACCAGACACCAATTTTCATCCAAATATTGACGTTACTTCATAAATTATTTGGAAAAAATCGAAATAAAAATGAAACTTCTACACCCTGTATCTCCGAAACTAAGCATTTTAGGACATACATTTATACGAACTTTTTTACTTATTTTTATCTGCAGAATATGCTGCCGAAGTTTCCGGAATACAGTTCGGACCACCCTGTATATTGTGTTTCAGTGGACCAATTACAGTCTTTTTCTAAAATTCGCAAATACGTCACTGTTAGTTTAAGTTCTGACACCAATATACTTCGAGATATATTACCTCTGAACAAACCCAAGTGTAAAATTAATAATAAATAACATAAAATAAGCTAAGAAAAGCCCTACAAAATTTCGGATCAAATCACAAAACATCCCCCTTTAAAATTTTGATATACGTCATGAAATGAAAGTAAAAGAAGCGCCTCCTTGAGTTTGTTCGCGCACTAAATTCATGCTATATCGATCTCTATATTTATTTATTTTTAGCCGACCATACGCCATACCAACAGGTATGGTAGGCTATTAAGATCGGCAAAAAAAAGTTTTTTTTAATTTCACTCAAAATGAGTTATTTGGGTCATAAATGACCTAAATACAAAATATTTTCATGGTGTCTGTCTGTCCGTCTGTCTGTAACACGATAACTCAAAAACCGCCAAACCGATTTTAACCAAATTTGGCACAAAAATACTGTGGCAACCGAGAATCTGGCCATTAGTTTTTGGTGGGTGTGGGGAGTTGGTAAGGGGGTATGGTAGGGGGTTAAAAATTTTAAAAATCGTAACTCCAAAATTACAGTAGCTAGCGAAACGCGGTTTTCATTTTAAGATTAGGAATAATATTTGCAACAAAATTTGTAATAACAACAAAATAAGTCAAAGTCGCAGTTTTTGAGATGAAAAAAATTGGAAAAATTCCTTTACTTTGAAACTAAAAGAACTGCCTACCAACTTTTTATTAACATATTTTAGTATGGGCGGTTATACTTGCCTTCCGGCGCCAATTTTCTTTGAATATTAAGGGGCGTCCAGACCGGATGAGCGAGCAGGAGCGAGCAAGAATTCGAGTATATTCTATGGGAACGCTTAACGAGCGAGCGAATGATTGCTTGCTCGCGCTCGACGCTGTTCCATGCCGTGTCGGTACATCAAAGAAAATTCGCGCTATTGCACGTTCGGTTTGGACGGGATTTTGTTTACCACGTTTGCGATCAAATATCAAAAATGGAATGGCCGAATGAAGTTGTTTCAGAACTAATAGAGGAGTACAAAAATCGCCAAGACCCGTAAGGTTATTTTGCTAGCCTTTCACTAGGTAAAATTGCTTTTCGGTAATTGGTATCACTTTTCATTATTTTTATGTCAATTAAATCTAAAATAAGGTATTAAAATTTGTAAGTGACATCCGACAAAAGTTCTTAAATATTCCAGAATGTTCTGTATCAACAACGTTTAGTAAATTGTTACAACCATGAGAAACTCGATTTTTAAAGAGTTCCACCATCTCCTCTGCAATCGTTTTCTCTTTTGACGTTTCAACAATTTATAAAATACAATGAAAGACGCTCAAGCAATAATTTTTTCCGACATTATGAATAAGAAGTGCCACACACCGATCAACGCCGAACATACAAATAATCGCTAGGTCTGGACGGAAGCTGATCATGTGCTCGAGAGCAGCAGAAATCACGACCGAATTTGAATAAATGTTTGCTCGCGCTCGTTACTGCTCGCTCATCTGGTCTGGACGCCCCTTTACAGACACATTTTTTTTAATTGTAACGAAATAGGTTTATTAAATTACATTACATATTAAAAATTACAATGAAAAATTGTAGGTAATTTATATATAACACATAATTTATCTTTAATATACCTAGTTTCTTACAATAAAAAAGTGTTTATATCAATACCCGATCGAACGTTTAGAAAAACAAAACAATTATTGATGTTATTATAAATTATGTATTTTACATACATATAAACTGAAAAAAAAACGCACAAACCAATTCGAATCTTTCCGAGGATTTGGAAAACGAAAAAAACTGTCATTCTCGGTCGAAAAAAGCTACTGCAATTAAATATAAATAATTAAATTAAAATGCACTTGATAAAATAAGTATAAATACACCAGTAATTAATGAGAAAATTGTCAAAACCATACACCGAATATTTACAAAACACAACGAAATAAAAATATTGACATATTTAAAAAACAAATGAATATTTGTTAACTTTTGAATGACTAGCAGCACCTCCAGCACCTCTAGTGTTTGTTCGCACAGTATAGCTTTTACTTCCAGTAATTGCCATTACAGAAAATGTTCTAAAAGGGAATGTTTTGTGGATCAAATTCAAAGGTGTCAATCTGGTGTCAATTGAAACGTCCAATGCAATTGCAATGCAATTCCTTCCTTAGACTTTTCATTCAAAGAATTCATTCTATTTGACTGATGCTGTATGATAAAACTTGATAAATTATCATATTTTTTTTTATTTTATGGATAAAGGGAGTCATATCTTTTTATTCTTAATATAATTTAACATTTTTGACTCTATGTAGGTCTAAAGTAGAGAGCAATCTCTTAGCACTAAAACTATTTTAGGACCTTCTTCAAATGACTTGTTAAAAGTCAATTTGGAAGTCTATTCAAAAGCACGATGCAATCCTTTCTATAAAAACGTGAATAAATTGTCAAGAGGCATAGATAATAAAATCCAGATATGTGCTGGTGGACAGAGAAATGAGACCAAAGATACCTGTCAAGTAAGTCTTAACAGATAAGTAATATTTTATTAAAAATAATAGTAAAAATAATAAAATACAAATAAATTAATAGTTATTTACTACTCCTATAGATATAAGCATTTTAGGAAGCATTTTATACACGCAAGAATGTTTAAAAGTGAGAACGTAGTTCGAGCATTTAATTTTCTTAAGTGGATTAAATGCAACTAAAACACGAATGTAATACGTTTTATCCATCCATTTGTAGATATACAGGGTGGTCCGAATTGTATTCCGGAAACTCCGGCAGCATATTCTGCAGATAAAAATAGGTAAAAAAGTTCTTATAAATGTATGTCCTCAAATGCTTAGTTTCGGAGATACAGGGTGTAGAAATTTTATTTTTATTTCGATTTTTTCCAAATAATTTCTGAAGTAACGTCAATATTAAGATGAAAATTGGTGTCTGGGAGTTTTTTGACATGAGAAATTTGATTTTGATGTCAATATGACTCCTACTGGTAGAGGGCGCCACCTACATGCGTTCTAACTATTTTGAAGCGTAATAACTTTTTGTCCGTAACTGTATAAAACTACCGAGGAAAAAATATACATCTCTGTGATTTTTTACCTAAAAAAGATATCTTTGTGAAAATCGCTACGAGCAACCGTTCTCAAGGAATGGAAATATTCAATACATGCCATTATTGATGAAAAATAAACACGTTGAGTAGGTACTTATTTCGCTGAAATAATAAATTTGGGAAATTTTTATTTTTTTAAATTAATCATAATTTTTTTGCAAAAAAACGATGATAAAACAGTTGTTGTTGAACTTTTGGTACAAAAACATTTCAAATTTATGATCTCAGTCTAATAACTACTTAGTCAACATGTTTAATTTATGTCAGTGATGCAGATATTGATAATTTCGATTCCAAATATCTCGAAAACCATTACTCGTAGCGATTTTTACCAAAAAACCTTTTTTACGTAAAAAGAGTCGTAAATGTATATTTTTTTATTCAGTAGTTTTATACAGGTACAGACGAAAAGGTATTACTCTTCAAACCAGTTAAAAAATATGTAGGTGGCGCCCTCTATAAGTAGGAGTCATATTGACATCAAAATCAAATTTCCCAAGTCAAAAAACTTCCAGACACCAATTTTCATCCAAATATTGACGTTACTTCATAAATCATTTGGAAAAAATCGATATAAAAATGAAACTTCAACACCCTGTATCTCCGAAACTAAGCATTTTAGGACATACATTTATACGAACTTTTTTACATATTTTTATCTGCAGAATATGCTGCCGAAGTTTCCGGAATACAATTCGGACCACCCAGTATATTTAAATTATAAAAAATTAATAGGAGAAAATTAGCAGCAAAAGGGAAAAATGCATTTTTCATAACAATCTTTGCTTGTTCTAAAATGGTTAATCCCGTTTATACTTTTCCAAATTTCCATACCGTTTTAGAGGAAATAGAAATAAACATGAAAATATGGTTCAATTTTTTCCAAGTCCTAAAAATTAAAAGGCGTTTTTATGGTAATATATATATATATATATATATATATATATATATATATATATATATATATATATATTTGATTTCATTCTTTGATAGATGGCTATTATTAACTCTGATTAACGTCATGTTTTTTGCGGTTGCTAAAGTATCACATTTTCCGACAACTATTATCACTCTTTCCAGCATTGAACTGAATAAATTTATGCTTTTTAATATTTTCGAACAGCAAGAAATATGACGATAACTCAAATTCTATTAATAACGATCTATCAAAGAACGAAAACGAAATTATATACCATAAAAATATTGTTATGAAGAATGCATTTTTCTCAAAATGTCAATAATAAAAAAAAATCCTCTTGTAAAGACAAACTAGGAACATGTAGAAGAAGAAGAATGTAGATGTTTAGTTAGGATCTATTGTGTGCTCCCCTTTCTTGAGTTATAACGAGTTATAACTCATCATACAGTCTGAAAGCTTTTAACAAAAGTCAGTATGTGGGACGGCTCCACAGAGGCCATCCTCGACATCAGCCGTACCAAAATTCATGGCACGAATGGTCGCCGCCGCCGTCTCGGCGCTCTCAGTGATAAGGTGTTCTTGTGTTTTCCCATTTTCCCCACAGAATCTGCATTCGCCGTTGTTTCTCATCTTCAGCCTACTAAGGTGTTTGTTGAGAGGACAGTGTCCTGTGAGAACAATCCGATGATTGTTTTTTTTTACTCAAATCAAGGAAAACCTTTGATTTTTCTCGGTCGTAAGTTCTGATGAACTTCTTTTTCGTGTGTCTCAAACCATTGGAGGGCTGGTTTTAGTTGGTTTCAGGAAAAACAGAACGGTTTTGATCCAAGTAGTGGAGTGTTCGCTCCTTTTGTAGCTAGATCATTTACTTTTTCATTGCCTTCTATCCCTTGATAAGTGGGCACCAAAGAGTAGATAATATCTATCTATCTTATCTACTCTTTGCGGGCACCCAGGATAGGAGGGCTTTATTTTCTTTGCCTAATTTGTTCAGCTTCTCTAGGCTTTCTTTGACCAACTTCGAGTTGATGGTTACTGATGAGTTGATCGCGTTTAGTGCTGCTTGACTATCGGATAAAATGACTATTTTCTGTTTTTGATAGTTCCTATCTAAGATAAATTGTACGCACGTACGCATCTTTCGATAGCGTAGATTTCTGCTTAAAGGATGCTCCAGCATCCTTTAAGCAGAAATCTACGGCACCTAATCCATTAGGTGCCCATTGATTCGGAATGTTTAGTTTTCGGCCCAAATACTTCCGTGTCCCTGCTTTGGTTTTGTAAGGATCAGTATACCACGTTATGGTATGGTCTTTTACATGCTGAGCAAACGTTTCTCCCTTCCAATCCGTTTTATTACTGAATACTACAGCGAGATGTTTTTCAAAGTTTTAAATTCTTGGTTTGTCATCCACTGGGAGTTGGAGAAGTGGAATTTTCTTTCTGAGGGTGTTCCAAGTCCCTGGCCTGAAAATTCTCCCAGTACTGTATCCTCCAACGACCATTCTAATCATTGTCGCATTGGCATAACTACCAACGACAATGTACATTGGTGTTAGGTCTAGCATGACCTCCATTTCTGCTGTTGGGCATGTTTTCATGGCACCTGTAATGCAGATGCATGCCAGTCTCTGTACTTTGCACAGGTTTTGCCTTGCTGTACGTTGCTCTAGTTTTGCGTACCAAGCAACTGCTTCATAGGTAATCATGAGTCTTACTATCATGATATACATCGAGCGCAAAATGTTACGGGCGCAGCCCCATCTATTTCCTGAAAGTCTTCTGCATTTCACGAGAGCCTTCGTGGCTTTGCTGGTAATGTTTTTAATGTGCCTGTTCCAGAGAAGTTTACTGTCCAGGGTTATTCCCACATATTTGACTTCCTGCGATGGCAGTATTTCCTTTCCATCTAGATGGATTCTTTTCAAGTTTCCGGGGACATACTGTTACATTGTTATTTTATTTATTCCACTAGTGGAGTAATGCGGACTAGTGTGGACTAGTGGAGTATTGTTTATCCCACTAGTGAATAAAATATTTTAACTTTAAACGCTTTATGTGAGTGTGAGTATGAAATAATTAATTAAATTAAGTTATTTTTAGGGTGATTCTGGAGGTCCATTAAGCTACAAAAAAGGACAAAAACATCATCTAGTTGGCATTACTTCCTTTGGAAAAGCGTGTGGACTGGCAAGAGTACCTGCAGTGTATACCAGAGTATCTGCATACGTACCCTGGATAAAATCGATAGTTTGGAAGAAAAAATCGTAATAATGAAGAAAATAAAACATTTCTTCTCGGAGAAAAAAGTTTACAGAATTGTTTTCAAAGCCTGCCATGTTATTGTTCAAATGATTTGCCTGTTCATGTCCAGCCGTCCAAGTATTTTTATATTAAGAGAAAAAAAGTTTGCGCAGTTTAAAATGTACTATCTACAGTCAACTGAGTAACCTATCCACCAATAGCTGTAAAAAAGGTGTTGACTTTTTATAGTAAAAATGGGTTTCCGAGATATTTCTCTTTTGTATTTTAATCGCTTGTACAGTAAAGAAGAAGATATATTCTTGTACTAATTATTTTTTATTCTCCAGAAACATGGCAAGCTTTTTGTTAAGTTTTAAGTTCAATATTTTGTATCAAGTTAATAATAAATTGAACTTTGTTTATGGGCCGAAATAAAAAATGAACAGAATGAGCATAGACGCGTATTTTATGCAGGTCAAATTCAAGTGTATGATTTCGCTCAGGTCAGGCCAACAACCTGTGCAGATAATCAGGTTTGCACAGGCGCAGGCGGTCTGTTCGAAAAAACCTGAGCGTATGTGGAGACCCTAATTGATTATTATATATGGTTTTATTAAATCATAAAGAAATGTATCTAACAAAATGTCAAAACCAGTGAAATTAAGTTCATTAACTTGTTATTTCAACCAGTTAAAATTTTATATTTATTTAAAATAATAAAACAATTTTTAATTAATCGATGTAGAGCTTTATTTTTTTTTAAATCACGCTGTCTAATCTGTGCTCTATTGCCAGATAACACTCTCAATCCAAGGCACAAACTGATCAACTTTACTGTATACTCCCAAGGAATTCTTCATGCCACAAAATCTCCCAAATGATGTCACGCCAATGATGCTATAAGTACAATAAGGTTCCATCTGAACAACCTAAAAATATTCCAAAATTAGACAAGTTTTTTGTCTAGCTGTTTTTAGGTTTTTGTATACTGAAATTTTTATAATATAAAGCTTCATTCAGAACATCGAAATTAGTGGAGTATATTAGTGGTTGCAATTATACTTTTCACTTAAGAATTTACGATAATTCACAATGTCTAAAGCTTCATTCAGAAGCTCGCAATTAGTAGAATGAATTAGTGGTTTCAATTAGCTTAGAAGTTTGTTCCTTTAATTTCAATATAAGCAAAATTCAAAACGTCAAAATTAGTGGTAGACATTTTCAATTAGCAGAAAAGCTTTATTAAGACCTCGCAATTAGTGAAATAAATTAGTGGTTTCAATTACACTTTATACTTTTGAGTTTACGATCATTCACAATATTTAAAAAAAAACAGAATTAAATTTAATAGAATATCCTAGCAACAGCTTGCGTTAGTGTTGTATCCATAGAGAAAGCTTAATATCTTTTGATTTCTAACTACAATTTCTTTTGTCTTGACGAAAGATAATCAAAGGCCAAAATGACGTTTCTCGCAAATTTTGAAGTATAATTAGTGGAAATGTAAAAGCTTCATTCCGAACCCCGCAATTAGTGGAATAAATTAGTGGTTTCAATTACACTTTAGACTTTTTAGTTTACGATCATTCACAATGTCTAAAAAATACAATTAGAATTAATAGAAAATCTTAACAACAGCTTGCGGTAATTTTTGCTTATAAAACAATAAACTTTTAATTTCTAACCATATTTTCTCTTGAAGGATGATAAACAAAAGCCAAAATGACATTACTGGCTAATTTTGAAGAATAATTAGTGGCAACAGTTAAAAGTTTGTTAAATTTTTCTCCTTATTGAAAATTACTAGGTATCACTAATGTTGACATTTTTAATGCTTACATTGAAATTTGAGGAACAAACTTCTACGCTAATTGAATCAACTAATTTATTCTACTAATTTCGAGGTTCTGAATGAAGCCTTTGTCTGAGGAATAACCAATCAACCAACAGTTAACAAAAAAAAAGATGATAAAAAATAACTTACTTGTAATGGTCCTCCAGAATCACCTTCGCACGTGTCTCTGCCTCCATCTAAATCACCTGCACACATCTCACTGTCAATCAAGCCATTGGGCATCTCAATAGGATGAGTAAGAATATATTTACTGCACACTTCGTTAGAAAATAAAGGCAGTTTGACTTTGAGCAATGTAGTACTTCTGTCATTATCATCTGAAAAAAATCAAGTGAAACATACCTATTTTTTTGGTTAAAATAGTTAAATATTCAAGAAGGACGTTTATTTTTTTTATATTTAATTTTTGCTAGCAGCATGCATGGATTGTAAATATACAGGTGTACAAGAAATAGTGTACCAAACTTGTGACACACAAGTAAAAATTAAACGAAAAGGTTCAATGCTCTAATGGTACGTATACATTGGTGCGCTGCGCCGCGAATGCGCAGCGCGCGCCGAGCGTTGTCCGCGCGTTACTTTTATTGTTCTAACGAACATCCCGCGATCCATAGAAATCCCGCGCACATTGGTCTAGTCGTTAATCATGTCTCCATCGTCTGAGAGGAACTAAGCTATTTTAGTGATGAGCAGTGCGGCTCATTGAACACTCCATTAATAAACAATATTTAAAGAAAAAACAAAAAAAGGGCATTTATTCAAAGAAAACACAGGCAGAGTGCGCGCAACCTGAAAACACGTACCAATAAAGGCGAATCGACACGAAGCGGCGCTGCGCGCCAATGTATACATACCATTAGGTGCTTCCCAAGGAAATTACAGCCTTCGAAACTTAGCTTCGATGTAGTAATTTAACAACTACATTAATGGATGTAGTCATTTCAACATATTGTCACATAACAAGCTAGGATTATTTTACCTCAGGAAGCTGCTCTTTATTTAGTTCGAAATGGTGAACGGTTTTCAAGATATTAGACAGTTAAAGCACGGCCAAAGACGTAGACGTAAACGTATCGTTTGACATGTACGCTTGCGCAGTGAGACATTCACTTGCGTTTACGGATACGTGATACGTATCTTTACATGCCTTTACGTACGTACAAAACGCAAACGTATCGAGCCGAAGGAGTTTCGATTTTCACCCGAATGATGCCGAACGTACAAATTCACAAACAACTCGTTTCCACAATTGACTAGTAATTAAGTTATTTCATAAATTTTGGGGCCAATGTAACAGAACTGGACATATTTTATTACAATAAATTTGTATGAAAATATTAAGCATCATAATAAACTCATTTTTGAATCTATTTAATTAAATGCTAGTTCTTAGTCAAAATCCATATGAGGATTCTAAAAGATGGAATCTAATAAATAATCATAAAACTGTGTCTGTTTTCCAATATTTTTTATTACTAAGAGCATTTTAAGTTGTAAGGACTACTTTCTGTAATAAAATAATTTCCATTTATAATTTTCTTCATTTTTCGAACTTTTATAAATTTAATGTGGAATCAATGGAATAATAAATATCCATTTTCAGTTTTAAACGGCAGACATAACGTAGGTTTCTGCGTTACGTGTCGAGAGAGATACGTATACGTATTGTGCCTTGCTTTAACTGTCTATTTACGTTTAAAGGTTACAATACATACGGTAATCGCAAAACAATTTCTGATGCACGAAATCAACTTTGAGTGACAAGCGATGGCGACAGCGCTGCCAGATTGTGATGGATTTATGAGATGAATCTTAATTTAAGATCAAAGCAAAACCTTTGAAGGCGGGTAAAGGACAAATAACTCACAATCTTTAAGTTGTTTAATTTAAATTTTAATGCTTAAAAAAGCAAGGGGGCGACATGTTTCGGGAATTTAAACTATTCCCATCATCAGGCCCAAAAGACAAAAGTCAACCTAGGAAGTACAACCACTCGGAAGAAATAAAATTAGTTAGAGATGTTAACATTTACACTCACAAACTAACAAAACTCTCTCATTGTAATTATAAATTGTATAACTCTTCTAATTACAATGTCTACATTTACAACTTACAACTATTGTAATTACAACTCTTATAATTACAATGAGAGAATTGTGTAAATGTTAACAGCTCTAACTAATTTTATTTCTTTCGAGTGGTTGTACTTCCTAGGTTGACTTTTGTCTTTTGGGCCTGATGATGGGAATAGTTTAAATTCCCGAAACATGTCGCCCCCCTTGCTTTTTTTAGCATTAAAATTTAAATTAAACAACTTAAAGATTGTGAGTTATTTGTCCTTTACCCGCCTTCAAAGGTTTTACTTTGATAATATGTACTCACACTGGGTTAGAGAACGTTTAGTTTTCTTAATTTAAGAGTGACAGACAATATATTTTTTATATCATTTTTTAAAGATATTTACGTTTTATTTTCAATTTAATAACTAATATTTTAGTAATTAATTGGCTTATTTGTTTTATAGCTTATATTACTTATTACATATTGGCAAAAACTAGTCCATTATAAAGATTATTCTAAGCGTATGGGTTAATAATATGGGTTAATATATATGGGCTAAATATGGGTTATTTATTTATTTATTGATGTACATCTTACAACGCCATAAGTGGTAATAACAAGTAACAGGGTGCTATTAATGCACAAACTAATAATCACAAAATTAAATAAAAACTAACGCAGAAATAACTTTGAAAGTGGTGTAATGTGCTTGTCAATCAAACTTACTTCTCTGACTGCAGTCAAGGGTAGAATTTTTTTAGAATTTAGAATGAGTGGGAGGGGGGTTAATCACTTCGACCTTACAGATCCATTGTGTCCCCCTTTCTTGAATCATAACTCATCATACAGTCCCAGGGCTTTGACAAAAGCCAGTATCTGGGACGGTTTTATAGAGGGTAGTTCTCCATCTCCAATATCAGTCGTACCAAAATTCATGGCACGAATGGTTGTCGTCTCGGCGCACTCAGTGATGAGGTGTACTGGTGTTTCCCCATCTTCCCACAGAATCTGCATTCGCCGTTTCTTCTTAGTTTCAATCTACTGAGGTGTTCATTGAGGAGACAGTGTCCTGTTAAAAACCCCGTGACAATCCGAAGATTATTCTTACTCAGACCCAGGAAGATCTGTGATTTTTCTTGATCATAAGCCCTCAGAAACTTCTTCGAGTGTCTTAGACCATTGCAAGACTTCCATTCCAGGTTGCGGATGGAATCTTCCAAGTTCTTGAGTTCCGCCTTGAGTTGGTTACCACTTGGAAAGCAGAACGGTTCTGGTCCAGTTAGTGGAGTGTTCGCTCCTTTCCTACCTAGATGATTTGCTTTTTCATTGCCTTCTATCCCTTGGTGAGCAGGCACCCAGTGTAGGAGGACTTTGTTTTCTTTGCCTAATTTATTCAGCTTCTCTATGCATTCTTTGACCTACTTCGAATTGATTGATACTGAGTTGATCGCCTTTAACGCTGCTTGACTATCAGACAAGATGGCTATTTCTTGTTTCCGATAGTTCCTATGTAAGATAAGTTGTACGCATCTCTCGATAGCGTAGATTTCTGCCTGTAGGATACTAGGGTAAGTGCCCATTGGTTCGGAGTAATTAGCTCTCGGCCCAAACACTCCGATCCCTGTTCCCGTATTGGTTTTGGAAGCATCAGTATACCAAGTTATGGTATGGTCTTTTAACTGCTGGGCAAGCGTTTCGCTCTTCCAATCCTTCTTATCAGGTCAAGGGTAATAAAGGACTTTTATTGTCACGTTCTCGTTCAAAATAGTTTATCAGAGAAGCTACAAGCTCTTTGCTTCGACTGTTTAAATGCTTCGGCAAATTTTCAACACACAAATTCAAGGAATGCAATACAAAAACTCGAAAATTTAGTTCTTAAAAGAAGTGTTTGTGCTTAAAAGTACAATTTTTGAAAATTACTATGAAAATAGGCAAAAAAATGAGAACTACTCACGAAGATTCAACAACACGATATTATACAAAATAATGACTGACATTAGGATAATTCTCAAATAATAAACGACAACCTTGCTGAAAACGGCGCAATGTGACCAACATAGCGATAATAAAATTCGGTTTAAACTAATTTTTGCAGATTTAATCTAAATAAAATAGGTATATGTTACATTTGCTCTATAAAGTAAAATGAAGAGCTGCTGGGTATCTTAAATTATACAACAAATTGAAACATTTTTGCTAAAATTTAATTTAGTCAGATTTCAATACTTTAATGTCAATGTCGATATGATTGATGACGTGCATTGAAAAATGTTTTGCGATTACAATCCATGCGATGTATGAAAATTTTTGATTGGTAGCTAGTAGGAATTTGAATTGAGAGTATTAAAACAATTAACAATGTAGTTACATACCAGATATGGTGTAAAAAATTACAAGACAGTGTAACAAAATATGTAAAATCTGTATTTATTTACCTACCATAAAATCTTTTTCCAAATCCTATAGCTTGTGCATGTTTTTGATTGATATTCTCCAAAGTATTCACACAGGCAGGTCGAACAAACGGTGTAAATATAACGGGGCTTTCCAGAAAAACTATGGCGATGTCATGGTATTTTCTGGGTCTTTTATACTGCGGGTGATTGACAAATTTTTCCACAGATTTTTCTTGAATGTAACTGCTGTTGTCAAAGAGATCGACCATACCTAATCTTACTCTTCGAGGAGGACCACTAAATATGAAAAACTATACATTAATAATACTATTTAATAATAAAATATTATGTGATTAAAATAAAAACTTAAAATTTAACATCACTATAAGAGTAATACGTGGTTTCTGAAAAACATTATGTTTTTAAACACCCTCTATATTTGAAGTATATCAAGTGGTACCTATTTTAATAAAGTTTGCTTTTGACTTCCGATACTTTCTATATATTGCAAATATTTTAAATCGAGAGATCTTATTGTAAAATATTGGTGTGCTAAAACAGGACACCCTGTATATCTGTCACATTCTAAGTTTTACCGGCGAGATATAGTACAGTGAGCGGCTGTTAGAACGTGCTTTTCGCTGATCAATGAACCGCCGCACAACCACATGATTTCTTCGCCTTCCAAAGTGCCAAAACCAATCGCTGCCTAAAACTTTTTGATAAGTTTATAAAATTTATGGAAGCGTAGAGCTGCTACGCCAACATGGTGAAATATTTTCAGCAAAATAAACAATTTTTTTGTAAATTTACACACATTCTGTAAATTTACACCTTTTTGTGACAAAAAATAACAGAAAAATTGACAAAAAATTGGCAGAAAATATATAAATTTACAAAAAGTGTAAATTTACTGAAGAACTAAATTTATAGAAAAAGTGCAATTTACAAAAAAAGTGTGGATTTACAGAAAAATTGTAAATTTACAGAAAAAGTGTGGATTTACAGGAAAATTGTAAATTTACAAAAAAAAGTGTTAACTTACAGAAAAACTAAATTTACAGAAAAATTGTAAATTTACAAAAAAAAAGTGTTAACTTACAGAAAAACTAAATTTACAGATGAACTAAATTTATAGAAAAAGTGCAATTTCCAGAACAAGTGTGGTTTTACAGGAAAATAGTAAATTTACAAAAAAAAGTGCAAATTTACAGAAAAACTAAATTTACAGAAAAAATGTAAATTTAGAGATGAACTAAATTTATAGAAAAAGTGCAATTTACAAAAAAAGTGTGGATTTACAGAAAAATTGTAAATTTACAGAAAAAGTGTGGATTTACAGGAAAATTGTAAATTTACAAAAAAAAGTGTTAACTTACAGAAAAACTAAATTTACAGAAAAAATGTAAATTTACAGATGAACTAAATTTATAGAAAAAGTGCAATTTCCAGAACAAGTGTGGTTTTACAGGAAAATAGTAAATTTACAAAAAAAGTGCAAATTTACAGAAAAACTAAATTTACAGAAAAAATGTAAATTTAGAGATGAACTAAATTTATAGAAAAAGTGCAATTTACAAAAAAAGTGTGGATTTACAGAAAAATTGTAAATTTACAGAAAAAGTGTGGATTTACAGGAAAATTGTAAATTTACAAAAAAAGTGTTAACTTACAGAAAAATTAAATTTACAGAAAAAATGTAAATTTACAGATGAACTAAATTTATAGAAAAAGTGCAATTTCCAGAACAAGTGTGGTTTTACAGGAAAATAGTAAATTTACAAAAAAAGTGCAAATTTACAGAAAAACTAAATTTACAGAAAAAATGTAAATTTACTGAAGAACTAAATTTATAGAAAAAGTGCAATTTACAAAAAAAGTGTGGATTTACAGAAAAATTGTAAATTTTCAGAAAAAGTGTGGATTTAAGGAAAATTGTAAATTTACAGAAAAAGTTAATTAACAAAAGATAGTTAAATTTGGCTATTTTTAGCCAATGTGGGCATGGCAGCTCTACGCTTTCATGAAAATAAAGTTAACAAGAAATTTAATTACCATATGAGGAAATTCTTTAATTCTTGCTGCCTTTCCACCTACAATCAAAGTGTTATCATACATCGTACAGGTAGACACCATTTTTGTTCTACCACTACTTCGAAAAAAAGGAACAGTCTCTGCTTGATAGACCGCCTGACCATATTCCGCACATTCTTAAATAAATTAAAACGAATGTTTAAAAACAATATATTTTAATATATACCGTGTCCTTGTTAACCTCACGGTAGAGATACTGAGAGTCGTGGGTAAGAAGCAAATTTTAATATTAAATTATAAAGAACCAGAGAAGTCCAGGGGCGCTATTCTGTACAATCGTCGGTATCGGTAAGTTACGACAGCTCTCGATACTTATTTGTATATAGTAAAAATGTGTTAATTGTTGTTGTCATAGTTACCGATCGGTCCTATGGCAGATATCGCAAATTTGTACCGACGAAAATCGGTATCTCTGCCGTGCCCTTGTCAACCTCACGGTAGAGATTCCGATTTTCGTCGGTACAAATTTGCGATATCTGCCATAGGACCGATCGGTAACTATGACAACAACAATCAACACATGTTTACTATATACAAATACGTACCGATAGCTGTCGGTAACTTACCGATACCGACGATTGTACAGAATAGCGCCCCAGGGGATTGTTATTGTCATACTTTTAGCTGTCATTAACAGGACATATAGCAAATTTGTACCCACGACTTTCGGTATCTCTACCGTGAGGTTAACAAGGGCACGGTAGAGATACCGATCCTCGTGGGTACAAATTTGCTTAATGTCCTGTTAATGACAGCTAAAACTATGACAACAACGACGCCCATTGGTCATACGTACCGATAGCTGTCGGAAACTTACCGATAACAACGATTGTACAGAATAGCGCCCCTGGACTGCTCTGGTTCTTTATAATTTAATACTAAAATTTGCTTTTTACTTAATATAACAAAAATTATTATTCTGTCACAAACTTTAACAGAATTATGCCTAAAGGTTGATTCTCACTATACTTTCCGTTTCCATTCCATATCCGTTCCGTATTTTTTCTCGTATTGACGCTATACGTAAGCTTCCGTTCCGTATCAGTTCCATACTTTTTATTGTACAATTTATATCATTACGAAAGTTTCATTTTAAAAATTTGTATCTTTTGAAAAAGGTAATAGACTTAATTAAGAGGTGAAAGAATAAATATAAAGATCAGAAAAATGTAAACAGAGCTGCTACAAATGCAAGAACTTGACAACGCTGGTTCCGGTACGCTTCAATCCGTCCGGCAAAAAAATGCATGGAAGGAAAGGATGTCGGACGGAAGGAAAACGGAACGGATAGTGTGCGTTGTCCTATTCATACACATGATATCATGTTTATGTAAACGGAAGGTATAGTGAGAATCAACCTTAAGCCCGTGGTTACATTGGATGCGTGTCCGTACGTTTTTTTGGTCGTACGTGCTCGGACATGCACGCAGCAAAAGACAAACAAATGATATCTACGCAGGCGGTTACATTGCATCGGAGTTTACGCGTCCGTGCACGTACAGTACGTCTGTCCGTTCTGTAGCTCCGGGGTATCCGTGAGAGGGGAAACGATATTTTCTCGATGTTTTTCCTAAAAAATTAGACGACGCGTCCCATCAATAAAAATTCGACAAATTTGCAAGTAGCCAATAAAGTGAGTGGGCGGAGCGATTTGCGGTGACGCACACGTCAAATCGACGTATAAAATATATTGCTGTTTATTTAAATGTTTTTGCCCGCATTCCTTTCATAGACACAGATCCAGCAGATGTACTGTACGTCAATTTCCGTTGGTCGGATGAAAACAAACTGGTTTGTTTTTTTAATACGTGCACGTCCGAGCGTTCGAATTTTTGTTTAAAAACAATATATTTTAATATATACCGTGTCCTTGTTAACCTCACGGTAGAGATACTGAGAGTCGTGGGTAAGAAGCAAATTTTAATATTAGGGTCCTTTGGGCCCAATACATTACAGTTGAGGGTTGGAACCTTTGGTATTACACAGCAAAATAAAATACTAGATCTAAATTCACACTAAATCACCACAATACACCAAAACACTTTTACTTTTACACTGGACGCGCGTTTCGCTAACCATTTTAGCATCATCAGCAGATGATTATAAACTAAAGTACAATCTACAAGTTGAGCGTTTATATACTCGCCCAGTGGGCACCGAGTGGGCGTGGCAAAATCTAGCCAACCGAGTCAGAGCCCACTGAGCGTAACAGTTAGATTTCCGCCACTAGAGTAAAAACCCGACCTTTCCAGTGGAGGTGTTTTATCCTTTGGATTACCTAATAATTGTTGTGTAATTTATTATTAGCACTATAAACAAGTTTATAATTGACATTCTTAAAAATTCCTTTTATAGACCACGGGATAACTCTCTATCAAACGGTATCGAAAAATATTTAGACGTATCTTTCTCCACTTGAAAAGTCGAATTTTCAGAAAACATTAACCTATACCTACGTTTTCTAATTAATTTATCAACTAGTGAAGGAGAATATCCATTACACTCAGCTACATTCCTAATGTAATCTCTTTCTATTTCATATCTTTCGTTGGAAAGTGGGAAACTAAGTAATATATGAATTAAGAAATTTAAACAAGCCATTTTATGTTCAACACTATGATGTGATTCATTAGGAATATATCTGCATGTGGTCGTATTTTTCCTATAGATATCAAATTCCAGGCAATTATTAGCATTTCTAATAACTAATACATCTAGAAATGGTAATCTGTCGCTGTTCTCAATTTCATGCGTAAATTTAATGGAAGGAAAACGATTATTTAACTTAGAAATAAAATTATCTATGATGTCTGAATGTGTGTCAAAAACAGCAAAAATATCATCCACATACCATCCGCTGGAAAGGTCGGGTATTTATGAAATTTCTTGTAAAGTTTGTAATCAGAAATATGTTGGGCAAACTAGAAGATCAATATTAACTAGATTTAAAGAACATTTAGCTCAGATAAGATATGGTAGACCGGATAAATCTTGCGTTGCCGAACATACTGTTGATAAAGAACATTGTATAGATCTTAATAATTTAAAATTAATTAAACAAGTCTCAAATTACAGGCAATTAGATGCATATGAAAGCATCAGAATTAATAAATGTAAAGATAGTATGAACAGAGACAACGGTCCAATTCCTTCGTGGCGGAAATCTAACTGTTACGCTCAGTGGGCTCTGACTCGGTTGGCTGGATTTTGCCACGCCCACTCGGTGCCCACTGGGCGAGTATATAAACGCTCAACTTGTAGATTGTACTTTAGTTTATAATCATCTGCTGATGATGCTAACATGGTTAACGAAACGCGCGTCCAGTGTAAAAGTAAAAGTGTTTTGGTGTATCGTGGTTATTTAGTGTTTTTATTTTGCCCAATACATTCACGAAAAATTTGAATATTTTTGAATACCAGGTTGATTTTTATTTTAGATATATTAATGTTGCTGGAAACATTGTAAAATATTCAAAAAAGTTGACCGGTTGCTGCTTTAATTCACCAAATATTTTATATATTCATTTTCTTCGCCTTTTCTTGCATATAAATAATTTACCTAACATTTTCTTCTGTTCATAAGTAGTTATTTTTACATTAAATCCTCAGACAGCATCAAAGTAGTGGCGTCCGTTTTGACAAACTCGACACACAGGACACCATGAACGCGCATCGAATGTAACCACTAAAATAAAATAGTCGTGCGAGTAAATTCCGTCAGAGCTCGCACGTTTGAAAAAACGCACGGACCCGCGTCCAAAGTAACCGCGGGCTTAAGTTCTGGCATTTTATAGGCACTGAAAATTTACAATTTGAACAAATACTTACTTTCTTGTGCAATTTTTTGAGTTTTTACGGACGAAAAATGCAGAATAACCAACAGAAATGAAAGTATATTTTTCTTTATCATTTTTATCAATTCTTTATCAGACCGTAGTGATCTGAAGCCAAAAAAACTCATACACAAGTTCTATTTAACAACTAGTTCTGTACTTGTCTGGAAATAGAAAATTTTACTTGGAATTTACAAGGAAAACCATTCTAAATACTTACAGTTTTTAATTACTTACCAAAATTAGATTTTTTATCTTAATGTTAGAAGTGCTTTTTGTAATATCCTATTGTACCATTTTCTAGTACTGTTAAATTGTTCTTTATTAAAAAAAACAATATTTTTCAATTAACAATCGTGGAAAATGTATTTTTAAATGAAAGAAAAAAATATGTATAACAATATTTATTCTTAACAAAATAGTAATATTAATATATAATATATCGGGTTTTACATATACAGGAATAAAAATATGTACTTATGTATTCGGGTATTCCTATGTATTCAGTTTCAAATACCGGGTGTTGCTCAAAAGTGGCTCACCCCTGTAACTTTTCTATTTAAAAAAAAACGATATCTGGTACGTTATATAAATCAGGACTGATTGACGTATTCAATTGTTTCACCGGAAATTACTACAACTATTGATTTTTAAATGGCGCCCTCGGTATTTTTTGCTTTATTCGATATAAAATAACAGAACAGAATGACATATCATATGTGAACTTTTAACATTCTCGCTTATGATCGTATTTTAAATTTTAATCTAGAGTGCTATCTATGGCTGTACTAAAACACTAATTTTTAGTGAAGGATCCTTGGAAAAATAAATTTGATCGTCTAATGTTTTTAGTGTCTTGTGCTGGCCGGTTAAAAGATGCCCAAATCGTATTTTTAATCATATCTCAATTTTTTCAAATGGAACGAGGGTGGCTCATTAGCATATTTGGAAAAAGCATTTTTTTACGAATAATTTGGTACCACACTTGGTATTTCGAGTCAAATTTCACCACAAGGAGTCTTACCATTCCAATTATAAACCCGATATTGAAGGGGTATGATTTAGAAGCTGGTATAGTATACAGAGTGGGTCTTAAATAAGTGCAAATACTTTTAAAAAAAATTCTATCTGAAAATATTTGCACTTATTTTAGACCTCGTCCTATATAAAGTAAAGATTTATAAATTAAAGATAGTCATTTCCGGTGAAACAGGAAGTGACCGAAAACAATTGAATACGTCAGCCAATTCTAATTTATGTTTTATACAAACATACCCAATATCGCGTTTCTTTATCTGAAAAAATAAAAAAATTATACTTATGAGTCACTTTTCAGAAACATCCGGTGTATCAAAAATAATTTTAGAGAATAAAAAATAATAATAAACATATACGAATGACCGGTTTTTGAACACATTTACTTTAATGTTGATATTCATTCTCATATACATACAGGGTGAGTCTTAAATAAGTGCAAATATTTTTAAGGGTAGTATATTTCGACCCCAGAAACACGATTATTATTCGATTCGCGGTTTTTTCGCGAAAAAAAAAGTTTCAAATTTTGGAATTTTTTGGAATTTTTTTTTGAGTTTTTAGTCAAAAAACAATTTCTTGATAATATGGCAACATAGGTACTATATTAAATTTACAAGAAAGAAAACCCAGAAATGATCCAATGGTTCTCAAAATTTAAACAAAATTTTTTTTTTGGAAATTTTCAAAGTAAAGTAACTGGGTTATTTTGGACTTATTTGAAAAACGATAAAGAGAAAATACATTTTTTTATCGAGATCTACCAGCCCTGGAAATATTTGCACTTATTTAAGACTTACCCTGTATATCCTATTATTAATGATTTGGAGATCAAACTTCATTTAAAATTCAGTTTATTCTATCGTCAGTATGATACAGAGTGTAAATGAACGAAATGTTGGTTCATTTACACCTTTTATAATAATTCTACTACATTTTTTCTCGATTTATCACATCATTTGAACATCGTTAGTTCTCTTTTTTTCAGTCTTCTTAGCTCTAGATCTCATTTCATATATTTCCGCTTCTTCAACAGTTTCAGGCAGTTTGCAATCTAAAGTTTCCGGTAGTTTTAAGCACAGAAGTGCACCAATAAGTGGTACTACGCCAAAAATAAGAGGAGGAATCCATTGTTCTATAGTTACCAAGGAGGCTACAAAAGGTGCCACCATCGAACCTAAAATACAATAGAATAAATAATTAGTTTGTATACAAAGTATTAATAACTTGTAACAATTCAATCAAATGTCAAAAAAAAGAACTGGAAGGGAGAAACATTTGCCCAGCGGTTAAAAGAGCATACCATAACGTCTACTGATGCTTCAAAAACCGAAGCAGGAATAGAAGTATTTAGGCAGAAAACTAAATACTTTGAACAAATGGGCACATATGGTAATCGCAAAACAATTTCCGATGCACGTGTTGCATTGCTGCCAGATTGTGATGAATTTATGGGATGAATCTTAATTTAAAAGTGACAAACAATAGATATATTTATTATATCATTTTTTAAATATTTTTACGTTTCATTTTTAATTTAATAACTAATATTTTAGTAATTAATTGATTTATTTGTTTTATAGCTTATTTTACTATTAGATATTGGCAAAAACTAGTCCATTATGAAGATTATTGTAAGCGTTATTATGGGTTATTTATTTATTTATTGATATACAACGCGGCATAAGTAGTAATAACAAGAAAGAGGGTGCTAATGCATAAACTGGTATAGTAATAATCACAAAATTTAATAAAAACTAATGTAGAAATAACTTCGAAAGTGGTGTAAAGTGCTTATCAATCAAACTTACTTCTCTGACTGCAGTCAAGGGTAATAAAGGGACAAAGGGCCTTTATTGTCACGTTCTCGTTCAAAATAGTTTATCAGGGAAGCTATAAGCTCTTTACTGTTTAAATGCTTCGGCATAGTTTCAACACACAATTTCAAGAAATGCAATACAAAAACTTCGAAAATTTAGTTCTTAAAAGAAGTGTTTGTGCTTAATAGTACAATTTTTAAAAAATACTATGAAAATAGGCCAAAAAATGGCGAATTACTCAATAAGATTCAACAACAGCACGATATTATACAAAATAATGACTGACATTGGGATAATTGTCAAATAATAAAGGACAACCTTGCTAAAAACGGCGCAATGTGACCAACATAGCGATAATAAAATTCGGTTTAAACCTTTGAATAAGAAGACTAAGGAAGGAGCATTATGCTATCCATGTATTCATGCATGGTGGGCGGAAAAAGGACTCTAGGGTGGGGATCCTCGACAGTTCTGTTTGACGATTCATTTGACACATTTGAATTTGATTTGAAATTTTGTGGATTTGTCAGTCTTTACGGAGCTTATTTTATGTTATTTATTATTTATTCTACTACTGATAGTTGTATAAAGGTAGTAAATCTAGATGGAAATTTGGTAGAACTTAAATTAACAGTGACACTATCGCGATTTATCGAAAAAGACTCTAAAATAGTTGGTTGTGTAGCGTGCGGTAGATCTCGGCAAAAATTGAGTAAAATAATGGAACAACTTTTCGCTAGTAAGTGACTATATAATATACATACGTGTAGTAAACCGATCATTTATGAAATTCACTTAAATTAACTAAATTACATATTTTTCTTGCAATTTAGCTTTTATTTACTACTTGTCAAAGATCAGATGTCAAAGAATTTTGATACGTTAATTTGACTTACCTGCTACAGTAGCGTATCGGATATTTGTGTTAATAAATACTTATTATAACCCTTGTTATAACTTATCTATTTTTATTAGAATTATATATTTTTATAACAATTTTAATAACTACCAACATTTATTCACAACGTAAAATAAAACAACAAATTATTGAGTCTACCCCACGTCTACCCTACATCATAGTTTTACATTTTTTAAATAAAATTAGAACGGCACTGATAAACCGGAATTTAAGTCGGCCATATTTGAGGCCCATCGCGGTGTACCTAAGATTTTTGATATGCTCCTTCCTTAGTCTTCTTATTCAAAGGTTTAAAATAATTTTTGCAGCTTTAATCTAAATAAAATATCTGTTACAATCATTTGCTCTATAAAGTAAAATGAAGAGCTGCTCGGTATATTAAATAAATCGATGTACTTAAACAGCCGTTAAACGGTAGCCTAGTAAAATGCCGTTAATAGATATTGTGACGTCGTTCATGTCGGCGGAAAGTAATGCCTAGCCTTAAGCATTTTGCAAGAGCACCTGTGGGTCAGTGGCTGAGGCTATCGCTTCGTAAGCGAATGGTCCGTGGTTCAAATCTCACGCCGACCAAGACTCTTTTATATTTTTTTTGCTTATAACGTGATCTTATTGCATTGGTTTCACTCTTTTTGGTTGGATTGGTTTAGTTATTTGGCGGGTTGGTTAGCGTGGTTATTTGGAGGGTGTTAATTCATTGGTTAGTTGGTTATTTGGTGGGGTTGGTTGATTTTTACTAATTTATATTTGTTTTTTATATTTTTTATCAGTGTCGAGGTTAGTTGCGTTGGTTAACTTGGTTATTTGGTGGGGTGGATAGCGTTGGTTAGTCCTTATAAAATTCCTATATTTCATAAAGCCGTCAAATGCGTCACATCAACGACGTCATACTTATTAACGGCATTTTATTAAGCTACCGTTTAACGGCAGTTTAAGTACAGCCTAAATAAATTATACCACAAATTTAAACGGTTTTGCCAAAATTTCATTTGGTCAGTTTTATAGACATTATTGTCAATGTCGATATGATTGATGACGTGCATCGGAAAATGTTTTGCGATTATAATACCCCACCATCATTCAGGCAGGAATCTATGCTATCGAAAGATGCGTACAATTTATCTTAGATAGGAACTATCGAAAACAGGAAATAGCCATCCGATAACCAAGCAGCACTAAACGCGATCAACTCAGTAACCAGCAATTCGAAGTTGATCAAAGAATGGGAATGGGAATCCTCCAACAGTCTAAGACAGACGAAGAAATTTCTCAGGACTTACAATTGAGAAAAATGAAAGATTTTCATTGAGTTAAATAAGAAAAATCTTCGGTTTGTCACGGGGTTTTTGACAGTCTGTTTGTTGTTTGTTTAGTTGTTACTATTGTGATCTGTACAGAATATTTACCTATTCTAGCGCTCATAGATGACGTTCCCACACCAACATTTCGTAGCATCGTTGGAAATAATTCTCCTGAGTAAATGTAAACAGTTGGAAATGCCAGAGCCAATCCAAACATTCCTAAAACAAGCATAAAAGATCTGCAAAAAACTACACATCACAAAAGAATACTAGGGGAAAGTAGCCTAAACAGTAACGTTTTGCACAAAAGTAAATTTAGATTGAGATACAAAAACAGAATTTTATAAAAAGGTTATTACTGGATGCCTTACTTGGCTTACTAAATATACCACACGGTGTCTTGCCATTGCATTGGTACGATTTTGAAGCTGGTATGGTATAGGCGACTTTTTCCTAATATATACAGGGTGAGTCTTAAATAAGTGCAAATATTTTTACAGGGCTGACAGATCTCGATAAAAGAAACATTGCCTGAAACATTTTCTCTTTGCCGTTGTTCAAATAAGTTTAAAATAACCGAGTTATTTTGCTTTAAAAAAATTGCATTTATTTAACTCACCCTTACTAATAAATGAATGCAAGTTCAACAAATAATAGTTTTATTATCTAAAATAGCCGTAGATTGGTATTTTTTAAAAATTACAAAAATATACAGGGTGCTTCAAAAAACATGTGCTATCTCTCGTGGGGAGATTTCTCGCGTAAAAATAAGAATTAGGTGTTTAGTAGCTACCGGGGGTTAAAGTCTTCATTTTTTTTTCGATTTATTATAATTTTCTTCCATGTGCTTTTAGCGATTCGAATGAAATTTTGAAGATAAAAGCCTACTATAAATCCTACATATTTTCGTGCTAAACTGTCGAGAGATTCACCAGTGATGTGAATATAGGTTATCACTGGAATATTTTTATAAAAAGAACACATGTCCGCCACTGACATAATAATAATTATTTATTTAATCTAATTTAATACCAAATTTAAAAAAATAGGGCTAAAAATAAAAAAATATAACATTTTAAACTTGGTCAAAAGTGTTTCAGTAGCGTTTTTTTTTTCAACTAAGTCTTCACACTTCCATGTGCCTAATACCTTAGTCCCTTTATTTTCAAACCTCCGGTTTATTCTTTAAACTGTTAACTTATTCGGTATAGGCAATGAGGTTATAAGGGGGGGAGGCGACATAAGCTATCGAGAAATGTACCCAGTTACGCCATATTGGGCAATTTTGACAGTTCAGTTTTTGAGGTTAAGTGCGTTGCTGCGAGTGTTTTTTTAATTTTCCAAGACTATTTTTGTGTTTTTATTTGAATATTTGGACTTTCCGAACATGTCTTCGTGTGCTGTAAGTAGTTGTTGCAGTCGACAACGTGTAGAGAGGAAGAAATCCACTGAAATTGCATTTCACAGGTAAGTGTAAACATAATACAGGACCTGATTAAATTATTTTCGTATTTTCCATTTAACAAGTTATGCGTTTATTAATTAAATATTAAGTGTTTCTATATTGATAAAGTGTTTAGTTATTTAATACTTTGTTAGAGGCAATTAAGTAATTAAAACATGCCTCGACTTCTATTCTTGTAAAAAAAATTCTTAAAAAAAATACTCTTGTAAAAAAAACAATATCTGTTATTTTTACTACATATACTTTTTTTGACAGGAAAGAGTATTTTGCTAGGCCAAATTTAAAAGTTTTCTTTTAACTACGGTTTATTTTTCTATTTTTACAATAAGATTTTGTACTTAAACATTTATTTACATTCCTTTTTCGCATCTGCTAGCATATACTATGTACAAACTTTATATAGTATAGCTTTAATTTTTAGATAAATATTATAAAATCAACAAAGTAAATTTACTTTTTGCAGATAAAGTCTTAACGACTTATATTTATTGATAAACATTTATTATTCTAATAAAATTTTATATCAGAACATTTTAAATTTAGTACGTAGTATATAAATTTTGCTCTCTTTAGAAAATTTTTATCAAATAAATATTATATTAAATCTGATTTTTAGGTTTCATAAATCCCATCCGTCGAGAAGCTTAGGTGAAGTTTCTGAACAGGAGAAACTGGCAAGCTACATCAGGTAGTGTTCTATGCTCGAAACATTTTTCTGATAGCTGTTTTGACAGAACATCTCAATAAAATATCTCAAATAAATAATTATTTCCTAAGATTTCTAAATTTTAATGATTATCAAAATGTTAATTATGGTAAATCAGTAATCATGTTTAATTATTTTCCGCTTTTTTTCTATTTTTTTTTTAAATGTTAAGGTTATTATTGTTAGATACATCAATAAAAACAAGGCAATTAGTTTAAGACATACTAGCAACAAAACAGTGTTATTTAGTGAGCAATAAAATTTAATTTATTTAATGTGTATTATTTTTTTGTGTTTCCTCGTTAAATATACATAGTATATAGTCATTAAAATTAATCTTGTAATTTATATTTTTGAAAAAATTGTAGGTTTTGTAGTTGTTTTGATTAATTAATTTTTTATTTAAAAAAGTTGAGGTCGTTATATTGTGTAAAATAAAATTTTTCAAAAAAGTTTCTGTAATCCGGCCCTGCTAATGCCGCCATATTGGTGCTGGCTTAAGCCACGCAGTGTTACCATAGTGTTACCATCAGGTGGACGACACTTCTTATGGGAGAACTGGCAATGGTTGAAAACTTGACTACAAGCCATTTTCTAGGAATCTTCCTTACCGATAAATTATTGACAAGAGTGACAGATAAAGCCTTGACGTTCTTTCAGTATTCCAGTTCATCTCTTTTTCTTTCTAAAGTGTGCGTTGAAAGGAGACAAAAACAATTTTTGGTGACCCATAATTTGTTATTCGAACACCACTTTTCTCCTTGTCGGGTCGTTGACGTTGACTTGTCGCCATTTTATTTCTTTTGTTTACACGCTGCATTTTGCTTTGCAAATTTAATACATAAATTATTTAGGCAAATATATAGGTTTTTAATAAAACTCCTCGGACTAACGTGTAGGTAAGTGTTGATAATTTTTTTTTCATCTTAACATGCTCATTGTCGTTCTCCTGATTTTAGGTGACAGAAAAGGATCATCAAATCAAATTGAATTTTATATTTTCCTTCCTATTTATCCTTCCTAAATATCAACGAGATGAGCCATCGGAAGAAAGGGACCATAGTACAAAACAGAAAGGTGATCTTTTTTCTTTCCACTTCGGATATTGAAATTATTATATACTGTAGTCGTGTTCGGCATTATGCTCTGAGAAATATAGATAAACAAAGAACAACAGATATAAAGCATCCCAGAGGAAAAGAGAGGCAATACCTGTATGTACTCTCTCTGATATTTGTGAAAGTTACAGCAAAGTATTGTTGTAAATGTCATCTTTTTGATCGACCTGAAAACTTCGAGCAAAAAGATGACACTTTCAACAATACCCTGACAGATATCAGAGACGATACAGGTTTTTCCTCTCTTTTCCCCTGGAATACTTTTAATTTATTATTCTTTGTTTATCTAGATTTCTCAGAGCACTATGAACGAACTCAGCTTGTATGTTTGAAATAATCGTCCAGTTGGCTTAAAAATGATGATCGAAGACATTTCCCATATAATTTTACTTTCAAAATTATGATATATCTTTTATTTCTAAGCCATCTATGACGCCATTTTTTTCAGTTTTGTTATAATTAATTTTGTCTCTTGATCTACTTGTAACATTATTCTTTTAATTTTATTAATTTATTGTGGTGAAATTAATTTCTGTTGTATATTTGATATTGATATTAAACATATTTTTAAAAAATGGTGTATTTTTTGTGTATGTCATAATTAAAAATAAATGAAGAAATAAAATTTTTATTTTTTTAAACTTCCCGCCATACGTGACAATTTAGTCCGTAGTTCCTACAAGCGAAATTGGGGGCGCTAGTAGCAGTAGACTTGTCAACAGTGTCAAATTTAAACGTCAATTTCACTTTCCAATATTTAGCAAGGTGTTCGCACTTCTTCTTGTGTATGTGTTTTGTGGTTACCATTTTTCGCAAGCACTTTAAATTTTGATGCTATGAGCATTTAAAAAAGCATTTTTAAATGCTCATAGCGTCTCCCTGTATATAACCTCATTGGGTATAGGCAATGACTAAAGAATATAAGGACATGTAACGCCCCTATACGGGCTACAGCAGACTTTGTCACCTTTTTTTTGTTTTGGTGGCAAACAATGAGTCATCATTTGGACACCAGCGACAATTTTAGCTATTTTTAAATCGTAGTTTGTGTGTAGTAAACTTTGTATAAACTTTATTACAATGGTGATTAGTTGTTCAGCTTTCAAGTGTAAAAGCAGCAGCGATAAGAAAAAGCCAGGAGTTACGTTTCATAGGTAAATAAACAGTTCACTCCAACTTTTTAGCGTTTTCTTATTGAATTCGATAATTATTCTTCCATTTCAATTAACATCTATATGTACTTGATATGTGCTATACGTCGATACTAGTTTTGTACCTTTTGTTAACATTTTAATACGTTTTTTTCGTAATTAATTAGGATGATACACCATAGGCGTAGTCAAAACAATTATCAAAAAATATAAATATTGCTTCAAACAGCTAGGTTAAGAAAAATATGTGCCACGGCACTGTTTGGTGACATCGTCACAATTTGCTCTCGGGTGTTATTTGTCCTTGGATTCTTTAGTCATTGGGTATAGGCTTTCCACTGAGCTGCTAACATATTATCTAACACAGCGGGAATATTATTTACAGTAAAATGCCGTTTAACCGTCGTAACTTTTTTAGAAGTTGCGAAATTCATAATTACTTTTTACAAAATCACTCTGTTTGGTACCATCAAATTTTTGTGAACAACATCGAATTTGACAATGACACAATCACATTTTTGCTGGTATTTTAATTGTAGCTTTTTCTGGACCGTATTATAAATTTTACTAATTTGAAGGTAGATTTTTCAAATAACTTTTAAATGACTATTCCAAATGAAACAAAATTCTACACAAAAGTACAACTTTAACGCCTCTTCAAAAAAATGTAGTATAACTTTAGCATAAATCTGAGGAGATAATATTTGACCTTTTCAAAATTTACATCGTATTTCCTATGTCCCATGTTCCGATACACCACACTGTATTATCAAATTGTTTTTCTTATAATCTTACCAGCTGTGCTTAGAGCCGGTTTAATCCAGGTGGGATGTGCTGGTACGATTCCAATCAAAATCATAGATATCCCTGATATAAGATTTGCACAAATTAAAGTTGCTTTGCGACCCCATGCCTTGGTCGACCAGCAGGCAAAGAGGGTGGACGGTATTTGGACTACCGCTGACAAGACGACGTTTAAGAAAATATTGCCTGAAAGAAAAATCAACTCAATCATGGTTACAATATTTTATTACAAAAAATTTCTCTATATTTTTAAAGTGACTGAGAAAAATATATTTGAAACTTTTTAAAAAAACTTCTTAAAATGGGGGAAATTGTTCATTTTTTCATAGACCAGATTATTTTTTCATAGTAATTTTTTTATCTTTCATTACTCGAAAAAGAAATGTTCTATTAAAAATAAACAATTTGGTTCAGTTTAACAAAGTTCTTCAAAAAGTCCCAAGAACATTTTTCTGTAAAATAAAATGTAGTTTGTTATTTTTCATTTTTATAAAATTTACAAAATAGAATTTTTACCAACCTGCGAGTTGTCCAATAAACTGAGACACTCCGAAAAAACACAGTCCGCACACTATCCAGTTAAAACAGATGGCGATGGTGTACATTCGCATTATAGGTGTCCTGATTAAGTCCATTATATTTCCCTTGTGTTTCTTGGTCTCATCCATCTGAGCCTTTTGCTGCACAAAATACTTGTCTACGTCATTTTTGATGTTTTTCGTGGGTAAGCCGTTATGTTTTGCCGCGTTTTCCAGTACCGCCACTGCCCTTTCTTTTTGACCATCTGTAACAAGGAAAAAATATCTACAGGGTGAGTGATTATACAGTGAGTGACTCATTTAAATTGGAGCTATTCTGTAATGGTGATATGTTCTAAACTAACGATAGTAAAAACCACAAACCGATCGAAAAAAACGGCGTCAAAGACGACTTGGGAATGATATTCGATGAGAATTTTGGTGAGGTAAAGCTGTAGACGTCCCGCCATTAAAAAATAAAAAAAGACCGGGCTCTTCTTTATTTCCTAACGGCGCTTGTATAGTTTTAAATTCGAGATAAAATATATTTTTTTTGGAAATATATTTGGGTCTGAAAACGTTCTATTCTTTTTCAATCTTTCTATAATGTGCGTCAATTTTCTGCTTTGTTTTCAAGCTTTATGTCAATTTTTAACAAATGATGTCTAGAGATTGACCTCGCTAAAATTATCATCGATCGTCAATCCCCAGCCGTCTTTCACGCCATTTTTTATCATACGGTATAATAGTGTTATTCTACAGTAATAATTCTAAATACCATACATATACAGGGTGGTCCTAACTGTATTCCAGAAACTTTAGCAGTATATTCCGCAGATAAAAATAAATAAAAAAGTTCGTATAAATGTATGTCCTAAAATGCTTAGTTTCAGAGATACAGGGTGTAGAAGTTTCATTTATATTCCGATTTACTCCAAATAATTTCTGAAACAACGTCAATATTTGGATGAAAATTGGTGTTTGGTAGTTTTTTGACATGCGAAATTTGATTTTGGTAACAATATGACTCCTACTAGTAAAGGGCGCCACCTATATGTGTTTTAACTGTTTTGAAGCGTAATAACTTTTTGTCCGTACCAGTATAAAACTACCGAGCTAAAAAATATACATCTCTGTGACTTTTTACGTAAAAAATATCTCTTTGTAAAAATCGCTAGGAGCAACCGTTCTTAAGATATTTAGAATGAAAATAGTAAATACATGTCATTATTGACGAAAAATAAACACGTTGAGTAGATAGTTATTTCACTGAAATAATAAATTTGGGAAATTTTTATTTTTTAAATTTAATCATAAATTTTTCTGCAAAAAATGATGATAAAACAGCTTCTGTTTAACATTTGGCACAAAAACATTTCAAATTTATGATTTGAGTCTAATAACTATTTAGTCAACATGTTTAATTTATGTCAATAATGACAGGTATTGATAGTTTCTATTCCAAATATCTCGAAAACCATTACTCGTAGCGGTTTTTACCAAGAGACCTTTTTCACGTAAAAAACGCCGTAAATGTATATTTTTTTACTCAGTAGTTTTATACAGGTACAGACAAAAAGTTATTACTCTTCAAACCAGTTAAAAATATGTAGGTGGCGCCCTCTACTAGTAGGAGTCATATTGACATCAAAATCCAATTTCTCATGTTAAAAAACTCTCAGACACAAATTTTCCCCCAAATATTGACGTTACTTCAGAAATTATTTGGAAAAAATCGAAATAAAAATGAAACTTCTACACCCTGTATCTCCGAAACTAAGCATTTTAGGACATACATTTATACGAACTTTTTTACTTATTTTTATGTGCAGAATATGTTGCCGAAGTTTCCGGAGTACAATTCGGACCACCCTGTATATTGTCACTTTTTACTTAATTTAACAAAACTAGATCTTATATGTTTATATACTATTTCAAATCTTAAACTCTATATTTTATATAGGAAATAAACACAGTTTCTACTTATACTATATTTTAATTTTCTATTTACTAAAAATGGCGTTATAATTGTTACAGTAATAACATCTTCGCACGAGTTGTGGTTTACATTTATTCTATTAAAATTCACATCTCAAAATCCTTGACTTCGAAACTGGTTGAAAAACAACTGTACCACTTATTAAAAAATACGTTTTTAGAAAAAAATCTAATTTATATACAGCAGGAAAAACTAATTATATATATTTTTGTAATTAATAGCATTTTTCTGCAAACATCACTATTAAACATTGCGAACTTAATATATACCAAATGCATTATTACGTACACAGCTTTATAGAATATTTAAAAAAACCAAAACAAGGAAAATTATAAAAAACATCACTTTTTACAGGGTGTCCCATTTTCGTGTGATTTACAGAGTTTTAGATAACACGCTGTCAATCAGAGTTACATATTGATATTTCTAATGCACTTATGCAATAATTTTACTGAGAGGAACTAGCGTGGAATAGTTTTGTTTGAAATGTTTTGATTGCCTAATTAATTTAAACTGACTTTTTTTCGTTAAAAACTTAAATAATGAACTTTTTACATTCTTCATGCAAATAAGTATAGAGTATATTATATTTTTAGAAAGCTTATATCAAAGCAAATAAAATTAAAACAAATAATTTACAGGGTATCCTTTTAAAAAAAAGTTTGGGTCATATTTAAAGAATGACAGTTTTCTGCGAAAATTCGCTTTCGACACAAATTACCTATAACAGATGCGAAAGAAAGCGACTGCATTGGAAACCGTTTGGCAAACCCGACACGCCTATTGAGTGGTGTAAATACACCAGTCGTTTAGTCCGGAAACCCATGTTGTGTCGTCTTCGCTTGCTGGAGTGCCATAGTGCGTGGTTATATGTTTCTTTTTAAAAACGCGTGTAGGATTTTTGTTGAACTTTTGAACTTTTATTTCCAAGTTTTGGTAATTTGTATATCTTATTTAAAATGGGATATAAATGTGTTTATTTATAAGGAAAAAAAAGATATTTATAGTATAAAAAAGTAATTTATTTAACAAAATTTTATTAAAAATGTGACAAAATAGTTACCTTTCTATTGGTTCTATCCGTTCTATCGGACTTTTTTCGACTATATAAATCTTTATTTGTAAACTTTAATACATCAAATATTTTCAATCTAATAAATCATTTAATGATGTAAATAAGAGGAAATTTCTCACATGGATGGTCAAATTCAATAGTTTTCATTATATCAAACAGCCTCTGAGAAATGTTTTCAACTCAAAATGGATGCAGTTTGTTTATTCCATAATTCATGGCAAAAAGTTAGAACGACCTCTTTAGAAAAACTTTTATCAGGAAATTTACCAGATTATGACCCTGATGATCTCATTCCCCTAGCCAGTTGCAAAAGAAATTGCAGCAAGTAAAACATGGCTACCAAGACATTTTAAACATGTTGACGCAAATTGATGGAGAGATTCATACAAATGCTGACATGAATCCATGGGTTGAAAACTCTGAAAATATCGTAGAAGATGGTGATCTCGAACATGAAGTTATAGACGACGCCGACGAGACCAGCGATGAAGAAATCTATATCCAGTCAAAAAAAAATCAAGCACGTTGATGCAATAAAATTTTTTACACTGGGATTGCAGAGGGCTGAAGAGAATGATCTTAGTATTAACGATATTCTTGTCTTAAAAATATACAAGAGGAAGCTATAGTTAAGCATTCTTCAGTTAATGCACTTAAAAAACAAAGTAAAATCTCTGATTATTTTAAATAATGTAGCATGTATTTTATACTTTGGTGTCTATAGGATATATGTTTCTATTCACAACGAGTTTTGTTATAGAATATACTTATTCTTACTTAAATTATATTTGTTGAAGGTTCTGCTAATAAAAATGTTTTATTTTATTCGTTTTTTTAAATATATGTCTATAAAAAATGCAAATCGCAATAATCCGATTTTTTTTTATTAATCCGGATTAACCTGTGCTTTAATTGATCCGGATTATCGAGTCAATTAAAGTTTACAAATAAAGATTTATATAGTCAAAAAAGTCCGATAGAACCAATAGAAAAGTAACTATTTTGTCACATCTTTAATTAAATTTTGTTAAATTTTTTATACTATAAATATCTTTTTTTTCCTAATCTCCTACGAACTGATATAATATGACGAGCAATCTATTAAATTACTGTGAGATTATATGCCTCGATAACATATTGGTGCAGATTATATTTTCACCCAAATAAATAATAACCCAAACTATACATTGATGCGGATTGTCTATGAACTCTTTCTGAAGATCACAGAAACTGAACGCGTAATTCGGTGTTCTTTCGCATCTGTTATAGGTAATTTGTGCCACTGATTTCTACGTGAAAAAATCTATCGGACTCAGTTTTCACCTTTTCGATAAGTTATAACTAAGATATTAAGGGGAGTCGAAAAAGGAACAATTTCCAATTCGCCCTGTATTTAAGAAACTAAGAGAGTTAAGACAAATTTGTGTTTAGCATATTTAGTTTCATAAAAAGAGTAAAAGCACATGTAAAAAACGCCATCTTGGTACCTCTACCCATAAACGAGCAATCCTGGAAACACACATGAAAATAGGACACCCTGTGGGACACCAGATCAATTATTTAGATATTTGGTTTGATAGTTTGATGAAAGATAGACCTCAGAGAAATTTTCTGTACATATAATTGGTAATGTTGCTATATTTCACTGCAATTGAATACATATTATTTATAACATATGTAGGTAAAATTTAACGATAAAGAACAGTACAACTTATCACAGTATAGTATTAAACCAATAATAACTTTAATAATACCGGGTGCGTCTGAAAAGTGGCTCACCCCTATAACTTTTTTACTTTTTCAGTTAAAAATAACGAGATTTGGTATATCAGTATATGACATCAATTGGGACTGATTGACGTATTCAATTCTTTTCAGTCGCTTCCTATTTCACCGGAACAACACAAGTTGACTACAACTTTCGATTTTTAAATCGCACCCTCGATATTTTTTGCTTTATTCGATAGAAAATAACACTCTGAATAGAATGACATATCATATGTCAACTTTTGACATTTGCGCATATGGTTTATTTGAAATTATAACGTGCGGTTCATAACGAAAAGTTAACTGAAATACCAAGTGTGTGGTATCAAATTATTCGTAAAAAAATGCTTTTTTTAAATATGCTAGTGAGCCACCCTCGTTCCATTTGAAAAAATTGAGATATGATTAAAAATACGATTTAGGCA